GAGAGCTGGCCTGGAAGAGGGGCAACCGGGACAGAATCCGGCGCCCCAACCGGGACTAGAACCCGGTGTGCCAGCGCCGCAAGGCGGAGGATTAGCCTAGTGAGCCGCGGCGCCGGCGAACATCTCATTACTTCAAACAGAAACCCTAGCCCTCCTGCGGCACTCACTCCTCCATTTTCTCTCCTCCCCCAGTCCCTGAAAATCAATTTCTCTAATTTTCCGTCTCTACAGATTTGCCTATTTTGGGGCCAGTGTCCTGACACAGAAGATTAAACCACAGCCTGTGACCACAGCATCCCATATCGGTGCCAGCTGGAGTCCTGGCTGCTCCACTTCCTGATCCAGTACCCTGCTAACGACCCTGGAAAGGCGGTGAAGGATGACCCAAATGTTTGGACCCCTACCATCCATGCAGGAGACCTGGAAGAGGATTTGTCTGTTTAGGTATGTGGCCCTTTGTGTCTGGCTTCTGTTCACTGAGCATCATGTTTTTAAGATTTATGAATGTTATAAGTACTTCATTTTTTTTTTACTGCTGAATAATATTCCATTCATGGATATACTGCCACATTTTACTTTTCCATTGATCATTTGAAGAACATTTGGATTATTTCAATTGGCTGGCTTTTATGAGTGACAGCTGTGTGAATTTGCATACAAATTTTTATGTAAACATACAGTCTCTCTCATTTCCCTAGGATAAATATCTAAGAGTAGAACTGCTGGGTAACACAGTAACTCTATTTATAACCTTTGGAGAAACTGCCAGACTGTTTTTCAAAACAACTGTACCATTTTATATTTCTGGCCAATTCTTTCCACATTGATCCACAGATTTAATACAATCAAAATTTTAAAGACTAGCAAGATTCTAAAATTTACATCGAAACATAAGAAGCTACATTGTTTGAAAAAGGAGGAAAAAAGAAGTTGGGGAATTCACACTACTCAATATGTGAAAGTGTCCTATTATGCCCCCATTAAGCCTGTGAAGCACAGACCTACAGACCAATAGGACAGAAAAGCAAGTCCAGAAATAATACACAAACATTGCTGATGGGCTGTAACAAGGGCACAAAGACAATTCTATGGAGTAAGGACAGTTTTTCAACAAATATGCTAGGACAACTGGAAATCCATATACATAAACATGATCCTCAACTCCCAAAACCATTTTAAAAAATTAGCTCAAAATGGCTGATGGGGTGGACACTGCGGCACAGTGGGTTAAACCACCTCTTGGGATGTTCACTTCTCATACCTGAGTGCCAGTCGGAGTCCGAGCTATTTCATTTCTGTTCCAGCATCCAGCCAGTGCAGCCTGGGATGCAGCAGTGGTGGCTCAACTATCTGAGTCCCTGCCACTCACAGGGGAGACCTGGATGAAATTTCTGACTTCCAGTTATGGCTTGGACCAGACCGGTTCATTGTGAACATTTGGGAAGTGAACCAGTAAATGGAGGATAAATCTCTCTCTGTCTTTCAAGTAGATGAAAATAAATAATCCTTTTAAATAAAAAGATCCACAAAAGAACAAACTGATACAATGGACTTCATCAAAATTAAAAACTTCTGCTTTTTAAAGGATATGATACAGGGGTTGGCGCTGTGGCGCAGTAGGTTAATCCTCCACCTGCAGAGCTGGCATCCCATATGGGTGCCAGTTCTAGTCCCAGCAGCTGCACTTCCGATTCAGCTCTCTGCTGCGGCCTGGGAAAGCAGTGGAAGATGGCCCAAGTCCTTGGGCCCCTGCACCCATGTCGGAGACCAGAAGAAGCTCCTGGCTCCTGGCTTCGGATCGGCGTAGCTCCAGCCATTGCGGCCATTTGGGGAGTGAACCAGCATACAGAAGACCTTTCTCTCTGTCTTTCCCTCTCATGGTCTGTAACTCTATTTCTCAAATAAAGTCTTAAAAAAAATATGATACAGAGAAGGAAGACAACAGCCTAGACTGGAAGAAAATATGTGTAAGTCACATACTGGCTTACATTCAGAATTAAAAGAACTCTCCAAACCAACAGCTAGGAAACAAACAGTTCCATTCAAAAGCAGGCAAAAGACTTAACTGTCATGCCAACAAGAAAGATAAAGAAATGGCAGGAAAGCACATGGAGAGTCACTGGCATACAAAAACCACACAGAATACCATGTTGCACCTGCTGACAAAGATGGCAGCGTTGCTGGGAATTTCATTCTGCTGGACTGCCAGTGGCACTGTCATGAGACTCAGCAAACCCACTCCGGAGAGTTTATGTCCAAGAAATGAAATCCTGCAAATACTACAGCATGACCCATAACAGCCAAAAGTGAGAAACAACCCAGATGTCCAGATGGGTGAATGGCCAGCCACAGCATGCAGCACTGCTGACAGCCATCTGGACAGACACCAAATGCAGATGGGAGGAGAGAGAGACGCCAATTCTGGAGGTCCCACACCAGCGTGAGGTTTCCACTTCCATGACACGCAGGGAGGGCTCGGGATGGTCCCTGGCAGCATCAAAGTGGGAAGGTGTGGATGCAGTTTGTTCTGTGTTCGGTGAATGGTGATGGTCTGACGGCTACAGAAATCTACGCATGTGTGAATACTTGTGGGACATACCAAGAAAGGACAAATTTTACTGCATATACATTTAAAAATAATTTTTAAAAAGTTCATTATAAGAAATATAAAAGAAATTTTGGGATATGTACACTATGGAATACTACTACACAGTGGTAAAAAATAAAAATGAAATCTGATCATTTGCAACAAAATGGATGAATCCAAAAGACATCATACTTAGTGAAATAAGCCAGTGCCAAAGAGACAAATGCAGATGTTCTCCCTGCTACATGAGAACTAACAGAGCACCTCAAATGAAATCTGTGGAAGTGAAACTGACACTTCGAGAGGGGATGACTTGAGCTGCCCTTGTCTTGACTGTTTTTTCGTTTTTTTTCTTCATATTATTTGTTGAACTCTTTACTTAACATAGAGTTAATCATATGTGTATAAAGTCAACTGAGGATGGATCTCAGTAAAAAAAGAGTGAGAATAAGAGAGGGAGGAGGAAGTTTGCAACTGTAAAGCTGACAGTTTTTTTTGTGTGTGTGTTTTTTTTGTTTGTTTTGTTTTTTTTTGACAGGCAGAGTGGACAGTGAGAGAGAGAGACAGAGAGAAAGGTCTTCCTTTGCCGTTGGTTCACCCTCCAATGGCCGCCGCGGCCAGCGCGCTGCGGCCGGCACACCGCGCTGATCCGATGGCAGGAGCCAGGAACCAGGTGCTTTTCCTGGTCTCCCATGGGGTGCAGGGCCCAAGCACTTGGGCCATCCTCCACTGCACTCCCTGGCCACAGCAGAGAGCTGGCCTGGAAGAGGGGCAACCAGGACAGAATCCGGCGCCCCAACCGGGACTAGAACCCGGTGTGCCGGCGCCGCTAGGCGGAGGATTAGCCTAGTGAGCCGCGGTGCCGGCCAAAGCTGACAGTTTTGCATACATTCCTATGGACTCATTTCTAAGGGTACAGTTTAAACACTTGTAAAAAATATATATAGATAGATAAAGCCAGTCAGAAAAAAAAACTATCTAAATATATGAGAAGAAAAAAACTAGGTATTTCAGGGGCCAGTGCTGTGGTATAGCAGGTAAAGCTGCCACCTGCAGTGCTGGCATCCCATATGGGTGCTGGTTCGAGTCCCGACTGCTCCACTTCCAATCCAGCTCTCTGCCGTGGCCTGGGAGGGCAGTGGAGGATGGCCCAAGTCCTTGGGCCACTTGTACCCACATGGGAAGACTCGGAGGAGGCTCCTGGCTCCTGATCAGCGCAGCTCTGGCCATTGCAGCCAACTGGGGAGTGAACCAGTGGATGGAAGACCTCTCTCTCTCTCTCTGCTTCTCCTTCTCACTCTTTCAAATAAATAAATAAGTACAAAAAAAAAAAAAAAAAAAAAAGTGAGTTAAGCCAACATTTGGGACACTTGCATCCCTTATCAGATTGCCTGGTTTGGGTCCCGGCTGCTCCACACTTCCAATACAGCTTCCTGCTAATGTGGCTGGGAGCCAGCAGATGATGGCTCAAGTGCTTGACCTTGGCCACTCACGTGGCAGACTCAGAGTTCCTGGCTCCTGGCTTCAGTCTGGACGAGTTGTGGCTGTCATAGACATTGGGAAGTGAACCAGTCAATGAAGATCAATCTCTTTCTTTCTCTCACCCTGCTCTCCCATTTTTCCTTGCAAATAAATAAATAAATCTTAAAAAAAAAAAAAAAATAGCAGGCATTCTAGAAAAAAGCCCATCAAACTATACCACTAGGAAAACTTTAAATCATTTTAAATAAGAGCCAAATGAAACTCTAATTTGATCAGACTCTTGTATTCTTAGTCAATTTTTTTTTTTTTTTTTGACAGGCAGAGTGGATAGTGAGAGAGAGAGACAGACAGTGGACAGTGAGAGAGAGAGACAGAGAGAAAGGTCTTCCTTTGCCGTTGGTTCACCCTCCAGTGGCCGCCGCGGCAGGCGTGCTGCAGCCAGCGCACCGCGCTGATCCGATGGCAGGAGCCAGGTGCTTCTCCTGGTCTCCCATGGGGTGCAGGGCCCAAGCACTTGGGCCATCCTCCACTGCACTCCCGGGCCACAGCAGAAAGCTGGACTGGAAGAGGGGCAACCGGGACAGAATCCGGCGCCCCGACCGGGACTAGAACCCGGTGTGCCGGCACCGCAGGCAGAGGATTAGCCTATTGAGCCGCAGCGCCGGCAGTCAGTATTTCTTTTATGAACGTGTATCAAACGTTATGTAGTAGTCAGCCTCACAGGGGACATATTATGCTATGCGTGTGTACGTGGTCAGTGAATAAATCAGAAAAGGCACTAAGATGTTACATAAAACACCCTAGAACATTCAGTAAGACTGCCACACTGGTCAGAGAGGACAATCCGGTGTACTTCAGCTGCCCCACATCACTGGTCTGGGGCCAGCAGCAGCACCTGAGCCACCTGTTGGCAGAAGGCATGGATACCTACACTGAGGGTGCAGCCCCTGTGCAGGTGGTGCTTGAGGGTTTTCTCCAGCCTCGACACAGCCTTGCAGAGCTCAGCCTTCTCCCGAGTCACTGTGTTGAGGGCTTTTGTCAGAGAATCGTTGTCTTTCAGTAGGACATCTACAAGCTGCATCTGTAGCTCTGCTGCTGTTTTCTTGAAAAGGAGAAAAAAAATTAATAAATAAATTTGTAAGAACTGTTTGTTAAAAGGCATCCATGTTCTTAGTTTATTTTCAAGAATGATTGTTTTTAATGCGCTTGGGGTTGGCATGGAAGCTTATGGGGGCTGGACAAAAAACAGTCCATCTACAGCACAGTGAAAAATACAGGACATCCAGTCACACTCTCCAACCTTGAAATAGGGTTTGCACAAAACTGGACTATTTGATGCAGGCCTGTTATAAACTATCTGCTTCGGTTGCTCTAATGACCATAAGGGGTGAAACATCCAGAAGTGTCCAAGGCATAGCGCTTGCTTTCTTTGAGGGCTCAGATGTTTAAGTCCCTTAAAGCTAAAAGCTCATGACTTCCACAACCAGACTCTTCGGTCTACAGGGGACACAGGGTCCTGCAAAGGATGCCAGTTCCAATAGCAACTGACTACACTCCACGAGCAAGTCTCAGGGCAGGACGCTGGACAAGTGGTGCAGCTCTCCAGGTGCACACTGCTCCTACCGCAGACATGATGGTTTCATCAACATCACAGAGCACCCACCAGGGGTGCAGGCTGGCAGCGGCTCAGAGGCAGCTGACAGGGAGCTCAGAGTTTCCTAGGAGGGCTCCGGTTTTCATTACAGCGAAGGTTCATAATGTGACTCCAGACGAGCAGCCTGGGCAGAGGCTGGAAGTTCTCCAAAACCAGGGCATCTGCCCTCAGAGAACAGAACCCACGACCCCTCCACAGTCCAGGCCACGCACGGTGAGTGACATGCTAAGAGGGGAGTACAGACAAAGACATTCTATGGGCGGCAAGGTCAAGACCCTAACGATGATATAAAATGTAACAGAACATGGAGGGTACCTGGCACCCATGTCCCATTGGGTCCACTTGCTCACCAAGATGATAAATGAAGTCAGCAAGAACAGGGAGGGAGAGTAGGAGGGTTAAGCCACCTCCTGCAGGGCTGGCATCCCATATGAGCGCCAATTTGAATCCCAGATGCTCCAGTTCTAATCCAGCTCTCTGCTATGTGCCTGGGAAAGCAGTGGAACATGATCCCAAGTGCTTGGGCTCCTGCACCCATGTGGGAAACCTGGATGGAGCTATAGGATCCTGGCTTCAGCCTGGCATAGTTTGCTGTTGTGGCCATCTGAGGAATTAACCAGCAGATGGAAGACCTCTGTCTCTCCTCTCTCTCTGTAACTTGGTCTCTCAAATAAATAAAAATAATTCTTAGAAAAATAAAGGTTGGAGAGGGGGAGTGGCATTGTGGCATGGCAAGTTAAGCTGCCATCTATGACGCTAGCATCCCACACAGGCGCCAGTTGGAATCCCAACTGCTCCACTTCTGACCCAGCTCCCTGCTAATGACCCAGGAAAGCAGTGCAAGATGGCCCAAGTGTTTGGGCCCCTGCACCCAGACTCCTGGTTTCAGCCCGGTCCAGTCCTGGCAGTTTGGCCAAACCAACAGAGGGGAGGGAAGGTTTCTCTCGTTCTCTCTCCCTCCCTCTCTTTTCTCTCTAACTCTGCCTTTTGAAAAGACAGACAGACAGACAGACAGACAGACAGACAGACAGAAAGAAAGAAAGAAAGAAAGAAAGAAAGAAAGAAAGAAAGAAAGAAAAAAGGAGCTGGTGCTGTGGCATAGCAGGGAAAGCCAAGCCTGTAGTGCCAGCGTCCCATATGGGCGTGGTTTGAGTCCTGGCTGCTACACTTCTGATAGAGCTCTCTGCTATGGCCTGGGAAAGCAGAAGAAGATGGCCCAAGTGCTTGGGCCCCTGCACCTGTATAGGAGATCTGGAAGAAGCTCCTGGCTTCAGATCAGTGCAGCTCTGGCTGTTGCGGCCAACTGGGGAGTGAACCAGTGATAGAAGACCCTCCCTCCCTCTCCCTCTCCCTCTGTATGTGTGTGTGTGTAACTCTGACTTTCAAATAATTAAATCTTAAAAAAGGGAAGCTGCCTGAATAGTGAGGAGCCTCATTCACCTCAGTTACAGAAAAACACCAGAATAACAAAGGAAAGAGTACGTCTCCAGGGGACTGACTGAGGGAAACCTTCAGTGAGGAAGCTATGGGGACAGCAAAGTCACAGTGGCTCTGAAAGCCAGCAGAGGGAGAAGAACAAAGCACCCCACCCCACATCCTCTGTGTTAGTCCCTAGCCAGGGCTGCAGTCAGAGGCATCATCTTGTAAAGGGCAAACAGGAAAGAAGCCCGGCTACCTGTAACCACCACAGATGGCAGTTTAACTCAGAATTGCACAGTCCTCCCTGACTTTATTTACTTTTAAAAATTTATTTATTTATTTGGAAAGTCAGAGTTACAGAAAAAGAGGGAGAGATAGAGATCTTCCATCTGCTGGTTCACTCCCCACAGCCACAATGGCCAGTGCTGGGCCAGGCCAAAACCAGGAACCATGAGCCAGGAGCTTCATCTGAGTCTCCTATGTGGGTGACAGGTACCCAAACACTTAGCACAGAGCTGGATGGGAAGTGGAAAAGCCGGACACAAACCACCCGTATGGGATGCCAGCATTGCAGGCAGCTTTACCCGTTACATCACAACCCCAGTCCCCTACTGACTTTAAATCCAGTGACTGGGGTCCCAGCAAACTTTGCTCTAAAAAACACATGCTTATTCCCTCCCTCTGCACCAAACCTCCAGGCTCTGGGCTGCTGCTACACTGTATTTTGACGTCAGGGACAGCAAGGCAGCCCCACTACTATCAGAAGCCGCAGCAGCAGGGCAGCACTTCCCAGGGCAGAGACCAAGACCCCTGCACCTTACAGCTGTGAAAATTACGGACACAAGCCCCAAAGCCATGCTCACTTGCTCTGCATTATCCCAGAAAGCTCCCTTGGTTTCTCAGGGATCAGCACCAGCAGCAGCCCATAAAACATTCAACAGGGCCAGCCCTGAGGAAGTCCTTCTGCATCTGTTAGCATATGGTACTGGGTACCCAGGGCACAAGCCCCAGTATCACACCTGCATGCCCCATGGGAACTGGGAGCAAGGGTCCCTGTGCCCTACTGACCTTGGACAATCACCACTGGTGTATACTCCCTGTAGCATATGGAATTCCCCTGAGGTTTGTGGAGAGCCCTATCTGCACTCCTCTGCTTCAGGCTGGTGGCTGTCGGGCAATAGTCCTGACTCCGTGAGTTCAGGATAACGACACCACTGCCCCTGCATCTCCAGGACTACTGTCAGTACTAGAGTCCTCAGAGCCTGCATTCCACCACTCCAGACACATGACTGCCAGTGTAAAATCCCCTGCATACTTCGTAGGACTGGGACGAGGTCCATTTTATATCCCTCAGTGCTGGGACTATAGCTTTGGTGCTAAAAAGTCATATTCTCCCAGCAAGACCAGACACATCTTACTGTTCCAGGGACCTAGCTGTTAGTGCCACCAGCCCCAGGCTTGCCTGCTGGGGTAAAAGGACAGCCCCTTCTGTGTCCCTCAGTACCAAGAGCAGGGCGCCAGCACCCCAGGTTCTAGTCCCGGTTGGGGCACCAGATTCTGTACTGGTTGCTCTTCTTCCAGTCCAGTTCTCTGCTGTGGTCCAGGAAGGCAGTGGAAGATAGCCCAAGTGCTTGGGCCCTGCACCCGCATGGGAGACCAGGAAGAAGCACCTGGCTCCTGGCTTCAGATTGGCACAGTGCACCGGCCGTAGTGGCCATTTGGGGGGTGAACCAACAGAAGGAAGACCTTTCTCTCTGTCTCTCTCTCACTGTCTAACTCTGCCTGTCAAACAAAATAAAAATAAAAATAAAAAAAATTTATTAGAGAATTGATCCAGCAAGAAGATACAGCAATCATAAATCTATATGCATCCAATATAAGACCACTAAGATAAATAAAGTCAATATCACTAGATTTCAAGGGAGAAATACACTCCTATATAATAACGGTGGCTGAGTCCTTCAATTACCCACTGTCATCAATGGACAAATCAACCAAGATACCTCAGAGCTGAACTGTTATCATACAGCAAATGAATCTACAGCCATTTATAAAACATTTCAACCAAAAGCTACAGAACACACATTCAGCACATAGAACATTTTCTAGCAAAGACTGTATACAAAGGCCACAAATCAAGTCTCAGTACACTTAAAATAAAAAAATTTCTTGAAACAAATGAAGATGAAAACACAACATATCAGAATCTGTGGGATGATATCAAAAGCAGTATGAAGAGTATTTACAGCAATAAGTGTCTACCTGAAAAAATTATATGTCAAACAATCTAATGAAGCACTTCAAGGACTTAGAAAAACAATAAAAAAATGAAACTCCAAAATAGCAAGAGCTGAGAATAAAAATCAGAGCAAAAGTAAACAAAATTCAAAGTTAAAATCTGTTTTTTGAAAATTTTTGAAAAAAAAAAAACTTTTAGCAAGAATGACCAAAAAAAAGTTTTTTTTAATTAAAAATTAAAAATAAAAACAAATGAAAAAAGAAGACACTACAACAAATACCAGAAAACAATAAGTTATAAGAAATTATGATGAACAACTACATGCCAACAAGTTGGAAAACCTCAAAGAAATAGATAAATTCTTGGATACATATAACCTACCAAGATTAAAGCAAGAAGATATTGAAAATCTAAATAGACCCATAGCAAGCAATGAGACTGAAACAGTAATTGAAACTCTCTCATCAGTAGATGCAGAGAAAGCAATTGATAATATTCAGCATTCCTTCTTGACAAAAACTTATAGAGAGAACATATCTCAAAATTCCAAAGGCTACAAATGACAAACCAACAGCAAGTATCATACTGAATGGGGAGAACCTGAAAGCATTTCCCCTGAGATCTAGAACAGATAAGGATGTCCACTTTCCCCACTTATTTTTATTATTTTTTTTTTTAGGATTTATTTATGTGAAAGGCAGAGTTAGAAAAAAGGAGAGACAGAAGAAATACAGAAAAAGTGTGAGAGACAGAAAGATCTTCCATCTGCTGGTTCACTCCCCAAAAAGCTACAATGGCTGGGGCTGGACCAGGCCAAAGCCAGGAGCCTGGAACTCTACCCACATCTCCCACACGGGTGGCAGGGACCCAAGCACTTGAGCCATCTTCTGCTGCCTACCCACACACATTAGCAGACAGTTGAATCAGAAGTGGAGTAGCTGAGACTTGAATCAGCTCTCAGATAGGAGCCTGGTGGCTTAACTCCTTATATCACAATGCTGGCCCCCTGTATTAAAGTATATATGCTGCTGAAGTATTAAAAGTATTAACAAGAGCAATTAGAGAAAAGAAAGAAAGGGCATCAAAATTGGAAAGGAGGAAATAAAAATACCCCTGTTTGCAGATGACATGATTTTGTACAGGGAGAAACCTACACATTCATTAGAACTGACAAACTAATTCAGCAAAGCCATTGCACCAAAAAGCAACATACAAAAACAGGAATATTTTATATACCAATAAAGATTTTGCTGAATGAATAATAAAAAAAAATTCCATTCACAAGAATTATAAAAAATTTAAATGTTAAGGAATAAATTTAACCAAAGTAATGAAAGATCTCCACAATGAAAATTATAAAATACTAAGGAAAAAAAATCATCAAGGACACAAAAAAAATGGAAGATAGTCTGTGTTCGTGAATTGGAAGAAATTAATGTCATTAAAATGTCCATACTACCTAAAACAATCTTTTATCTAAAGTCAACGTAATCCCTATCCAATGATAGTCTTTTTTTTTCCCAATGATAGTCTTTACAGAATTAGAAAAGGCAATCCTAAAATTCATACAGAACCACAAAGACCCAGCATAGCCAAAAAGAGCCTAAGCAAAAAACAAAATCAAACTATAGGCACAATATCTGATTTCAAAGCATACTACAAAACTATGGTAATCAAAAACAACATGGCACTGGGTTAAAACCAACACATAGATCAATGTAATAGAACAGAGAGCCCAGAAATTAATCCACATAGATACAAGCCAACTGATTTTTGATAAAAGTGCCGAGAACACACAGGAGAAACTGCAGTCTTTTCAATAAATGGTGCTGGCAAACCAGATATACATATGTAGAAAAAAGAAATTAGATTTCTACTTCTCGCCATAAACAAACATTTACTCAAAATGGCTGAAAGACCTAAATTTAAGGCCTAAAACTGTAAAAATGCTGGAAGAAAAAATACAGGAAACATTTTAAGACATTGGTGTAGGCAATGATTTTTTTAATAAGACCCAAAAAAGCACAGGCAACAAAGGTAAAACTAGACAAGTGAGATTATATTAAACTCTGAAGCTTCTACATAGCAAAAGAAACAATCAACAGAGTGAAGCTACATCTAACAGAATGGAAGAAAATATATGCTAGCTACTTACCTCACAAAGGGTTAATGTCCACAATATATCAGACTCAAAAAATTCATCAACCAAAAACCAACCAATCCAGATAAGAAAAGGGCAAAGCACCTAACAGATAGTTCTGAAAAGAAGAAAAACCCGACCAACAGATATATGAAAAAAATGCTAAGTATCAATTGCCATCAGAGAAATGCAGTCAGAAGCACACTGAGATTCACCCCTGTTGTTGTGGCTGTTAACAAAAAAAGACAGTAACAAATGCTGATGAGGCTGTGGAGAAAGGGGCGCTCTTAAACACTGTGGGTGGGAATGCAAATCAGCACAGGACTGTGGAAAACAGCATAGAGTTCTTTAAAAACTAGAACTAGAACTGCCATATGATCCAGCAACCCCATTACTGGGTATATATCCAAAAGACAGGAAACCAAAGAGATACATGCTGCACCACGATTACTTAGCACTGTTCACAACAACCAAGGTGTCCATCGTAAGATGAATGGGTTAAAAAAACTGTGGTGTATAAACATAACAGAATGCTCTTCAGTCATAAAAAAGAATGAAATCCTGTCTCTTGATGCAAATGGATGGAACTGGAGGACTCATGTTGAGTGAAATAAGCCAGACACAGAAACACAAAGGTTGCATATTCTCCCACATATGTGGAGGACAAAAAAAAAAAAAAAAAAAAAAAAAAAAACAAAAACAAAGGGTAAAACAATTCAGAACCTTCCATATGAACACAGAATGCTGATTAACAGAGGCTGGGATCAATAACCTCCCAGAGGCCGGCGCCACGGCTCACTAGGCTAATCCTCCGCCTAGCGGCGCCGGCACACCGGGTTCTAGTCCCAGTCGGGGCGCCGGATTCTGTCCCGGTTGCCCCTCTTCCAGGCCAGCTCTCTGCTGTGGCCAGGGAGTGCAGTGGAGGATGGCCCAGGTGCTTGGGCCCTGCACCTGCGTGGGAGACCAGGAAAAGCACCTGGCTCCTGGCTCCTGCCATCGGATCAGCGCGGTGCGCCGGCCGCGGCGGCCATTGGAGGGTGAACCAACGGCAAAGGAAGACCTTTCTCTCTGTCTCTCTCTCTCACTGTCCACTCTGCCTGTCAAAAAAAATAATAAATTAAAAAAAAATTAAAAAAAAAAAATAACCTCCCAGAACCTGGTGTGGTTAGTGGATTGTGACAAATACACTAGTAAGATGTAAAAGGTAAAATCAAAAAGGAAGTTTCAGAGCCACCACAATGTCTTCTCCAGGGACGGAAACAGCATGTGACTCACTGAGCTCCTGCCCTGACTGTCAGGCCAGGGGGAACACTGGCAGGTGCAGTAGCCCCAGGCTTACCTGAGAGGAAGGGGATGTGCTCAGTTCAGACTTCAGGTCCTCCAACGTGTGAAGCAAAGACGTCACTGCCTTCTCATTGGAGGATGTCCAATCCTTAATAGTCCTGTAAAAACCATATGGCATCAAAAAGGTTTACACCAAAATGGCATTTCCCAAATGCCTACTGTCCAGAGCTCTAAAACAGCTCTGCTGAAGAGACAAAGACAACGTGTTTAGCGGCCAGCACTGGGATCAGCAGGTTGAGCTGCCCCGTGTGACACCAGCATCCCATATTGGAGTGCTGGCTCCAGTCCCTGATGCTCCATTTCTGATCCAGCGCCTTGCTGGTGCACCTGGGCACTTGCTACCCATGTTGGGGAACAGGATGGAGTTTCAGGCTCCTGGCTTCAGACTAGTCCAATCTGGCTGTTGCAGGCATTTCAGGAGGGAACCAGCAGATGGGAAATCAATCTCTCTCTCGCTTTCACTTTCTCTGTCAGTCTGCCTTTCAAATAAATAAATCTTTTTTAAAAAAGAAAAGAGGTTTACCCAGCATCCATTGCTAACTCCAGGGTTACTTTTCAGGTTCCAGAAAATTCTGTGAGCATAATCTATGCATATTTATGAATTACTCCACTAAGCCATATTTTGTCCATAAAAGTAGGTGGGGACTGGCAACCCAGAGCAGGGTGGCAGGACCTGTGGGCACACACTTCTATGAAGCTTATAAACCTCTGGTCAGGGGCCGGCGCTATGGCATAGCAGGTAAGGCCATAGCCTTCAGTGCTGGCATCCCATATGGGCAACTGGTTCGAGTCTTGGCTGCTCCACTTCCTATCCGGCTCTCTGCTATGGCCTGGGAAAGCAGTGGAAGATGGCCCAAATCCTTGGGTCCCTGTATCTGCGTGGGAGACCTGGAAAAAGCTCCTGGCTCCTGACTTTGGATTGGCAATCAACACAGCTCCAGCCATTGCAGCCAACTGGGGAGTGAACCAGTGGATGGAAGACCTCTCTCTCTCTCTTTCTCTCTGCCTCTCCTTCTCTCTGTGTGTAACACTGACTTTCAAATAAACAAATCTTTAAAAAAAAAAAAAGAAAGAAAGAAAGAAAGAAACATCCTGCCACTCAGCGCCTGGTACAAGGGCATGACCAGGCACCCACGGGCCACACTCAACTGCTTTCTGCAGCAACTGTGTGCCAATCACTGGAGACACTATCCTAAATGAAACTTTCCTTAGAAATCATGAGTTCTATCACAAAACTCGGGTATGGATGGGAAGACACTGCCAGCTACATTACTTTATACAAAGAAAAAGACAAATATTAACATTAATTTTTCTGCTCATTCTAACATTAGAATGTAAAACTTATAATTTTGTCAGTATCTTTCAGGAGAGTCCTCTCTCCAAACTCATGGAAAAAGGACAGTGAGCTCATTAAAACATGGTTGGGAAATCAAAGACACGCCCCAAACTTCAGAATCTGGCTGAGGCCAGTCCACACCTGTCCACAGTCTGGTTAATGAAGCCGGTCAGCAGTACAGCAGCCCCAAGCAGTTGCTGTCTTATCTTCTCCAGCTCCTGGTGCCGCTCCTGGAGGCAGTCCAGCTCTGAGCCACCGGCCCTGCGGGGAGAGCTCAGGCGAGAACCAGCAGCACACGGCAGTGTCTCTTTGGACTCCAGGGCTCTCACCGTCTGCTGAAGCTGCTTGATTTTATGCTCATCACGCTGGCGCTGCAGTTCTAATTCTCGCTGTTATCAACGGAAAAACAACACGGAAGAGACCTTCAGTGAGTTTTCCAGAAAAACTGACAAGCAAAAGACCAAAATTGGGTGTGTACAAGAGCAGGCCCTCCCCACCAGCACCAGAGCACTCGGAGCAGTCACTGTTCTGTACATGAGCTCCTAACACTGCAGGCTTTGGAAGGCCCCACAGAGTCAACACAGCTTCCACCCAGAGATGGGCAGGCAGGGCACACGCCAGGCACACAGTGGCAAAGGTCCTCATCCACGCTGTGGAGATCTGTGGGGCTTTCCCAGGCCCAAGGCAGACATTCAGGGTCAAAAGGAGAGGCCTGAATGACTGAAGCAAGTTTCACAGTCACCAGTCCCATGTACACACACCCAGGAACACACACCATGCCCAAAGATACATGATAGCACAGACACAGGCAAGCATAAACACACGTGTACTCAGAAACCAGCTGGAGAAGCTTGGGCACAGCCTTGATTTGAGCCAGAGTTACTGGTTTCCCTGACTTCACCTTCCCCTCTGTACAATGGAGGTGCTGGGTGTGGGAACAGTGCCTCAGCAGGTGGGGGAGTTCCCTGCTCCAGGTCGACTCACTGGGCAGGGACAGAGAGAGGTGATCTCAGCAGTAGTGAGCGGGAGTGGGGGCACTGCAGGAAGAGGACCTCAGGAAGGACCCCCCCCAACTGTGCCAGAGGGGTCTGCCCCTGGGACAGCCAAGAGGCGGTAGCTAGAATGGCCCCTCACATTAGGGGGAAACCCCAGAACCAAGAGCAACTCCACAGGGGAGGTGGCTTCAGAGAACCTTCAAGACCCAGATCACTGGCACCAACTCCTCCCTCAGGTGGCCCGGCTCTGTTTTGCACTCGATCCTCCTCACATCACCTCACTCAATGCTTGAGCAACATGAGCAAACAGCGATGATGAATTTATCTATTTTCTGGATGAGGGGGCTGACAGGTTCATAACTTTGGAAAAGATGAAATTGTGCCTGGAGTAACTATCTCAGGAGGCTTCAGCAGCTACGATTAGAGGATTCTGTGATCCAGATTACATGAACTACCCGCAGTAAAAACAGTCCCATAAGGGCTACATCACTTAAAAATTCCCATCAAGGTACACCGTGAACAATAGTTACTAATGTTTAAAACATGTGTGTGGTACTTATTTTTAAAAGAGATTTATTTTATTTATTTGAAAAACAGAGTTACAGAGAGAGGGAGAAACAGAGTCAGAGGTCTTCCATCCACTGGTTCACTCCCCAAATGGCTGCAACGGCCGGAGCTTGGCCTATCTGAAGCCAGGAACCAGGAGCTTCTTCTGGGTCTCCCATGCAGATGCAGGGGCCCAAGGACTTGGGCCATCTTCTACTGCTTTCCCAGGCCATAGCAGAGAGCTGGATCGGAAGTGGAGCAGCCAGGACTTGAACCGGTGCCCATATGCGATGCTGGCACTACAGGCTGAGACTTTAACCCACTGCACCACAGTGCCAGCTCTGGTATTTTTTTTTTTAAGTAATCATGGTGCCACTCATTTTTACAAAAAAATAGAAATTAAATAATAAAAGGAATGGCTGGAAACTTTAGATATGGTTTGGGGAAGTTCTCAAAAATGGAATCACATGGGGTTAGAGCTGTGGCTAAGCAGGTTAATCTGCTGCCTATAGTGCCGACATCCCAAATGGGCACCAGTTAGACTCCTGGCTGCTCCACTTCCACATGAGCTCACTCATGATGTGCCTGGGAAAGCAGTGGAAGATGGTCCAAGTGCCTGGGGCACCTGCCACCAACGTGGGAGACCCAGAAGAAGTTCCTGGCTCCTGACTTCAGTCTGGCCCAGCCCTGCCATTGTAGCCATATGGGGAGCAAACCAGCAGATGGAAGACCTTTCTCTATCTCTCCCTCTCTCTATAACTCAAATAAATAAATCAATAACAATAAATAAGTAAATCTTTAAAACAAAAATCATGTTACAAGCAGCTAGAGACTTGCTCCTGGGGGACAAAGGAAACGATACACACATGCACAGGCACACACATGAATGCACACGGGCATGCACAAGCAGGCAGCATGCCAACACTGCACACAAGATGCACACACATCCATGTGTACACACACATGTACCTGCAGACACAACACACACATATGTGCACACACTTGAACATGGAATCTTGAACACAATCACCCAGGGCTCAGCTCACCAGCTTCAGGAAACCACACTCCTGGCCACAGTCTGCCCCACCACTCACACCTCTGATCTACTCCGACTTTGAGACTTCCAGTAGTAAAACACTACAAACTATTTTGAAGGGTTTTTTTTTTTTTAAACTGCAAACAGTGTTGAACATACATGGGACAAGCTGGATGGATAAAAATCATGTTCAGTAATAGAAGCCAGTCAGATTCCATTAGCATGAAGTGTCCGCAAGGACAAATCCACAAGGCCCACCAAGGGCTGGGAGGGGGAAATGAGGATGACTACTTAATGAGTTAAGTGGCTCTCACTGAGTTTGGATAATAAAAATGTCCTAAAATTGACTAATGATGTTACATCTTTGAACTAAAAAACAAAGAACTGTGTAATTTACAGTGGTGAACTCAATGGTATATCAATTGCACCTCATAAGACTATTAAAAATATATTAATTGGGGCCGGTATTGCAGCGAAGCGGGTAAAGCTGCCTCCTGCAGCGCCGGCATCCCATATGGGCACTGGTTCAAGACCCAGCTAATCTACTTCTGATCCAGCTCTCTGCTATGGCCTGGGAAGGCAGTGGAAGATGGCCCAGCTCCTTGGTCCCCAGCAACTGCATGGAAAGACTCAGAGAAAGCTCCTGGCTCCTGGCTTTGGATCAGCACAGTTCCGGCTGTTCCCGCCAACTGGGGAGTAACAAGCAGATGGAAGACCCCCCCGCCCCGCCTCTCCTTCTCTCTCTGTGTAACGCTTTCAAATAAATAAACCTTTAAATATTTACATATATAAATCATATCCCTCATATGAACTTACAAAACTAATACTAAAACATTTTAGAATCTGACTTATTCTTGCAACATTGAGAAGCCTACAGTTTTGTTCTTAAAAATAGGCATCCATTTCTCAATTACATTATGGCAGGCTAATCACTTCAAAAGATCAGACCACTGGTTTTACCATATGTTTTAAAAAGCTTTTCATAATTATACAAGATATAAAAGTAGAAATAATGAAGGCATTTTTTGATAAAAGCTTTAAAAATATATTTAGAGACAGCAACACCACTACTAATCCACAAGACACCAGATACTATTTTATCAAAACAAAGGTTTTTGGTTGACCAAAAAAATGTATCTAAAAATTGAAGGTCATCCTAAACAACAAAAGGAGGGGATGCTTCCCAATTCCTCCTATGAGAACAGTGTCAGCCTGATGCTAAAAACCAAAGACATCACAAGAAAGCTACTGACCAACACCCCTTATGAAGAGAGATGCAAAAAACCTTAACAAAATACTGGCGAACTGGATCTAGCAAGACATAAACACAATTATTTACTATGACTAAGTGGGATTTATCCCAGGAATCCAAGCAGGAATCATTATATGAAAATCCATCAACATAATACTCTGTTATAGCAACAGAATAAAGAAAAAAAATCACAGAGATCAACAGATCCTGAAAAAAATTTTGATAAAATCTAATGTTCTTTCATAATTTTAAAAAACAAGGACAAAGGAACAAGTAATAGAAAGGAATAACCTCTGACATAACAAAGAACACCTACCAAAACCCACAGCTAACGTCACTCGCAGCAGTGAACAGATGAATGCTCTCTTACTAAGGTCAGGAAAAGGCAAGGATGCTCCCTTTTACCACTTGTACTCAACAAGGTATTGGTCATTCTCGCCAGAGTAGCCGGGCAAAAGGAAGAAACAGACTAGAAAACAGAAAATGAAACCATGTCTACCTGAAGATGAATCTGATCATACAGATGGAAAAGCCCATTTAAAGTACAGGACCTAGTAAATTCAGCAAGATTAGAAGATCCAAGATCAGAGCAGAAAAACTGACTTTATAGCTACTCGTGAACAATAATAACCTGAAAACAAAATAACTACATTAAAAAGTAATAAAATAACTATATTTAACAAAAGTATAACGTTTCCAATTTGAAAGCCACAAAAACACTGCTGAGAAGAAATGAAGGAGGCCGGCACTGTGGCTCACTTGGCTAATCCTCCACCTGCGGCGCCGGCACCACGGGTTCTGTCCCAGTTGCTCCTCTTCCAGTCCAGCTCTCTGCTGTGGCCTGGGAGGGCAGTGGAGGATGGCCCAAGTGCTTGGGCCCTGCACCTGCATGGGAGACCAGGAGAAGCACCTGGCTCCTGCCTTCGGATCAGCGCGGCACGGCACGCCGGCCATAGCGGCCATTTGGAGGGTGAACCAACGGAAGGAAGACCTTTTTCTCTGTCTGTCTGTCTCTCTCTCTCTCTCTCTCACTAACTCTGCCTGTCAAAAAAGAAAGAAAAAGAAAAAGAGAGAGAGAGAGAGAGAGAGAGAGAGAGAGAGAAAAGGAGGGAGGGAGGGAGGGAGGGAGAAATGAAGGAAGAAATGAAGGAGAAGGAAGGAAGGAAGGAAGGAAGGAAGGAAGGAAGGAAGGAAGGAAGGAAGGATCTAAAGAAATGGAGAGATGTTCATGTTCACCACATTAGAAGACTTACCCTTGTTAAGATGTTACTACTACCCAAAGCTATCTACAGATTTAATAAAATCTCTATCAAAAATCCAATAGCTTTTATTGCAGAAATAAAAAAGCCTATCCTCCCATTCACACAGAATTGCAAGGTGCCCACATGACTAAAACAACTTTGAGGGGCCGGTGCTGTGGTGTAGCAGGTAAAGATACTGCCTCCAGTGCCCGCATCCCATATGGGTGCTGGTTCGAGTCCTGGCTGCTGCACTTCTGATACAGCTCTCTGCTATGGCCTGGAAAAGCAGTTGAAAATGGCCCAAGTGCTTGGGCCCCTGCACCTGCATGGGAGACCAGGAAGAAGCTCCTGAATCCTGGCTTCAGATCGGCACAGCTCTGGCCACTGTGGTCAACTGGGGAGTGAACCAGCAGGTGGAAGACCTTTCTCTCTCTCTGCCTCTCCTTCTCTCTCTGTGTAACTCTTTCAAATAAATAAATAAAAACCTATATATAAAAAAAACTTTGACGAACGGTGTTGGGGGGCTGGCGCAGTGGTGTAGTGGGTAAAGCTGCCGCCTCCAGTACCGGCCCTCCCATATGGGCGCCAGTTCGAGTCCTGGCTGCTCCATTTCCGATCCAGCTCTCTGCTATGGCCTGGGAAAGCAGTAGAAGACGGCCCAAGTCCTTGGGCCTCTGCAGCCATGTGGGAGACCCGGAAGAAGCTCCTGGCTCTGGATTGGCGCAGCTCCAGCCATTGCTGCCAATTAGGGAGTGAACCAGCAGATGGGAGACCTCTCTCTCTCTCCGCCTCTTTTTCTCTCTCTGTGTAACTCTTTCAAATAAATAAATAAATCTTTTTAAAAAAGAAAAGAAAATGTTATGCCCTATGTAATAATAGAGTAACATAAAATCTAATTACATTAGAAAAAAAAAGAAGGGTTTGGAAGGATTAAATTTCCTGATTTCAAAAACTGCTACAAACCCACATGTGGTGTGGTCCTAGGGATGCACAAATAGAACCAAGGAAGAGAGGGGATGGGCCAGGACCACACCCTGGGAACTGTCGGAGCCCTGCAGCTGCTCATGGTTTCCAGGAACGACCGTTTCCGGGCCGGTGCTCGCCAGCTTCTCCTCGTCTCTCTGCCACTTCTTCCACTTCTCCATGTCTGCTGACTCTGCTTCGTCTCCGTTCTCTTCCTTGCATCCTTGTGTCCCTCTTGCTCTCTCATTCCGGTGTGTAACCGCTAATTCTGCCTGCAACCACGCCGGTTCTCCCCTCCCGCTCCAGACAGCATCTCAGCTCTTGCCTTTGGGTCGCGTCCAGGTGGCACTCACCTCCTTCTCTTTGCCGAGCTCCTCACAGCGCTTCTGGACCTCGGCCTCCAGCTGGCGCTGCGTGTGCGCGGCCTGCTGCTGCACCCTGTCCAGCAGCGCCTGCAGCTCGCTCACGCGGCACTTCTCCTCCTTCAGCTTCCGCAGCAGGGCGTGATGCGCCTGTGTCTCCTGCGGCCTCCGGCTCAGCTGCTCCGTCAGGAGCCGCTCGTGCTGCAAGGCCTCCGACAGCTCCAGAGTGCGGTTCCTCTCCGCGTCCAGGCTCTTCTGGAGCTCGGCGAGTTGGCCCCGCTCCTGCGCCAGCAGCGCCTCACAGCGCGAGTACTCAATCTGCAGCTCCTTCTGAAGGTTGTCCTTTGCCGTCTGCTCGTGCTTTAATGCAACGCACAGTCGACTGTGCTGCGCACTCTGCTTCTCCAAAGACAGTCTTAGCTCCTAGTAACCAATCAAAAGCAAAAAATATCTGAATAGTGTTCATGCCCAAATTTCTGTCTAGATGCTTTGACCCAGCAATTACAGCTTCTGAGACTGAGTCTACGGATTCAAACATCTACACACATTTCCGTTACGTTGTTATCCTAACTGCATGGCTGAGGGGCTTTTGGGAAGTGGCGCTGAGTAAATGCACAAAACACATCCCAGACGCAGAGACGTCCTTTATCCCTCCCTCAAAACACCACAGCACGAGCACTCTCACACTCACACACACACACACACACACACAGCCTGCTGGCTATGATCTGCATCTTCCACGCTGGTCAAAGACTGAGGGTAGTTTTGCTCTGAACTAAAGAACACCTGTCTGTCCCCAGCAGCCAAGTGCCCAGCCTGTATCTGATTTGTACACAGATCTCAGAGGCTGTATACTCCATCCGCATTCCACAACCAAACTCCCAGAGGCCGTGGGACTGTGTGTTGTCAGCAGGGCCATCACACTGTCAGCCCCAGAGCGGTCCTGCCACAAATGAACTCTTTGCCTTGTGATCAGCCTCAAACACCTGTCCACAGGAGGCCATGCCAAGAACAGTAAGAAAAGGCAGGAAAAAGAGAGCCCTGCATACTTCCCACTGCCTCCTGCTGCCCAGCGGCCTGACCACCACCCAGGTACCTCCAAGGACTTGGAGCTCTGGGCCTCCCTCTGCAGGTGCTGCAGCTGCTCCTCCTCCAGCTGGCTCTGCAGGGCCCGCTCCCTCGTGCGCTCACGCTCCAGCTGCTGAAGCACAGCCTGCAGGTCATTCTCCTTGCTGTCCAGCACAGACCTATATGGGGACAGCATGCAGCACAGGGCTCTGGAAGGGAAACAAGCCAGCACCCAGGGCCAGAAGCTCCCAAGACAGGGAGGCGAAATCCTGATGTTCTCCCCTCCTATGCATCGGGCAACATCCCTCCTCCCAGACCACAGCCCAGGGCCAGGACACCGCTGCCTAAAGTGCTCCAGCACCTTCCCCGTCTGGGCACAGCAGACATCCATGCCATGACGTCATGAGGAGGGGCTGAAACCATCAGGGTGCTGCACCTGAGCTGGATGACTTCCTTCTGCACATCGTCAAGGGATTGCAGCAGCCTCTCGTTCTCCTGTTTACACTCACACAGCTCAGACTTCAAATCTTTCACCGCATTCTGTTCTGTCACCAGGAGCTTCCGCACGTCATTCGTTTTCTCCTGCTCTTCACTGAGGGTTTTCTGTAAATCACTGGCTATACATTTCTCCTGTTCCACTTTATACGCCAACAATTCAACTGAAAAAGATTAAAAGCCATAAAATAGTATTACTCTTAAGTCCAAAGTGAGCTGTACAAATGATATTAAATTAGAAATTATGTTGATCAGATGGGAATGCATTCATTTTGGGGAGAAATGAAGTTTTTGATGGAGCCAGGACACATGGGGTCACGTTCCTTCACCACCCAGGTCTCTGTTCCCAGGCCTCACCCCTATGGCAGGGAGCACACAGAGACCAGCAGTGACTGTCCTTGTGGCCTCTCAATCTGCTACTCAGTCCCTAAATGCCACCAGGCCCAGAGCGCTTCCCTAGAAAATTCTCCCAAAACTTAAGGAAGAAATAAAGCCAGTTCTACAGATTCCTCTGGAAAACACAAAGGGAGGAGACACATCCCATTCATCTATGATGCTAGCACTCCTAAGACAAGAACAGAAAGACACAAAAGAAATACAAGTGCAGTCCACTCCTCTCAGGAATCTAGATGCAAATTAGCAAACATTACCCAAAAGTGCACTCAAAGGCAAAGCCCTAGGGTGGGGTCACAGCTGGAAGGCACATATTCTACCTACTGAACCCCAAAAAAGCTGACCCCATGTACAAGAGTAGACATGGAACAAGGAGAGGTAACTGCCCAAGGCCTCAGGGCACCACAGCAAGAATGGAACCAGAGTGCAGAAGCAGTATCATCCTTGACCATATGAGAGTCTCTCCATGGGCGGGGATTTAGCCTGGCAGTCGGACACTGTATCCCAGGTCACAGTCTTGAGTTCAGTCCTGATCCCAACTGCTGACTCCAGCTTCCTGTCAATGCAGATCCTGGGAGGCAGCAGTGAGGACTCAAGTAGTTGGGTCTGCCTGGGAGACACGGGAGACCAGATTGAGTTCCTGGCTCCTGGCCACAGCCTCAGCCTAGTTCTGGCTGCAGTGAGAATATGGGGAATGAACCAGTCTCTGTTTTTCTCTGCCTCTCAAAAACAAAAAATTCAAACAAACCTCCCAAAGAACCTAAATTAAATGTAGAGTCCTGTAACACGGAGCTGCGCTCTAGGGTGAGCTCCAGGAGTCAGTGCCCAACACAGGAACCCACCGTTTGCACTCAGTTTGACCAGAGAGAAGTGCAGCGGCCCAGGTGTGTGGCGCTCAGGCCTGATGAGACCCTAGCACTGGGCTGCAAGGGGCCTCACCACGCACTCCCAACTTCCCATACAGGTGTGTATCAGGTGTGTGGGCAACACACCCACCCTGCCTGCGTAGCTGGTGCTCCTGCCGGCTCCCACGGGCCTCCGCGCTCGTCAGGGCTGCGCACAGCTGCTGCAGCTTCTCCTGGTTCTGCAGGTGTGTCATGCGCAGCTGTGCACGCAGGGCCTGGATCTCGGACAGCAGGCTGCTCCTGTCAGCAAGGCGCAGGTGCTCCAAGGACTTTTCCTGTAAATCTCCCTGGCAGGAAGTAAAGGGAAAAGAGCAGTCTTAGAAGTAGGGCCTTGGACAGGCGCCACAGCTCACTTGGCTAATCCTCCGCCTGCGGTGCCGGCACCCCGGGTTCTAGTCCCGGTTGGAGCACCGGATTCTGTCCTGGTTGCTCCTCTTCCAGTCCAGCTCTCTGCTGTGGCCTGGAAGGGCAATGGAGGATGGCCCAGGTGCTTGGGCCCTGCACCCGCATGGGAGACCAGGAGGAAGCACCTGGCTCCTGGCTTTGGATCGGCACAGCACACCGGCTGTGGCAGCCATTTGGGAGGCGGACCAGCGGAAAGGAAGACCTTTCTCTGTCTCTCTCTCTCTCACTGTCTAACTCTGCTTGTCAAAAAAAAAAAAAAAAAAAGTAGGGCCTCTAGGGACTCCAGACCTAGGAAGGTGAGCACCTCACCCGAGCCTCCCTGCAGTCCAGCCTTTGCAACCCAAATGGCCAGCCCCTGTTAAGAGCCTGCTAACTCAAAGTGGAAGGCAGAGTACACAGCCCCAGGCCTTGGCTCCCAGCCTGTGTCCCTGAGTGCAGGGGAGGAAACAGGACTGCCACTGTCCCCACAGCACCGTCTCCTCTGAGCTGGGCCCGGGACTCTCAGAACAACTAGCAGCGGCTGCTCAGAACCACTCTGCGGCAGCTATGGGAAGAATCAATGCACACGCTGTCCGGTCAGGGAGCTTGAGTCACGTGCACAGTGACACAGGCACCGACTGTGACTTCCTCAGACACCACAAGTCCCGCTGAAACGGAGCCACCCCTCACCTGCTCTCGGATGACCTTCTCCAGCCTCTGAAGCAGAGAGCTAGGATCCCCTGGGTCTGTACCACAAAGTCTGGGCTGCAGCTCGACTGCCAGTGCCTCCCGGACGGCCTGCAGGAACGTTCCTCGCCAGTCGAAGCATGGGTCAGGAGATTCCTGTAATATCGAAGCAAGCTCAGAATTTCTGCCAACACATTCTGCAGGTGCTGTGCGGAGTGAACAGGTCTGTCCCCAAAAGGCTGGTGTCAGGACTGTTTCCCCTCAATGTGACAGTTTTGGAGACAATTAGGGTTAAATGAGGTCATGAGGGTGGGACCACTGTGATGGGCTTTGTGTCCTTCTAACAAGAACTATCAGAACCCTCTCTCTCCCCCTGCAGTGACAAGGCCAGGGACTGCGTCCCTTCCACAATCTGACCCTGCTGCACCCTGCGCTAGGACTTCTGGTCCCTGTAACTATGAGATCAGTGTCTGCAGGAAAGACACTGTTGTAGCCACTGAGCAGGACAGCAGAGAAGATTCCTATGTACCAGGACTATCGAAAGACAAGAAGCAGAAGTTGGCACCGTGAACAGAAAAGAGAACAAGGAAGCAGTGAAAGAAGGAGAGGAATGCTGGCAAATTCCTTCCTTCTCCCCCTACTGTGGGATCTGCAAGGCCCTAGGCTGTACACGGCTGCCCAGCTGGAGAGCTGTGGGCAGCGCTCTGAGCCTCTGGGGAGCCAGCTGCAGCTCACATCCCACCAGAGCCGGGGGGCATGGATGGCAGCAGGGAGGGCAGCCACTCTTCCACTAGATTCAGTGGGCACCAGCCACATGCCAGCAAGTCCTAGGCACAAGGACACAGTTCTCCCCTTCGTGGCACTTCCATTCCAACAAGCAGTGGCAGATGTGAAGGATGGGCCTAGAGGTCAGCACGCACCTGGCCTGCAGCCCCGGGTACCAGGTGGAGACAGGCCAAGACACTGCAAAGCTCAGGGGTCGAGCCAAGTTCAGGGGTTAGCAGCCTGTCTGGCATGGGGTATGGAGGGAGGAGGAAGCAGGCTATGGGTCACAGGAGGAGCAGGAGGAGGCGCCGTAGGGGTCCCCATGGAGGCTGGCAGGCATCATCCTGTGAGGACAGGCTGAGGCAGTGAGGTTCTCAGCCATGTGATCACCCAGTGGCCTCACCCTCCTCAGCCTGTAAGGAGAGCCCCAAGAGTCCCTGGCCAGCTTGCGCAGACCCCAGTACCTCCATAGCACATCCTGCGGGGAACCTGCCCACAGAGCCAGCGTGGGCCACAGGGAGGCCTGCAGCTTCTTTAGGGCTCTCTCCATCTCTGCACAAGGCCCCTCTACGGACGCAGTCATCTCTGCTAGCGCTTCGATTCAGTGTTACAGGGCCAGTAAGGTGCAGAAGGAACCAAGTCCGTACCTTCTCCCCTGTGTCAGGGGCCACTTCCAGCAGGCCCCGCCCCTCACTTGACAAGTGGTGCAGGGGGCTGTGTGGCTCGCCCCTGCTTAGAGCACTGGGGGGGTCGCGGCTCTCCGACAAGGCCAGGATCTGGTGGCTCTCGTCACACACCATCTGCAGCAAAGCCTGTGGCAGGAAAATCACGTCAGAGAGCAGCAGCAGCTGGCAACCGCCCATACGCACACCGTGTCCTTCACATCCCAGAGAGGTGTAGGGTCAAACATTCCATGCAGGGTGGACCCTGGGCCAGTCTAAAGTTCTGATCATGAGGCCTTCAGAGAGACAACGAAGCTGCTCCCAGGGTGTGCTCCCTCGTCCGCACTTCAGGTCAGCACCCAGCCAGCAGCACCCAGCCAGCACCCACTACCAGGTGTGCTGAGCCCTTCCCCAGCCCTCTTCGAGCACTATACGAGGGCCATACAAGGGCCGCTCGGGAGCCTGTGCACTCGGCACAGCCGGCAGCCAGCACACACCCCAAGTCGTGGGAAAAGGTATCTCAGCAGACATGGGGTACAGGGAAAGCCACAGTGAGCCTAACATAGACTTCACGTCGCCAGGTCTGGGGTGTCCACGCTACAGTAAGCTGCATCTGTGTTGCCCACACAGGGTGGGGGGAGGAAGGTGGCCCCAGAGCCCCTCACTAGAGCCAAATGTCAGGACTGCAGGGGACAGTGTTGCTGAGGCGGCCTCACCATGTGCATGATACAGACTTTTGCACCAGACACTTGCTGTCTAGAAAACTGACAGGAGCCGGCGCCGCAACTCACTAGGCTAATCCTCCGCTTTGCGGCGCTGGCACACCAGGTTCTAGTCCCGGTTGGGGCGCCGGATTCTGTCCCGGTTGCCCCTCTTCCAGGCCAGCCCTCTGCTGTGGCCAGGGAGTGCAGTGGAGGATGGCCCAGGTGCTTGGGCCCTTCACCCACATGGGAGACCAGGAGAAGCACCTGGCTCCTGCCTTCAGATCAGCGCAGTGCGCTGGCCGCGGCGGCCATTGGAGGGTGAACCAACGGCAAAAGGAAGACCTTTCTCTCTGTCTCTCTCTCTCACTGTCCACTCTGCCTGTCAAAAAATAAAAAGAAAAAAAAAAAAAGAAAACTGACAGGAAGGAAACTAACGAAGTTCAAAAAGAGAGAAATGCAAACTTAAGCAGCACCAAGGCCTGTGACAGAATAATCGAGTTAAATGCAAGCACACCTCACCAGAATTCCAGCATGGGACCAAAAAAGGGTAAACATCTAATTTTTTTATGTTTAAAGATAATCGTCTTTAACAATTTAAACAACTTCACTTTTAAAATGATTTATTAGACATACAACAATATCAAATCAAGATCTCCGGATCAGGGCTAGGATGAGCCGGGCAGAAGGCGGCACCAGCAGGGGCCCGAGATGCCGAGCCGGACAGCTCCTCTGCAGCTGACACGGAACGACCACAGTGAGTCCCCCGCTCCAGACAACTGGCCATCTTTAAACTTTTTATACAATTTCTTGGTTTGGTAACAAGGAGAAGAAAATGAATTTTTAAGTATATCTCAAAAAGGAAACTCATGACCATGAAGCTCTCTGCCCACAGCTTCCCGGCCAGGTGAGTCGTGTCTGCAGAACTGAGTTCTCGGAGAAAACACCCGGACTCAGGTCCCAGGTGGGGAGGAGGAGCAGAGTCCAACAGGCACCTGGATGCCTGTCAGGTGCTCAGAGGCCAGCACTGGGCCCCGAGGGAAAACCATGCATCTGGCAGCTGCGGGTACCAAAGCCACACCACGAGGTCTGAGAAGGCTCTGGCACTCGGGAACAAGTTGCTCTGTGGAGGAAGTGCCGTCTACACACGCAGGCTGTCTCTATTTGTGCCTTGCCTGCCCAGGAGCCCTTGTTTGTGTCAGCTGATGCGCAGCCTCACTCAGGCCACTTCTCCAAGCCTACGCACAGGCTTCCAGCGGGGACTGCACATGGCTGGGGCCCACTTCGGTGCAGGAGCTCCCTTGGTACTCCTCTGACCCTTCCAGCCTCCTCAGTGTAGGGGCTACTAGAACAGGGACCTCACGGGTGACCTCAGGCGACCACAGGACAACTGAGCAGCAGGGCCTTTCTGTGTTCCTTTGAAAATAACACAGCAGGCAGAGCCAGCTTCACAGTGAACCGTGTTCACACAGCTGCCCCTCACTGTTGAGTGCTGAGCACAACCTGAGGGTGCGCCACGCTCTGGAAGCACAGTCGAGGAATTTAAAACCATGAAGGAGGCCGGCGCCGCGGCTCACTAGGCTAATCCTCCACCTGCGGCGCCGGCACACCGGGTTCTAGTCCCGGTCGGGGCGCCGGATTCTGTCCCGGTTGCCCCTCTTCCAGGCCAGCTCTCTGCTGTGGCCAGGGAGTGCAGTGGAGGATGGCCCAAGTGCTTGTGCCCTGCACCCCATGGGAGACCAGGAGAAGCACCTGGCTCCTGCCTTCGGATAGGCGAGGTGCGCCGGCCGCGGCGGCCATTGGAGGGTGAACCAACAGTAAAGGAAGACCTTTCTCTCTGTCTGTCTCTCTCTCACTGTCCACTCTGCCTGTCAAAATAAATAAATAAATAAAATAAATAAAACCATGAAGGAAAACACTAAGAGTGAAACAGTCTGAGAAACCTTTCAGAAAACACCTTTCTGTGACTTTTCAGCTGAAACACTGAGCAGCAGGTCTGCCTGGAACAGCTCCCAGCCCAGCCCCCTGCGCCCTCCTTCCCTCACTGCCATCTTAGCAGCTTTCTCACAGTCTCTGGGGTTTTCTCTGGCTTTGTTGCCTCTCTTTCGAACCCTAGGCCTAAGTACAAAGAACTACCACTAATAACCAAATGCATTCATAAAAAAAGTCAGGTTGCTTGGATAGGAGTATCTCATGTTTTATACAGAAGTTTAGGAAATGCCAAAAAGGAAACAAAATATAAGAAAAAAACTTCCAACCTCTATTCTTAAAGGAATAAGAATGTCAGAAGTTTATTAATTTCAAAATTGTTATGCTTGGGAATACTTTTACTATTTGAATAAAACATAATATTAATATTAGAACATCTACTACTCATTTGGCCATGTTTACGTCAATGGTTTTGCCATAAAATGATCTAAATGATTTCCAACTGGCTTATTCCTTGGCTCTGAACATGCAGACACTCCATGAGCCTTGGCTCCTCCCACCAAAAGTGGACAGGAGAGGTGGACCTGCCAGACTGTGACCCACAATCGACAGCACTGGGCTCCATGGACCTCTCTCCTGGGTGGAGGATGCCACATGGAGGCTGTCACAGCAGCACATTATTCCAGCAGTGGTGGGCCCAACACATGACTGAGACTGAGCAGCCTGAGACAGGTGCACACCCAGGGGCAGGGAGGCCCTTTTAGTGGGGAAGAGGCCATTATACTCCCCCAACCCTAGAAAAGCCACAACCTTCCTGCCAATGGCAAGACAGCAGAACAAGTGAGCACAGCTGTGGGGTGTGTGTGACCAAAGGCATTCTCCCTGGGCCTTGACACTGCTCCCTGGGTGCAGACCCTACTCCGACTGGGGTAGGGTCAAGACTGCCCAAAGGGAAACCTCCAAGCTGCTCCACAAGCCCAGAAAGACAACCTCCTCGAGCACCAGCCTCAAGGGAAACAAAAGTGAGGACACAGCAAGAACAAAGAGGAAGAGCGAGGACACCGGGCGTGGTGCAAGTCGCCCCAGAATCGTCTGTGCACAGCGTGGTAACAGCAAAGCTGGCAGGGGCCCCTGCAGCATACAGTCCTCAGCGCCTGCACACCTCAGCACTACGATGAAGGCCTCTGGGTGGTGCTCAAGACTGCCAGCTGCTGTTCACTTACAGGCAGCCCTGGCACGATGGACCCCCTAAGAAAACAGAACCTTATCACTGCCCAACAGGTGACACCTGCTGATGAATGAACTCAGGAAGTTGCTTCCCAGCTCAGATTCTCTAAAGTCCTTAAAACACACGCACTGGGAGGCACCATGAGAACAGCTGGTCCACAGCGACCCCCATAGCCAAGGCCCTCACCCAGGCCACAAGTCCCCACACCCCTCCAGCAGCAGGTTTCACCTTCCAGAAACATTCAGACAAGGCATAAAAGCACAACAGCCAGCATGGGGCTTGGACCACAATGCAGACCAGCGGCACGTGGAATGAGGTGCGTGCCAGGGCAGCCCCAGCTCTGCCAGCCCTCACCTTCACCTGCTTGGGATGCACTTCTTTCTTCATAGTTGCAAGAGGCTGCTGAAGTCCTTCAGGGAAGGGGGCAGGATCCTCAGGACCAGTAGTGGGAGCCTCCGACTCCCCTGGCACCGCGCTCAGCATCGCTCCACAGCCTGAGCTGTCACCTGAGGAGACCGTAGGGTAAAGCTGCCGTCACAAGTCTGGTACACACAAGACTCTTAACAGCAGAGTCAACGGCAGCTGAGGCTCCTTCCACACAGGAAAGCGTGCATGATCATGCTTGGGTTTTTGTTTTTTTATGTAAAATGTAATTCAGGGGTCCAGTGTAGCAGTCCAATGCTTGCAATGCTGGCATCCCATCTGGGTGCCAGTTTGTGTCCCGGCTGCTCCACTTATGATCCAGCTTCCAGCTAGTGGCCTGGGAAAACAGCAGAAGGCAGCCCCTCCACATGAGAGACTCCTGGCTCCGGGCTTTGGTCTGGCATGGTCCTGGCAATTGTGGTCATTTGGGAAGTGAACCAGCAAACGGAAGCTCGCTCGCTCGCTCTCTCTCTCTCTCTCTCTCTCTCCCTCTCTAACTCTGCCTTTCAAATAAACATTTAAATCTTTTTCTTAAAAAAATGTAATTCAAGAGAGAATGCTTATTCAGTAATAAAAAGCATAGAATTAAACATAAACCTCATGGCTACCTTGGCTTCCTGCCACCCAAATGTGGACATGGTGTTCCTCTTCCTCCGAAGACAGTATGGAGCAAGCACCCAGTAGGCAGCCACAGGGCCTGTGCTCCAAACCCATGAGAGCAGCAAAGAGCAGGCAGGTGGCAACAGGTTTGGCCAATGCGAGACAACTGGGCAGCTGGACCAACAGTGGCATCTGGTCAGGAAAAGATGAAGGGGGTAGGGTAGAGAAAAGCCCCCCCAACCCCTCAAAACAACAGCCAACCAGGGCTGAGGAGCCCTAAGCAGAAACACCAGGCACCCCTGCCTGACAGAAGGGGAACCCCAACAGCAAAGAGACTGAGGTCCACTCACAGGGCTTGCAGAGCCTGGGTGGAGCTACAAGCTCCAGGAGACAGGGCAGATGCTCATCATGGTACATGAGGAACAGTCAAGGGGGAGATGCCCATGTGAAGATGGATGAGGGGCCCTTCCAGCTGACTCCATCGGGCCCAGGCAGGGCCAGGATGAAGATGCCCAGGGACAAGGCCCTTTTGTAAGGACAGACCTTCCCGGTCTTTTAAGTTGTAGTCCAAGTTCTAGGGCTGGGGAATTTGTTTTCTGCCAAGGGCTATTTGGATATTCACAACATCATTAATGGGGAATCCAAAAATTATCAGAATAAAAATTAGCCTGCTACAGATTTATTAGATTTTGAGTCCTGCCTGCGGGTGCCTTGGCAGGACCACACTAAATGAATTTGCAGGACTTAAACACTCAAGGGCTGGATGTTCCCCACCCCTGTGATCTAAAACATGTAAAGGTAAGTTTCTAATACAGAATACCGCATGAAACAGAACATACAGGAAGAAACAGAATAAATATACCAAACAAAAGGAAACTTCAGGGGGCCAGCCCTGTGGTGAAGAAGGTTAAGAAGGAATCCTATTTGACGGCCGGCACCGCGGCTCACTAGGCTAATCCTCCGCCTTGGGGTGCCAGCACACCAGGTTCTAGTCCCGGTCGGGGCGCCGGATTCTGTCCCGGTTGCCCCTCTTCCAGGCCAGCCCTCTGCTGTGGAGGATGGCCCAAGTGCTTGGGCCCTTCACCCACATGGGAGACCAGGAGAAGTACCTGGCTCCTGCCTTCGGATCAGCACGGTGCGCTAGCCGTGGCGGCCATTGGAGGGTGAACCAAAATGGCAAAGGAAGGCCTTTCTCTCTGTCTCTCTCTCGCACTGTCCACTCTGCCTGTCCAAAAAAAGAAAGAAAGAAAGAAAGAATCCTATTTGACTATCTATTTGAGTCCAGGCTGCTCCACTTCCAATCCAATTCCCTGCTAATGAACCTAGGAGGCAGCAGATGATGGCCCAAGTGCTTGGGCCCCTGTCACCCACTTGGAAGACCGAGATGGAGTTCCTGGCTCCTGGCTTTGGTTTAACCCAGCTCTAGCCATTGCAGCTATTTGGGGAATAAACCAGTGGATGGAAGATCTCAATCTCGCTATTTGGGGAATAAACCAGTGGATGGAAGATCTCAATCTCAATCTCTCTCGCTTCCTCCATCCCCCCCCCCCCCCACCGCCGGTCTCTCTGTAACTCTGATTTTCAAATAAATAAATCCTTTTCTTTTTTTAAAATGAGAGAGGAAATTATCTTCAGAGAAATAAAGGGGCACATCCTGCATGGAACAAGGAAGTGAAGCTATGGGAGAAAGGAACAAAGAGGTGTAGAATAAGGAGCTCTAAGAAATTTAAAACATGAGAACAGAAATAAAAATATTCAATGCATAGTTAAGAAATAAGAGTTCCTGGGGGCAGGCATACTCAAGCTGCCTGCATTCCATATCAGAGTGCCTGGTTCAAGTCCTGGCTCTGCTTCTGATTCCATATTCCTGCTAATGCATACCCTGGGAGGCAGCGGTGGGTCATCTCATTCCACGTGGGACAAGACTGAATCACCAGCTCCTGCTTTGGGCCTGGTCCAGCCCCAGCTGCTGTAGACATTTAAGCAGAGAGCCAGCAGACGGGAGATGAGTCAGCAAGTGATGGCTGAAGGAGCTGGGTCCCTGACTCCCAAGTGAGACACAGACTGAGTTCCTAACTCCTGTTAGAGCCCCAGGCCCAGTCCTAGCCATTGTAGGCACTTGGGGAGTGAACCAGTGGACGGAAGCTCACTTGAATGCTGTCTTCTCTCTGCCACTTGAATAAATAAAGTGAGAAAAATATAAGAGGAAAAAAAAAAACCAAAAAGCAGAAAACCAGTACAGGAAGACCAACATGTGATTAGGAAGAACCTTAGAAAGAAGAGAGAAACATAGGAGAAATGACCACAGCAGGAATAAAGCAAAGACTTTCAGAGTGGGTAGAAATGCACCACCCTAATCAGGCAGGTGGGGGCATGGCCACAGGGATGGAGAAGGGCAGCCATGCACAACATCTGAGGAAACACGAGCTTCAACCAGCAGTCGGCACCAGGCCCAAACCTTCAACAAATGCTAGGGAGTAAGAAAGCTGTCAGAGAAAAAGCACCACCCACAAAGTTTCTCCAGACCACCAAGAAAGGCGGATGGGCAGAGCCTCACTGTTCTGGGGCACCATGTGGGAGGCCAGCAACCAAGCACACAGAGGAACAGAAGCGAAGGAAGACACAGGTGTGCAAAAGAAAGATACCCTGGCAGCTGTGTGGGGAAGATGGACACTCTCTCACACATCAGCTCTCAGACCCTGGCAGCTGTGTGGGGAAGATGGACACTCTCTCACACATCAGCTCTCAGACCCTGGCAGCTGTGTGGGGAAGATGGACACTCTCTCACACATCGGCTCTCAGACCCTGGCAGCTGTGTGGGGAAGATGGACACTCTCTCGCACATCAGCTCTCAGACCCTGGCAGCTGTGTGGGGAAGATGGACACTCTCTCACACATCGGCTCTCAGACCCTGGCAGCTGTGTGGGGAAGATGGACACTCTCTCGCACATCAGCTCTCAGACCCTGGCAGCTGTGTGGAAGGGCTGTCCCAGGGTGACAGGGAAAAGCAGCAAGAGGGGCTTCAGGGTGGGGGTGGGGGGCCAGGCAGCAAGTATGATCCCCAGAACGAACACGCTGTGTCATACTGGGAGCTGGACAGGGATGTCCCCAGGCAAAGGAACAGACAGAAGGCCATTCATGGAATGCACCTCACTGAACCTTTCAGCTTCTTACTCCACACACCACTTGGAATAAAGACACATTAAAATTTTATAAGTTGCCGGGATTAGCAATATGCAAGTGCCAAAATTTTCAATGATCTATGTTTCACCATGATCTTATTCTCAAAAATCATTGAAAGAGCCAATGAAAATTTTAAGAATCAAAATACTTTAGCCTGATTCAGTTAAAGAAGAAATTACAGAGTTAGAAAACCTCTGTTTAGGGAGTGATGCTACTGCATAGTGGATAAAGCCACCACCTGAGACACCAGCAACCCTTATGGGCACCAGTTCAGGTACCAGCTGTTCCAATTCCAATCCAGCTCCTGCTAATTGGCCTGGGAAAAACAGCAGAGGATGGTCCAAGGGCCTGGCCCCCAGCCAGCCATGTGAGAGACACAAATGAAGCTCCCAGCTTCAGGCTGGCCCAGTTGTGGCGGTTGTGGCCAGCCATCTGGGGAGTGATTCAGTGGATGGAAGATCTGTCTAACTCTGCCTTTCAAAAAAATAAATAATTTTTTTTTTTTTGACAGGCAGAGTGGACAGTGAGAGAGAGAGACAGAGAGAAAGGTCTTCCTTTGCCGTTGGTTCACCCTCCAATGGCCGCCGCGCTGCGGCCGGCACACCTCGCCTATCCAAAGGCAGGAGCCAGGTGCTTCTCCTGGTCTCCCATGGGGTGCAGGGCCCAAGCACCTGGGCCATCCTCCACTGCACTCCCTGGCCACAGCAGAGAGCTGGCCTGGAAGAGGGGCAACCGGGACAGAATCCAGTGCCCCAACCGGGACTAGAACCTGGTATACCGGCGCCGCAAGGTGGAGGATTAGCCTACTGAGCTGCGGCGCAGGCCAGAAATAAATAATTTTTAAAATATTTATTTTATTTGAAAGGCAGAGTTACAGAGAGGGAATGGCAGAGGCAGAGAGAGAGGTCTTCCGTTCGCTGGCTCACTTCACAAATGGCCTCAACAGCCAGAGTTAAGCCAGAAACCAGAAGTTTCCCCCAGGTCTCCCACATGGGTACAGGGGCCCAAACACTTGGGCCATCTGCTGCTGCTTTCCCAGGTGCACCAGCAACGGGCTAGATCGGAAGTTGAGCAGGCACCCACATGGGATGCCAACAGTGCAGATGGTGGCTTTACCCATTATGCGACAATGCCATAACAAATAAATCTTACAAAAAGAAAACCTCAGTTTGGTAACCAGCCACTGCAATGAGTGATCCAGGCAAGAAGCTTCAGTGGAGGCAGAAGCCAGGAGGATGCTCTGAGAAGCCAGAGAACACACACGAAATCCCCAGTGTCTTCCCACAGGACTATACCCTATGAAAAAAGAGCAAGATGGCCTGGCAGAGCCTGCCACTGCCGAGGAGTCTGGAAGCCAAGTAGAACACGACACCCACATGGAACCACAGGCCAGACACAAATGTGCTGAGGACCCTGCACCACCACTGCCTCTGCTCTCCTCACCTGTCAGCATTTTGAAATGCAGTGAGACCTAGGCTAATCCTCCGCCTAGCAGTGCCGGCACACCGGGTTCTAGTCCCGGTCGGGGCGCCGGATTCTGTTCCGGTTGCCCCTCTTCCAGGCCAGCCCTCTGCTGTGGCCAGGGAGTGCAGTGGAGGATGGCCCAGGTGCTTGGGCCCTGCACCCCATGGGAGACCAGGAAAAGCACCTGGCTCCTGGCTCCTGCCATCGGATCAGCGCGGTGCGCCGGCTGCAGCGCGCCGGCCGCGGAGGCCATTGGAGGGTGAACCAACGGCAAAGGAAAACCTTTCTCTCTGTCTGTCTCTCTCTCACTGTCCACTCTGCCTGTCAAAAAAAAAAAAAAAAAAAAAGAAATGCAGTGAGACGGAGGCACCTGCGTTACCTGCAGGGCTGGAGCCTCGCTTGTGTCTCCCCAGTGTCCACCCCAAAGAGATGTGAACAATGTGTGAGCTGCACATCTTTTCCGTTCCAGGACACACTGTGAGGGAGGCCCACAGATGTGCAGTGGCCTCTGCTCAGTGATGTGTGCTGCACTGCAACCCTAATTTTAATAAGTACACAGGGAACTGCAAACGAGAGACGGCCTCAGGTCTACAGCTCAACTCGGAAGCACACGGGGCAGCATAGCAAGAGTGCTTGCTGGGAACCTCAGGCAGACTCACAGGAATTCCATGTGCTGCTCTGGACTCCGAAATCAAGGAAACAAGAAGTTGAAAAAAAGGATAAGTGACTTACCTGTTTCACTTCCATTGCTTTTTCCTTCTAACCCAAGAGGAGGTGATCTTAATGGATTTTGAGAATCAAAAGATGTTATGATGAAATCTTCGATATCTTTCTCCTGTTCAGACAGGGGGACTTTTAAATGGTCAAAATAATAAGTCACCACATCACATCACAAGACTGAACCTGCCAGGGGGAATTTTTTTCTAAGGCTGGAATTCATCATCGGCCCACAAAGAAGCCAGATGACAGTCTTCAAACGTGTGAACCCGTCAGGGTCATGTGCTTCCAATTTTAACTGGAAGTAACCCACAGTAACTGAGGAATATTTTAAAGTAGCCACTAGCAAGTATTTTAGATTTTAAAATGCTTTGCAGGAAATGATACTACAGGGGCCAGTATTGTGCCACAGAAGGTAATGCTGCCGTTTGCAATGCCAGCATCCCAATAAATAAATCCTGCCTGTTCTATTTTCGACCCAGCTTCCTGCTAATGGCCTGCGAAAAGCAGTGGAAGATGGCCCAAGTGCTCAGGGCCCTGCACCTATGTGGAGACCTGGAGGAGGCTCCTGACTTTGGCCTGGCTCAGTCCCAGCTGTTACAGCCATTTGGGGAGTGAACCATCAAATGGAGGATCTCTCTCTAACTCTGACTTTCAAATAACTAAATAAATCATTTTTTAAAAAAGAAATAAGTGGGGCCGGCGCCGTGGCTCAATAGGCTAATCCTCCACCTTGCGGCGCCGGCACACCGGGTTCTAGTCCCGGTCGGGGCGCCGGATTCTGTCCCGGTTGCCCCTCTTCCAGGCCAGCTCTCTGCTATGGCCAGGGAGTGCAGTGGAGGATGGCCCAGGTGCTTGGGCCCTGCACCCCATGGGAGACCAGGAAAAGCACCTGGATCCTGGCTCCTGCCATCGGATCAGCGCGGTACGCCGGCTGCAGCGGCGGCCATTGGAGGGTGAACCAACGGCAAAAGGAAGACCTTTCTTTCTCTGTCTCTCTCTCTCACTGTCCACTCTGCCTGTCAAAAAAAAAAAAAAAAAAAAAAACCAATTAAAAAAAAAAAAAAGAAAAAGAAATAAGTGACACTACATTTACGGATACCTCAGATAACATATCCCCCATATCCCCTTATTTTTTCTTATTGAACATATGCAAAATCCTAGTATTGTTAGAAAAAATATCGTCTAACTCAAAAATAATAAAGTACTCAAAATTATTATTTGTGAGACCTGTTAAATATGAAATACAACTAAAAAACACATTCAAGACAAAGAGCATAATTCTTATGCAAATTACAAGAAGATGCGTTTATGACTGTGCCCCTCAGAGTCAGCATCAGTCAGAAGCAGGCCCGGGGGGTTTCTGAGGAGGGCAGGTGTATCTCACACGTCAGAAGTGACTGGAATGATCTAATGTTCACCTGCAGTGGCCCTGCAGAGAGCTGCTCCCAGGGGCTGGGAGGCACCCAAGCACTGTCAGGTGAGCCAACAATGGCAGCTGCTGTGACCCTGGGCAGACCCTGAGGACACATCCCCTTGGGAACACTGGCTTGCACACCCCACAGATGCTGGACAGGGAGTGAGAGGCACCTACCGCAGCCATCCTCTCCACAGGGTTGTGGTCAGCTGACGGAGACTCTGCCCAGCACAGGGGCTGTCCTGCCAGATCGCCTGGTGAACTCAGCAGCCCTGGCGTGTGGGACTGTAGCAGCGACGCACCCATCCTCTCTGGTGGGGAGACACCAGCACTGCACAGGCTCAGGGCACCAGAGCAGGGTGTCAGGGGGAGGCTGGGCTGGGGCTCGAGGGTCGAGTCCTTCCTGAGGACCTCGGGGGAGCTCCAGGAAGACAGGTCCAACATTCTGGCAGTTTCCGTCAGGGGCTTGGCCTCCTCAGCATGACTCAGGGCACAGGAGTCACTGTGCACCCTGGTTTGTAACGAAAGAGACCCATCCTGTGTTCCTAATTTTTCTTGAATGGGAACATTTGGCATCTCCTTTCCTATCCAAGAATCTCGATTTTTAATCCCATCAACAAGATCCCATGTGGTTTTGTCAAAATCAAACGCATCACCAGGAGCAGTTCCTACAGGGCTATGGGAGCCATCATCCAAGCTCCCCTCCTGCACACACGCACACGCCACTGCTGACGCCTGCTGAAGTTTGAAGGCTTCATTGTCAATGTTCTGGAAGGCCAGGGAATATACCAGACGGTTCAATTTTTCTTGAAGTTGTTTGACCTGGGCTACAAGATCCACTTTCCACAGCTGGCAACCATCCAGTCGTCTTTCCTTACCCTGTAGGTAAGAAGCAGGGACACAGAGTGAGCTCCCTGAACCACGCTGCACAGCTGTCTGCCTGCCTGCCGGAGCACCTGGGAAACTGTCTAGGAGCCCTGTGGGGCCTATGTGAGACATGAAAGATTGCACATTTATATAGTCTCATGAAAAACACAATCAAAGTTTAAAAGCTCTCTATGTAAAGGGTTACTCTCATCCTATTCCAGGGGTAACTTACAGAGGACACAGATTTCTTTGTTTGAGGAAGAATGGACAGGAAATTTCTAAATCTTAACATTAAAAAACACAAAACCATATTTTATATAATGAATTTGAAGCTTCCATGCCAGCGTGTGACTTGAATTTGGCAACCAGATCATAATGTCACAGAGCAGACATTGGCTCGTGGTTGAGACGCCATTTGGACAACTGCATACCACATCGGCATGCCTGGTTCAAGTCCCGGCTCGTTCTGCAATCTGGCTCCCATATGCGCCCTGGGAGACAGCACAGGAGCCTGGGTCCCTGTCACTAGGTAGAAGACCCACGTGGAGTTCCAGGCTCCTGGCTTCATCGTGGTCCAGTTCCAGCTGCTGTGGGTACCTGGGGAGTCAGTCGGCTGATGGAAGAGATCTCTATCTTTCTATCTCTAAGGGAAGTGAAAATAAATTAATTTTTAAAAAGAATTCAAACGAACACCCTGTGCAGAGGATGGTGAGACCACCTCACTGCAGAGATGGGGAAAAGGCTCCCTCGCTCAGAGTGGGTTTCTGGAGGGTACTCCACCAACATTAGGAAGCCAGGCTTCTCCTCTCAGAAGTCAGGCCCAGCCAGGGCCACATCCTGCTTGGAAACCACGGGCCCAGTGTGCTGCAGAATTCAGAATTTCTCAGGTTCTAAGATATGGACATGGAGCACATGGTATAGACACGAGTGTGCCCTGAGGGCTGGGGCCACACCTCTGCTCTCTCACAAAACATTCCAGACACACACATCATTCACAGCTGGGCTTCTCTGAAGAAGTCAAGGCAAGCACATGATGGCAGCACAGTTGGGAAAACAGAGTAACCATCAACCATTTTTGGTGTGAAGAGCCTTTTGGGTTGGACTGGAAAGTTTGGATAAGGAGCTGTAATGCGATGAGCATGAGGCATGGACAGTGGTGTGTCGACAAGGTGTGGGGGTCCTGAGATGGACAGGAGGAGCCAGCATAACAGTACAGGCTAGTGAAGTGCCAGCAGCAACACAGCTGAGGGCAGACACTGTGCCACCGAGGGCGGGCTGCCCCTTGGGACACCACATCCCATACCGGAGTGAGCGCCACTTCAAGTCCCACCTACTCTGCTTCTGATCCAGTGCCCTGCTAGTGCACCCTGGGAGGCAGCAGATGACAGCGCCTACACTTGGGATGCTACCACCCATGCGGGAGATCCAGATGGAGTTCCTGGCTTGGGCCTGCCCAGCCCTGGCTGTTGTGGGAATGTGGGCAATGAGCCAGCAGATGGAAGAAGTTTCTCTAACTATCACTCTACCTCTAACTATCACTCTACCTTTCAAGTAGATTAAAAATAAGTAAACATTAAAAAAAGAAAAGAAGGCTGTCAGAAACAGCTCCAATCCCTGGGCTAAGTCTTTGCAAGGTAGGGTCACTGGGAACCTGCCTGGTGTACATGGGTCATGAGTTGTACCAACGTCTGCAGATTTGAAGATGCCAATGTGCAACCTATTCCCTCAACAAAAAAGTGAAAATACACAGAGGAAAAAAAATACACCTGAGGTTTCAAAACCAAATCTGAAGCCTTAAACAGACGAGTGCAAGGAGAAGCCAGAGGCATGTGCTACAAACCGTTATATGCACCTTGTTAACTCTAGGGCAAAGGTAACTATTTATGTTCACAAGCTTCTTAGACCCTGGGAAATGCGTAGCACTTGGGATATTTTAAAGCAGATATAAACAGCATGTTAGAGATCAGGTCCCTTTAGCATCAAAATACTGCTCAGTTCAGCAGGAGGCCAGGTCTGTCCCCAGCACACCTGGGTTCCAGCCTGTCCTCCCAGGCGCACGTACCTTCCGTCTTCCCAACACTTTGCTGCTGTCATCCACACACAGGCACATTTCGTTTTTCACCAGGAGCAGTTCTGACTCCAGCTGCCTCTGGCAGACTTCGAGCACTGACATCACACTGTCTTGTCTCTGCAGCCCCGCATCCTTCAATGTCACCAGGACTTTGCCATGCTGTGACAATGTTTAGAAAGTGACAGCTGAATACATCAGAAACTCAGTTTCTGAGAACTACCACAAGGAAAGAAAGTCTTGCCACTGCCCGCTGCCCAAGGGGCTCACTCGGGGTGCCACATAGCAGGTCAGGCTGGTACATCTGAAAAGCCTCTCTTCTTTCTGTGGAACTCTGACTTTCAAATAAATAAATAAAAATCTTAAAAAGGGAGATATAAAAAAATCAAAACAACTCATCCAAGTCCCCCTGTTCCAGAATGGATGGGCTTAAAACACTTCACACAGGAAGTGCTTGTTAAAAGGCAAGACATTTAATTAGAAGCCAAAAACAGAAATTTAAAGAGATGTAAGCTTAAAACTGTACCAAAAAGTGAAATCCCAGCCTGATTTCACAGCGCCAGACCCTGGACAAGTCGAGGCTGACATGAGCCTCAGGCTCCTTTCTTTTCTATTTTTTTATTAATATCAGGAGAACAAATTTCATATGTACAAATATAGGAGCAGAGCTGATACTTCCCACCCGCCCCCTGCCCATGTTCCCACCCTTTCTCCTTTTCTTCTTTTAATCTTTATGTGACATGCTTTTGGTTTATTTTATAATCATAAGATTAACCCTTCAGTAAGTAATGACCTTTTTTTTAAGGCTGACTTATTTATTTGAAAAGCAGAGTTACAGGAGAAGGGGAGGGGTGAGGGGGTATATGTGTGTGTGTCTCCCATCCACTGATTCACTCCCCAGATGGCTGCAATAACCAGAGCTGGGCCAGGCTCCTTTCTTTACCAGGTCAGGAAGCCAACAATAGTAAATGCAACCTTCAACTTGTCCAGCACAGAAGGCAGGCACTAAAATTACGAGAGACAGAGGAGGAAAGTAAGGAAAACTCCATCTCTTCTGAAGAACACCCAACACCCCTGGCACAGAATGGCTGACTTCCTCAGGGTCTTCAGTTTCTGTGGGCTGCAGGAAATGAGACCTACCTGTGGGTCATGATCTGGGCCACGGGAGACTGAGGTCAGCTGCTCGAAGTCGTCATCATATGCAGTCTCTGTATCCACACAAGGGTTGGGGTGGCCCCCAGGCACCTGTGTCCAGGCTGCAGCACCATGGGCTTGCTGCTTGTCCAGCTCCCGCTGGCACCTAAGGAACCTCTGGTTCAGTGCCTGCAGCTGGCGACTGAGGCGGACACACTGTGCCCGCAGGCGCTGCAGCTCGAGAGGCTCATCCAAGGCAGCCAGGGGCTGCTGTTCCAGGGCATGGCGGAAACGGGCCACGGCTAGCAGGATGGCCTGTAGCTCAGTGCAGTGGAACGCTTTCCACTTGTTCATGGCAGCAATTTCTAAATTTCTCTCTGCAATCGTAGCTTCCTTTGCTTTTAGAACAGCCTCAAACTCCTGGATCCTGGAGGCCATGCTCTGCACCTCAGCTTCTCTGAGTGCCACACTACGCCCAAGTTCGACCAGCTGCCGAGCAGCAGCCTCTTCGGCACCCCGCAGGCGCTGCTGCACAGCCTCCAGCGCCTGGCTGTGGCCACGTTCCTGGTCAGCCAGGAGCTGGCTCAGGGCCTGCTTGGCTGCATGCGCAGCTTCAAGCTCTCCCTGTAACACAGCTGGGCCCTCTACTTGACAACAGAGGAGTTCATGCTGCAGACTGTCAGCCTGACTATCACTGACTTCATGCACCACAGGCCCCATGAGGGACAGCTCACTCTGCAGCTTCTCAATGACTTCATGGAGTTGTTCAATTTCTTCTGCTTTATCCTTCTGTAATCGCTCTTGGTTCTCTTGCAAATTTTCAATAATGGCTTTCAACTCTTCAATTTCAGAGCTTCTATCATACACAACCTGAATATAAAGCAAATTTCAGAGGACACTTTAATACATCAACTCCAAAACTTCCTTGCAACACACAGGTCAGCATGAATTCATCCTTGTAGGAGATAACTCAACAGAATGAAAAGCAAATCAACAAGCCATGTCACCAGAGGGCATGCCGATGTGGTACTCAGCTGTTCAAGGCACACCCTGGTCACACTGGTACCTCCCACTGCAGCTGCACTATGTGCTGTGTCTACCCTCACCAGGAAGCTCTAACCAGGCCACTGTTAGTCAAGGATGTGTACACCACAATGCTTTGATCACCTCTGAAAAGCTGATTTGGGGGCTGGCACTGTGGTACAGCAGGTTAAGCCTCCGCCTGCTACACTGACATCCCAAATAAGTGCCAGTTTGAGTCCCAGCTGCTCTGCTTCCGATCCAGCTCTCTGCTAATGCACCTAGGAAAGCAGTAGAAGATGGCCCAAGTGCTTGGACCCCTGCATCCACATGGGAGACCCAGAAGAATCTCCTGGCTCCTAGCTTTGCCATGGCCTACCCCAAACCATTGCAGCCATTGGGAATGAGCCAGCAGAGGCCAGATCTCTCTCTCTCTCTCTGTGTGTGTGTGTGTGTGTGTGTCTCCCCACCTCCAATTCTGTTTTTGAAACAAATCTTAAAAAAAAAAAAAAAAAAAAAAAGCAATTTTGTTTGCAATAATGAAGACCCGGATGAGCCTTAAGCTCTTCAACACTTCTCTGCCGGCACATTTGTAGGAAGCTGGACTGGGGACAGAGTAGCAACGCAAACTGTGGTGCAATATGGAAAGTCAAGCACTGCAAGTGCAAGCTCAAGTCACTGGGCTACAACGCCAGCCACTAAACTCCATTATCTTGGTTTGTTTTCAGATTTGTTTATTTATGTGAAAGTCAGAGTTAGAGATAAAGAAAGAGGAAAAGACAAATAGAGAGACCTTCCATTAGCCTGTTCACTCCCCAGTTGGCCACAACAGCCAGGGCTGGGCCAGGCCAAAGCTAGCAGCCTGGAGCCTAGAGCTTACACTATAACACTGCCCTGTAAACTCCATTATCTTAAGATAATGTCACAATTCGTGTTTTAGCTAACGATTTTTAAACCATTCATTACAGTCTAATGCTTTGCTTCCAAAAAATTGGGAGTTCCATAAAAATCCTTGATTTCAGCATATTTCACATTATTTTAGACACAAATACAAATCTGGCCTATAGTAAAAACAAAAATTAGGGACTGGGCACTCTATTTCCAATCCAGCTTCTTACTCATGTACTTGGGATGCACAAGATGGCCCAAGTACTTAAGCACCTGCCACCCATGTGGGAAATATGGATGGAATCCCTGGTCCTTGGCTTTGGGCTGTTATGGTCATTTGGAGAGTAAACCCAAGGGTGGAAGAAATCTCTCTCTCTCTCTCTCATTTTGGTTTGAGTATCAGTGATATGCTACACTACTGCATCTGAATGCAGTAATTACACATCTGGTGGCAGGAAACTGCTAAATGAAAGGCTGGCTCCTCGCAGTGCACACTCAGCTCTATTCTGTATGCCCCTGCTGTGCACTGCACAACTCACATCGCTGTACTATACAGACAGGGAAAATATATATATATATATTTAAACACCAACTTCATTTAATTTAAATTTGAAACTGTCTTGGGGAAGTTTTACATTGAGTGAAGACATTTTTAAGGATAATTCTGTCTGGATACAACTGCTGCCTATTCACTAGACACACTGAATGCACTGGAATAAAAGGAAGCGCTCTGCAGAGCAGTCATGACCACAGCATGAGCATTAGGCTGAAAATCCGGGAGCCAGCAAAGGCGGCTCCAACGCGTCAAGCACTGAGATCCCTGAGACCAGTGCTCGAGGTGCAGCACAGCTGTAGTGCAGCAGAGCGGACGGGGAGGGTGGGCGCTGATGGAAAGGGGGCACGTCTGTGTCAAGAGCACATACACTGGGATCACACACATGCTGCAACAGGCCCTGTTCCCATCACAGTGGGCCCTAAAGGACAGTCGGTGTGACCCTCTGGGCAGGTAGTGAAGGCAAGTGGTATTTTATCTAAGAAGCATGACTTGCTCAGAAATGTGGCTCTGTGGGGTGTCTGAAGAAATGGTATCAGCAGGAAACTCAGAGGGGACAGGAAGGGGTGAGGCAACGTGGCCAAAGGACTGGCCAGGGCTGGAGTTCCTTACTAGGTGTGGAAAGATGCCCCTCAGATTCTTCCTGAACCAGACAGGTAACATGCACCTGCCTGCAGGAAACTCAAGACAGGGCAGAGGCCATCCGGTGGGAGAGTTTCCATTCTGAGCCTCTGCCCTCTGGCAGCACAGTGGCTGATGACCATGGAAGCAAAGAGGGCAACAAGGCTGTGGAGAGCAAAGACACGTTTGCAAGAGACACAGAGGAGCAGCCAGGTTCCAAGATCAGGCCCATCCACATCTCAACTCCATCCCACAGTGAGGGAAGGGACCCGCTCCCTGTGTGCACTCTCAGTCTGACCTCACCAACTACCACTAAAACAAAACCTGACGCTCCTCAAAAGCCAGAGTCCCACAGCATAATTTGCAGATACAAATCAAAATTCCTCAAAATATATGTTAAAAAAAAAAAAGGAATATATGACCAATTCTGAAAAGAGAGGGCCAGCATTGTGGCACAGTGGATTAAGCCACTGCCTACAACACCAGCATTCTATATGAGCACCAATTGGAGTCTCAGCTGCTCTGCTTCTGATCCAGCACCCTGCTAATGAGCCTGGGAAACTAGTGGAAGATGGCAAAAGTACTAGGAGAGACCCAGATGGAGTTCCAGTCTCCTGGCTTTGACCTGGTTCAGTTCTGACCGTTGCAGCCATTTGGGGAGTGAACCAGTGGACGGATAATCTCTCTCTAACTCTGCCTTTCAAATATATACATAAATCATTTTTTAAAAAGATTTGTTTAGTTATTTGAGAAGCAGAGTTACAGACAGAGAGAGGGAGAGACAGAGAGAGAGAGAGATCTTCCATCCACTGGTTCACTCCCCAAATGGCCGCAATGGCCAGGGCTGGGCCAGTCCAAAGCCAGGAGCCAGGAGCTTCTTTTGGGTCTCCCATGTGGGTGCAAGAGCCCAAGCACTTGGGCCATCTTCAGCTGATTTCCCAGGCCATAGGTGGGAGAGAGAGCCGGATCAGAAGAGGAGCAGCGGCCGGCGCCGCGGCTCACTAGGCTAATCCTCCGCCTAGCGGCGCCGGCACACCGGGTTCTAGTCCCGGTCGGGGCGCCGGATTCTGTCCCGGTTGCCCCTCTTCCAGGCCAGCCCTCTGCTGTGGCCAGGGAGTGCAGTGGAGGATGGCCCAGGTGCTTGGCCCTGCACCCCATGGGAGACCAGGAAAAGCACCTGGCTCCTGGCTCCTGCCATCGGATCAGCGCGGTGCGCCGGCCGCAGCGCGCCGGCCGCGGCGGCCATTGGAGGGTGAACCAACGGCAAAGGAAGACCTTTCTCTCTGTCTCTCTCTCTCACTGTCCACTCTGCCTGTAAAAAAAAAAAAAAAAAAAAAAAAAAAAAAAAAAAAAAAAAAAAAAAAAGAAGAGGAGCAGCAGGGACACGAACCAGCACCCATACAGTATGCCAGCACCACAGGTGGAGGATTAGCTTACTATACCGCAGTGCGAGCCCCTACATAAATCTTAAAAAAAAAAAAAAAAAAAAAAAAAGAAAGAAAGAAAAGAAAGAAAGAAAAAACAACCAATGGCAACCAATCCTGAGATGACAAAGACATTGGGACAAACGAACAAGGATGTCAAAGCAATGGTACACCTGTACTCAAAGATGTAAAAACAGGGGTGATCACCATAAACAAAAAGACAGGAAGTTGTGGAAGAACAGAAACTACAAAAAGAAATGAAAATTCTGCAATAAAAATGACAGTATCTGAAATTTAAAATTCATTTAATGTGCTTAGAACTACATTATCTGTGACAAAGTCCACGGAGTCAGAGAAAGAGAAAGAAAAAATTATTTTTTTAAAAAATGGAGATGGCCTCAAATATCTGTAGGACAATGAGGGCATTTTTGTAATTGGGCCTGCAGAAAAAGAGAAAATCACATAAGAAAAAATACTTAAATAAATAGCCACAAATTTCCCAACAGGAAACTAATTCAAATACCCTATAAATAATTAGTAAGAAAACACAATCTATAATCATTTAATCCCAATGAAGAGTTCACCAAGCCAACTGGTGCCACTGAACAATTCTACTCAATATAACACAAGAGGATGCAACAACTGATTCAATGAAGCCAGCAGCTGCGGGACAACACTCAGATACAGACAACTGTGGACCAAAGTTCCTAACAAAGACAGAGGCACAGCTTCTCACAGAAGGTAAGTGAAATCCAGCAACACATGGAAAGAATTATAAACCCTAACCAAACTGGGGCTGTTCCAGGGAGAAAAAGCTGTCCATATTTGAAAACTCATAAAAGTAACAGTAACAGAAGAAAGCAGCAGTCATACAGCTGCACTGACTGATGCAGAAACACCTAACAAAACCCAACACAGAGCCAACACGCCATCCAGACTGAGGGAGACCGGAAACTGTGTGGCCACATGAGCCACGGCCACAGCCGCATCAGCATACACCAGAAGCACCCAGGAGGCCGAGGTAATGCGGGTGGCGTGCATCACCACAGGAGCAACTTTGACAAATATCACCCAGGTTACTTCGGGAAACTTGGTATGAGGCATTATCACTTAAAGAGGAACCAGAGCTACTGCCCAGCTGTCAACCTTGGTAAGCTGTGGACGTTGGTCAGTGAGCAGACACGGGTAAATACTGCCAAGAACAAGACTGGAGCTGCTCCCATCATTGATGTGGTGTGGTCGGGCTATTACAAAGTTCTGGGAAAGCGGAAGCTCCCAAAGCAGCCTGTCATCATGAAGGCCCAATTCTTCAGCAGAAGGGCTGAGGAGAAGATTAAGGGCGTAGGGGGAGCCTGTGTCTTGGTGGCTTGACGCCACACGGTTCATTAAAATGCTAGCAAATGCTTAAAAAAAAAAAAAAAAGAATGCAATTCTCACTCGCAGAAAACAAGGAATACAGAATGTCCTCAACTAAAAAAAGGACCTCCTTCAAAAGCCAAAACCTAACCTCACATTTGATGGTGGAGACTGAATGCGGAAGCTCTAGCTAGCTCAACAAAGAAAGACATCGGCCGGCACCCCGGCTCACTAGGCTAATCCTCTGCCTTGCAGCGCTGGCACACAGGCTTCTAGTCCCGGTCGGGGCGCCGGATTCTGTCCCAGTTGCCCCTCTTCCAGGCCAGCTCTCTGCTATGGCCCGGGAGTGCAGTGGAGTATGGCCCAAGTCCTTGGGCCCTGCACCCCATGGGAGACCAGGATAAGTACCTGGCTCCTGCCACCGGATCAGCGCGGTGCGCCGGCCGCAGCGCGCCGGCCGCGGCGGCCATTGGAGGGTGAACCAACGGCAAAGGAAGACCTTTCTCTCTGTCTCTCTCTCTCACTGTCCACTCTGCCTGTCAAACAAAATAAAAATAAATAAAAAAAATTAAAAAAAAAAAAAAAGACAGACATCTAGCAGCACACAGATTGGAAAGATGAATATTAGACTGTCCCTTTTTGCAGATGACAAGATAATCTACATGGAAAATCCCAGGAAATTTTTTAAAAAGCTCCTATAGTAAATTTATCAAGAAACAGTATAATACACAAAAATTAAGTATAATTCTATATACTATCAATGAACAATTAGTATTCAAGAGGAAATATACCATTTAAGGTAACAGCACTACAATAAAACAAAATATGTAGATAAAAATCTCACAAAATAGATGAAGAATATCCCAGTTGAAAACTATGAAACACCAAAGACAGGAATAAAAAGGCAACCAAACAAGCAGAAGAACACTATATTCATGTCCCGGTGGTTAAGTTGCCCTTGAACATCTGCATCCATTATCAGAGTGACTTGCTTGAGTCCTGGCTCCTCTGCTTGTGATTACTGCCTCCTGCTAATGTGCACCCTGGGAGACAGCAGGCAACGACGCAAGTAGTTGGGTCCCTGCCACCCATGTCGAGACCTAAAATGAGTTCCTGGCTCCTGGCTTCAGAAACTAGAAAAGTGTAAAATTTTCCAACTCATTTTATGAAACCAGCAGGACCTTTATACCAAAACCTGATAAAATATTATAACAAGAGCTATTACAGGTAAATAGCCCTCATGAACATGGATGCAAAAACTTTTAGCAAAATAATATTAAGCCAAATCCAACAACATATTCAATATATTAAAAGGGTAGTCCATTTGACCTAGCATTTAACATGGCACTTGTGATGCCCACCAACCCACAATGAAGCCCCTGGTTTGAGTCCAGCACTCTCCTAGTACATACACTGAGAGCCAGCAGGTGACGGCCCAAGTACTTGGGTCTCGCCTCCCATGAGGGTGATCCAGACTGAGTTCCAGGCTCTGGCTTTGGCCTGGCCCAGCCCCAACTACTGCAGGCTATTAGGGAATGCACTCGAAGACGGAAGATCTCTGTCTCTCCCTGTCATTCTGCCTTCCAAGGAAATATTAACCTATTATGAAAAACAAAAACAAGAAAACACCTAATGGAATTATCTCAAGGATGGCTGGACAGAGCTAATGATCTTTTTGAGACAGGCAGAGAGAGATGGAGAGATGCAGAGATGCAGAGAGGGAGAGGAAGAGAGAGAGAGAGAGAGGGAGGGAGGGAGGGGGAGGGGGCACTCCCATGTGCTCATTCTGGGGCCAGAACCAGGAGCCAGGAACTCAATCCAGGTCTCCTATTTGGGTGGCAGGGAACACAATTACTTGAACCACCACTGCTAGCTCCTCCCAAATTCTGCAATGGTAGAGAACCTGAGTTGGAGTCCAGGGCCAGGAATTGAGCCCAAGCACTCTGATGTGTGATACAGACATCCTAACTGCCAGACTAAACATCCGCTCCTTTTCCCGGAGATGCTGAAGTATCCTCAAACAAGAACATATCAAGGTAACATTTTGATGCGTGTGTGTGCATGTGTGTAAGTATGTACAGTGAATACTTTCAAGTTTGTGTTACCTCAGCTCAATTTTCAAATGTCAAGTTTAACATTCTCATACCAGATGAGGGCTCAGTCACCTCTGACCCAGTTTTCCATATGACACTCACGCGGACACCACGCCTTACCAGCTTGGCTCCAGCCCAGGGACACAGAAATATTTCAGAGCGTGCTGAGTATCACCCCTCCCATCCCAGGATCTGTAAAGATTGGAAAAAGCCTGAAATTTCTGCATTGTGGTTGTCACTGAAGTCACACCTGCAATCTGACCCCTAAAAAGAACTCTGCAGGTACCCTCCCAATGGTTGCTGACAACTGCAGCTACCAGCCGAGCAGAGGCAAAAACACTCGGAGTCACTCAAAGCCGAGTGTGCTTTGCCTCGTGTGCATCCTCACAGCAAACAACTAACCAGATGATAAACTTTTCCAATCTACTTTATGATAGTTTTAAAAACTAAAGTACTGAAAAATGAACTTTTTAAAATTATTTATTTAGTTAATTTACTTATTTGAAAGGCAATTTACTTATTTGAAAGGCAGAGAGGCTGACGCTATGGCTTAGCAGATAAAGCTGCCACCTATAGTGCCAGCATCCCATATGGGCACCAGATCGAGTCCGGGCTGCTCCACTTCTGACCCAGCTCTCTGCTATGGCCTGGGAAAGCAGTGGAAGATGACCCAAGTCCTTAGGACCCTGCACCCATGTGGGAGACCCAGAAGAAGCTCCTGGCTCCTGGCTTCAGATTGGTGCAGCTCCAGCCATGCGGCAAATTGGGGAGTGAACCAGTGAATGGAAGAACTATCTTTCTGCCTCTCCTTTGCTCTGTGTACCGCTGACTTTCAAATCAATCAATCAATAAATCCTTCCAAAAAAAAAAAAAAAAAAAAACCTTGAAATACATTCTTTTAAAAAAATAAAAGAAAAAGAAAAAAGAAAGGCAAAGAGAGACACACTGAGAGACCTCAGATGCCTTTGATAGCCAGGCCTTGGCCAGACCAAAGATGGGAAACTGGAATTCAATCCGCGTCCTCCACATGGCTGGAAGGGAGCCAAGTACTTCAGCAACATTCACTGACGCCCAGAGTGTGCATTAGCAGGAAGCTGCAGTGGAAGGCAGTGTTGGAACTCGAACTCAGACATTCTGATATGGGATGCAAGCCTCACAACCAACATCCTAACCACTGCGCCAATGCCCACCCCTAAAGAACTGACTTAACAAAAGATGTGTAGCACCTCTTGATTAAGAAGTGTAGAACAAGGCAACAGCAAATGATAAAATTAAAGAAGCATCACTAACCCTGGTATCAGACTCAGCAGCAGAGGAACATGGAGAGTAAGGCAGAGGAACAACAAGGGGTCACCAGAGAGCGCAGGGCACAAACAAGGGATGGTGAGGCGGCCCAGGTGGAGAGAAGGGCTTGGTTTCCCATCAAACCTCAGAGATATTCTGATTCAGGGAGATGAAAATCTTCACCAGGGGTGGGTTTTTGGCTCAGCAGTTAGACTACTTGAGACACCTGCATCCCATATCAGAGTGTCTGGGTTCGAATCCCAGCTCTTCTTCTGATTCCTGCTTTCTACCAATGCACACCATGGGAGACAGCAGGTGATGGCTCAAGAACTTAGGTCCCTAGCTCCCACCAGCTGTTGTGAGCACCTAGAGAATGAGTCAGAAGATGAAAGATCTCTCTCTCTCTCTGCTTCTCTGCCTTTTGAATACAATTAAAATATATATATATTTTTTAAATCTTAAGTGATGGGGCTGGCACTGTGGTGCAGTGGGTTGACGTCCTGGCCTGAGGCACCAGCATCCCATATGGACACCAGTTTGAGTCCTGGCTGCTCCACTTTCAATTCAGCTCTCTGCTATGGCCTGGGAAAGCAATAGAAGATGGACCAAGTCCTTGGGCCCCTGCACCCACGTGGGAGACCCGGAGGAAGCTCCTGGCTTTGAATCAGCGCAGCTCCTGCTGTTGTGGCCAACTGGGGAGTGAACCATCAGATGGAGGATCTCTCTCTCTGCCTCTCCTTCTCTCTCTGTAACTCCGACTTTCAAATAAATAAAAAATTAAAAAAAAAATCTTTAGTGACATGAAAAGTCAGAAAACCCCAAATATGATTTTCTTCAAAGAATTAGAAATCCAGTAAAGTTCAGCCCTTTAAATTAAATTTTAGTTATGTTTATATAAAGCAACACATGAAAACTGTCTACACCTTAACAAAAAAAATCGGAATTATAGAAAAAAGATGCATGGATTTACATATATCTATAAATGAACAAAAATCTTAAAGGATTAATATTCTCTTTTTTTTGACAGGCAGAGTGATAGAGATAGAAACAGAGAGAAAGGTCTTTCTTCTGTTGGTTCGCCTCCCAAATGGCTGCTATAGCCGGCGCGCTGCACCAATCTGAAGCCAGGAGCCAGGTGCTTCCTCCCAGTCTCACATGCGGGTGCAGGGCCCAAGCACTTGGGCCATCCTCCACTGCACTCCCGGGCCACAGCAGAGAACTGGACTGGAAGAGGAGCAACTGGGACAGGACCGGCACCCTGACCGGGACTAGAACCTGGGGTGCCGGCGCCGCAGGTGGAGGATTAGCCTAGTGAGCATGGCGCCGGCCAGGATTTCTATTCTTAATGTGACTGAAATATTGTCCTTACATAACTACTTTTAACACGCTTTTCATTATATAAAATTCTACTCATATGGCAAATTCTAGAGCACTAAAGACAAATAAAACATACATTCCTCTTTTAAAAAATAAATCACTGGTTTTAAAAGCATTCCTCAAAATAACAGAACAGCATATTTTAAAATATTCCCAAGTATAGCAGACACCAACATGGAATGTGAGTATCCAACAGCCTCTGTCACTAGGAAATCTGGAGATATAAAAACTGAAGATTAAACTTCTTTTTACTCCTAAAGCCCCCACCATCCTCAACCTCTCCCAAAATTAAGAAAAGTGTCATGAATTTTATGTGAGGAGACAAATGTGTGTGGATCGCTTCCACAAACCACTGAGAAGGGCGGCCAGAGATGCAGTTGTGGCCAGGGCGGCCAGAGATGCAGTTGTGGCCAGGGCGAGAGAAAGAGCCATGACTGCGCAGGAGGGCTCACCTTGCTGGGAGCTTCACTTTCCACCCCACACTGCTGCACTGGGGGCGGCTCACTCGCACCTCGGGTGCCATCCCTTTCTTCCTCGTGCAGAATCACCTGTGCAAATGGGAAAAGCAACAGCTATGCTGACGAGGAAGCGCAAAGAGTGCCAGCAGGGGAAACGACTCCCGAGCTGGCAGACACGAACTGCTGTCTTAATCATACACACCTGTGGTTTCCAATATGCGACCTGAAATGCAATTTGAGAATGTTTTTCTATTAAAAACGTGTCAGTCTGGCGCCAGCACTATGGTGTATCAGGTTAAACCTCTACACTAGCATCACATATGGGTACCAGTGTGTCCTGGCTGCTCATCTTCCAATCCAGCTCTCTGCTAATGGCCTGAAAAAACAGTGGAAGATGGCCCAAGCACTTGAGCCCCTGCACCCACTTGGGAGGCCTGGAAGAAGCTCCTGGCTCCTGGATTCAGCCTGGCCCAGCCCTGGCTGTGGTGGCCATTTGGAAAATGAACCAGCAGATGGAAGATCTCTCCTATCTCTCTCTATCTCTCCTTCTCTATGTAACTTTGTCTCTCAAATAAATAAATCTTTTAAAAAAATATAGCAGTTTGCCTTTCACAATCTATTATTGTATTTCTCTTAGCAATCTGTCTCAAAGTCATCACCAAAGAAGAGGCAATGGGTGCTCCTGCCCAGTTCTCAGTCAATCAAGGAAGCACTCACCCTGAAAGGACAACCAGCTGGACAGCCGGATTTAGAGTTCCTCTCCCACCCAAGATATTTCAAAAGCGGTTCACGTGAAGAAACAGCATGGCCTACAAGCCTCACCAGTGGTGGGCCTGTGGTGCCAGCACGGCCACTGTGCAGTGTGTGTCAAAGCTGTCCTGCCACCTAGATTATCTTCCTAGAGGTTGCTTTCCTTTCCAAAAGCATAACTACACACAAACGTTAGAAAGATCTGAAACTGCTTATGCTATCATGCCGGGGAGGGGGACAAGCGACAATCTGCTCCCAGTCACCTCTTCCAGGACGTCACAGCCCCTGAGGCCTGAGTAAGGATGTGGCTTCCCCCTCTCGGTTCCTGTCATTAGGGGCGTGCTTCTCTGGCAATGCTATTCCAGCAGAGACCCTCAGAAGACCTGACTGCCAGGGTTACAAACAGGAAGCAGAGTTTGGGTGGGGTCACTGCCTGGGAATTCCCAGGAAGCTGCTTCTGCACACACTGCAAGGTGCCCAGATGCAGACTGCCCGCATGGACCCAACTTCCACCCTCCTGTGAAGGCTCCTGTGCGTCTTGTGGGGGCCCAGTGCTGACATCATCAGCACAGACATGGATTTACCTGTAGGCTGTCATTCTCTTCTTGACGCTCTCTGAGGCTGGCAGCAGTACGGTTGTTCTGCACATCTAATTTTAAGTTCAGATGTAGTATTTCTTCATTTTTACTCATTAAGTCATCTTTAATCTTTTCTAGCTGTTCTTTTAATTCCAAAACCTTTCATTAAAAAAGTATGGAAAATTATCTAATATTCTAAATGACATAATAATTACTAAAATAGCTGTGGAAGATTTAAAACGACATGCCAAAACCAGTTATGATTATACTACACTCACATAAAAATGAAAAAATTACGAAGCATATACAATAGTTACAAACCTACCGGCTGTTTCTCTGCACATCTGGCCATCAGCAGACACTGTGAGCTGAGCCGGGCAGCGCCCGTCACACAGCCTGCTGCACACTCACCTCGCTTTCCCGCTGCAGCAGTGCCCTCTGTGCCGCCTCTAACTGCAGTCCAGCCTGCTCAGAAGGGCAACAGAGCGGCGGCACAGGCCTGCTCCCTGCATCTGGCTCAGAGTGCAATGCGCACACAAACAGGCAGGTACTCGTCTGCTGCTCCTTTAGTGCCTCTTTATCCTGTTTAAGAGAAAATGAAACTTAGTTTAGGCAAGTATTTAAGCAATCAGGGACCTCAAACTGCTGTCTACCAAAATATAAGCCATGCTCAGCTCTTCTGGAAGCCCGGCGAGAGCCCTTGCAGTCAGCAAGTCACCGGCAGCACATGAGGACAGAGACAGCCTCTCCAGCCAGCCCCACCACGGTGTGCTTCCTTGATTAGTCAACAAGGTAAAGTGTTCCCCACATTGTTAAACAATTTTTAAAAACTGTTTGTTCTGTACCTGGCACTAATCAGCTGAGTGAATGCTGCTAAAAGAAATCACAGAGGAACCAGTTCTCCAGCAAAAGCCATTACCAAGACACAGGTTAGACAGGAAGGGTGGGTGACAAGGCAGTGCTGTGGTGCCCTCCGAGGAGAGGGAACTAGAACACACCACGTTGTCAGGGAAGCACCAGGCTTCGTTTAACAGCTGTCATCAGCACTGGCAGCAATCAGTAACACCCGACAAACACTCTCCTCCCTGAAGCAGGATTTGTGCAAGACCAAACTGCTATTGTAAAATAAGACTTTTCACTGAGCCTCGCCATTCAGGTAACCTTTAACCCTCAGTGACACGAGTACACGGAGAGCCAGCAGGTCAATTCCTTGTAGCTCAGAGGGCACAGCTGCTTCCTGGAAAGCAGCCGCCCTCCCAGTCCAGCAGGCTCCCTTCTCCGCATTCACACTTAAGCTTCAGAGGTGAATAAAGACACAAAGCATCACAGACACCTAACGCCAAGCTGAGACATGAAACTATCACTGGGTAGCTAACACAAATCAAAATAATTCTAACTAGCTCCAAATATTTAACAATTTTTTAAGCCTAAGATGTTATTTATTTTATGAAATTACTAGGTATAAATTCAGAGTATTTATGAGATAAAGAAATATAAAATTGGCATAAAACGTGAGTAACCAAAGCACCCCCAGAGAGGTCAGAGTGAAGCTGCTATTGAGCCCAAGAGTGTCTGGCTGGCCCCAGCAGTGTGTGTTTCTGGTGCAGGCTCAGTGGGTCAAGTGGTAAGGGAAGACCCCGCCTACCCCTGCCCCACCCAGCAGCACAGAGCGAACCCAAGGAGATGAGCGTGCAAACAGCATCCACACGCTTAGCCTCCTCACTACAACACGAGGCTTTACCTGTTCTAACTCTTTCACAGTCTTCTTCTGTCTTTCCAACTCTTCCTGGAGCTGCAGCACTTTTCTCCTGGAGCTGGCATTTGCCTCTTCCAAACGCTTGATTTCTTCTCCCTGGATCAACACTTGTCTGTCTGCTGACTCTTTCTTTATAGCCAATTCATTAAATCCATCTGATTTTTCTCTCAACTTTTCTAGTAATGATTCAATCTAGAAAACAAAACATGCTTGAGAAATATAACAGTTAAAGAAAACCCACTTCCCACATTAAAGCAACTGGCAGAGAGAAAATAAATGCCTCGGTTGCACAGTGAAACATGAGGACAGAACAAGGTTCAGTGTGTAAGAAGGGCATTCCATCTTACACGTAAAAATAATAATATAAAACTTATCAGTAAAATTTTGACAGGAAGGAATGGAATACTACCCAGCAATAAAAAAGAATGAACTAAGCATACAGGCAACAACATCGTGATTAAGAATTAGGCTGAGTGAACAATGCCATTTCTGACGGTCGTCATGCACAGGAATCCATTTATACAACATCCCTGAAACAGAGGACAGGATGGTGGCTGCCAGGGTTAAGAGGTGTGGCTCTAAGAAGACAACTGAGGGGCCCTGGGGGCTGGGACACCCGGAACCTTCAAGGATCCCTGTTCACCAGGGTGGTAGGCGCTGATGGCAGTTCTTCAAGGTGTGGCCACAGGGATTTCTGAATCTTGCTTCTACATTACTTCAAATAAGTTTAACTCAAAAAGAGAACAAGCAAATCAACTACGGAAGCAAAGAGCTAGAGCTGCAAACAAAAGCAGGGGGGAGAGGAACAGGGCCGAGCACACCGCCCCTCCCCACCCAGCTACGCAGAGTGGGAGGAGCTGCAGCCCCAATGGCAAGCATGAACTTCCCTCTGCACAGGAAGGACCCGAGCACCGGCAGGGGCTGTCCATCGTACCTCTTCATCCAGTTGGGCACGCTGTTGTTTTCACGTACATGGAAGGCAAAAATTTAAAGAAAAAAATCTTAGAAACACCACAAAGAATGGCTACCCACAGGCAGGGCACACACAGGGCTGACCTACCCAGCTGTCCCGGGGGCCCGGGGGCTGTGGCTTGGCTGCCTGGCGCAGCTGCAACTCCAGTCTGTCAATCTCCTGCTGGAACTCCTCACGCTCATGCTCCCGCTCTGCGGCCTGTTCCTGCAGTGAGGGGCAGCGCACCAAGACGACTGTGCTGAAGCAACTGCCAGACACAGCCTGGTCTCCACCAGCCTACAGACCTGCATGGCCAAGGACGCAACTTCCCCAGCACCCAGTAACAAGGACTCCAGTGTGCCCTGTCATAGCCATTTTTACAACATGGAACTCACTGAAGAACAGCAGCCCTTGAGACGTAGACAGGGTAGGTTTTGACACTCTGGTACTGTGTGAAGCTCCTGGGCAGGGAAGCAAGAGCAGGCCACACAGACCACACAGGACACAGAACGGCTTGACTGCTGGATTCGTCTGCCAGGACCACACGCAGGAGGGTGATCCCCAGCAGACAAGGAGACACAAGCTGGCCCAATGGCCTGGAAAGGAGTTCAGGTGTCATGGTGAGCTGCAGTGATGCAAGCAGAACACACACAGGACTCTTACATCCATGAACTGCCGCTGGCTCCGCAGATGCTTGTCCAGAGCGGCCATCTCCTGCTTCAGGGCGGCGACCTCCTCGGCCTGCCTAGCGCAGCCTCGGTGCTGAGCGAGCTGCTCCTCTAACTCCAACTCCAGTGTCCCCATCTGGGCAAGCAGGGCCTCACGGTCCTTCTCAGCCTGCTTCCTGGTCTCCAACTGCTCCCTGGTTAGGTATTCAACTTCCTTCCGCAGAGCTAATGATGCAAAAAAAAAAAAAACACAACAACACACACACACACATGGAGGACCCAGGCAACTTAGCACAGAGAGCAGCAGGCCAGGAACACGAAGCATGCATTTCCTGACGGCGAGCATGGATGGACCAGTGCCAGACCTCAACTGCAACTGAATGTGGGCACCCTGCTCTGCATGGGCAATCCACGGAGACAGACATGCCTCACCCATATCCCCATCACACACCGAGCCCACACCTAGCATAGCCACACTCAGTCAAACACCAGCTGAAAATAAAGACAGATTAAGTTTGGGATGAGGGGAGACACATCTTTTAAATGTGTCTTTTAAAACTCACTAAAATAGGTTTAAAGCCTGAGAAGAGGGTACAGACATTTGGCAGAGTGGTAAAACGCTGCTTAGGACACTCACATCCCATATCAAAGTGCCTGAGTTCAAGTCCCAGCTCTGCCCTCAATCTAGCTTCCTTCTAATGTACATACTGCAGGGTGGCAGGTGATGGCTCAAAAAATGGGGTCCCTGACACTTGGGTGGGAGGTGCAAATTCAGTTCTGTACTCCTGGCATCAGCCTGGCCTGGCCTTGGCTGTTGCGTGCATTTGGAGAGTGAATCAGCAGACAGAAGATCTGTGTCTATTCTGTCTCTCTGCCTTTAAAATAAACTGAAGATAATAATTTTTAAAACAATACATATATATGTATTTTAAGATTTATTTACTTATTTGAAAGTCAGAGTTAGAGAGTTAGAGAGAGAGAAAGAGAGATGCAGAGAGACCTTTCATTTGCTGGTTCAATCTGCAGATGGAAACCAATGGCCAGGACTGGGCCAGGCCAAACCAAGGAGCCAGGAACTTCATCTAGGTCTCCCACGTGGGTGGCAGGGACCCAAGCAATTGGACCATCTTCTGCTGCTTTTCCCAGGGCATTAGCAGGGAGGTGGATTGGAAGTGAAGCAGCCAGAACTCAGACTCGTGCTCATATAGGATGCTGGTATCACAGGTGGTGACCTTATCTGCTATACCACAAGGCCAGCCTCAATAAAGATATTTGTAAAAAACAAGTCTGGGGTTTGAGTTGTGGTACAGTATGTGCCAGTTCATGTCTCAGTTGCTCCACTTTCGATCCAGTTCACTGCTAATGTGCTGGGGAAAGTAGCCAAAGATGGAAGTGCTTGGACCCCTACACGCATGTGGGACACCTGGATGAAGCTCCTGGCTCCCAGCTTCGGGCTGGCTCAGCCCTGGCCATCGCCACCATTTGAGGAGTGAACCAGTGGTTAGAAGATCTCTCTCAGGGTTGGCGCTATAGCACAGTAGGTTAATCCTCCGCCTGGGGCGCCGGCATCCCATATGGGCACCAGTTCTAGTCCCGGCTGCTCCTCCCCCAGTCCAGTGCTCTGCTGTGGCCTGGGAAAGCAGTGGAGGATAGCCCAAGTCCTTGGGCCCCTGCACCCATGTGGGGGGCCCGGAGGAGGCTCCTGGCTCCTGGCGTCGGATCAGCGCAGCTCCGACCATCGCGGCCGTTTGGGGAGTGAGCCAGTGGACAGAAGTCTGTCTCTCCCTCTCACTGTCTGTAGCTCTACCTCTCAAATAAATAAAATCTTAAAAAAAAGAATTAAGCAATATGAATATGTTGACCTTCTATGAATTAAAATATTTTAAAAAAAGCTCTCTCTCTCTCTCTCTCCTCCCCCATCTTGCTTTCTCTATGTAAGACTGCCTTTCAAATAAATAAATAAATCTTAAAAGAAAAAAAAAGTCTGAAAGAATACATCTTGGTATTCTCAAACAACACATCCAGTAACTTTCTGGAAATAAAGTCTTCACATGCATTCAACTGCAACTTGCATTAAAACCTCCATGCACATAAGCACATCTCAGAGGAGGCAGGGGAGGCTCCCGACAGAGCTATTTACAGTGCTGAGGGTGCAGATCTGTGACAGGCCCAAAGCTTTAAAAGCAAATCAAAGGTCAATCTAAAATTAGCTGGGTGCTAGGAGGGTTTGTCCCCTCCCAAACCCATGTTGAAATTTAATTGCATTGTAATGGAACTGGGAGGCAATAGGGCCCTGAGGACTCCAAGCTCATATGCAGGTTTAAGGCCTTAATGCAAGGCCTTTCCAGGGTGGGATCTTTCTGCATCTCTCCTGGCCCTTCCACCTCCTGCCAAGGGTCTGCAGCGTGCCATCATGGCAACAGCGAATTCCTCCAAAGACACAGAACCTGCTGGCACCTTGACCTTGGAATTCCAGTCCCCAGACCTGTGAGAAATAAATTTCTGTCCTTTGAATTTACCCAAACTCAGGTATTCTGTTACAGCAGCACAAAGAGTCTATGATGCTGAGTGACAAGCTATAAAAACTACTGATCAATTAGCATTTGGAAAATGGGGGGTTTACTGCCAAATCCTTGAGTGTCTGAACTACTCAAAAACTGACACACTGAACTCATACAATTTAATTTACATTGCAGGAGTTTTTAAAACTTAATCATTTTGTTTTGCAAAAATTTGTGAATCTTTTATGACAAACTATCATCATTAATGCAACATTCTCAGTAAGTTTTCATGCCAACAGACAACAATAACAGTAAATTAGCCTGAAACATGCAGTTACACTGACATCATTCACAGTCCTTAAGACACAAAGCCAGGGCCTGAGGTGGCGGCTCTAACAGTCAGCGCTCTGCACCTCAGCCCCATGACAGACATGCGCCCTCGTGGCCAGGCAGCACTGCCTTCAGCCCCAGTTCTGGAGGGAAGGCCCGTGTGAGTGGGACGGAGGCCCCCAGTGGCCACACAGGCGTGCTGAGGACCTGCTAGAGCTCCCTCACACGCAGACGCTCAAGGAGGGCCCAGCCCTCTTCCTAGAGAGCAGGATGCACGCAGGCACCTTAGACCAGGAACAGCCACAACAGGCATAGACACCATTCCTGCAAGACAGCACAAATCACAGCTCAGGAACTGTGGTGATTACTAAAGGAACGCTTGCACTTTGCTGGAGCACCAAAATGAACGACTCTGTCAAGTTTTATGAACAAATACCGAAATTTATAGAATAGTTTTATTTAATGGTTTGCCACAAAAGCTCTGAAGTGTTTTTCCACTTCAGTAAATAATCTGCCATGTCTGATGCAAGCATAGAGCATGTCACACAGAAGCCACAAACCTGAGTCCATGTGTGCTACAGTGACAGGAGCCCCTAAAAGGAGAATGTGCAGCATTTACAGGGATGAAACAGAAAGCGTGCAACAGGAGAGTGACAAACAAGTGCAAGGACAGCGTCACCAGCCTCCCAGGTAACCATAGAGGTTTGCCCGGAAGTGGATGCAGGCCTGGTACCTAGGGAATTTGGCATCCAGCATAGAGAAGATAAAAACAGGGCAGATGACCCAACCTCCAAGTGGCTACAAACACACTGGACAGCAAAGGCAACACACACAGCACACAGGCAAGCAGGGTCATGGGACCTCCCGAGACTCCAGAGCAGTCAGTCAGTGTTCACAGGTCTCAAGGGAGGGCCAGGACTTTGTGAAATCCCAACACCCAGACCACATGTGGAAGTCAGGGGTTGGCAGTCCTGACAGCTGGTGCAGAGTAGCTAAGGCTGTCCGTAGCGTCAGAATGCACACAAATCCCTGAATGGAAGCAGGGCCAGGGCTGGGCAGGGGGAAACTGAGGCAGGGTTACCAACATTACAATGAAACCAAAACAGATGATCCCAGAGAAAAAAGAACTTTCCAGCGACACAACAAAACAGAGGAGGACAGCCTGGTTTGAGAGTGGGAAAGTGCTCCCTGAGACCGTTCCTGCAGGCCTGTCACCAACCTTGGCTTCTGTTCTGGGACCTGCAGGTCCAGCCTTCCCAAGGCAACCAGGCTGTAGATGCGCAGTTAACTCCACCCACCAATGGGATACTCCATGAACTAGGCTTTGCCATAGGGGTTGAACCAGAGACAAAGAGGAAGGACAGACACAGCCTCCGAAGGCACATGCAAAAAGCCAGCCCCAGGGGCCAGCACTGAGGTGTAGCAGGTAAAGCCACCACCTGTGATACTGGCATCCCATGTTAGTGCTGGTTCATGTCCTGGCTGCTCCACTTCTCATCCAACTCCTTGCTAATGGCCTGGGAAAAGCAGAGGAAAATAGGCTAAGTGTCTGGGCCCCTGCCATCCACGTGGGAGGTCTGGATGAAGCTCCTGGTTTCTGACTTCAGCCTGGCTCAGCCTTGATTGCTGTGGCCATCTGGGGAGTGAACCAGTGAATGGAAGACCTCCCTCTCTCTGTAACTGAGACTTTCAAATAAATAAATAAATCTTTAAAAGGCAGCAGCAACAGCAGCAGCCAGACCCAGCACGGTAGAGTCCAGTGCACATTACAAGCACCTGACCTTAAGGGACAGCCTGGGGCCACCAGGCTCTTGGCCTCCCAAGGCCACTGTACTGCTCAACAGCTCTTGCGGCCTTTTCTACCCATTTCCCCACCTGAAATCCCAATGCCCAGAAGAGGTGAGCAGGCAGGCATTCAAGACACAGAGAGTGGATCCTGTATACGCAGCTCACTGCATGTGGAGATGACGATGCACTAAAGACATATCAGGAATGCAAGGCCTCCTAGAAGTGCAGAGTCGGCAGGAGTGATGGCAGGCACGGTTCGCCCTGGCCTGAAAGTACAGACCCAAGACTGAGAGGTACAACTTCACACAAGCAGAGAGAGGTCCTGCCTGTCAAGGCATGCTAGGAAGAGGAACAAGACAAGCAGATACACAAAAAAGAAAATGACAACGAAGACAGCAGGCACAGGTCTCAGTGGATATGTGTCGAATGAACTGTGGCTGAAAAGACCAAAAGAGACTCACAGAAGATCTTTTAAAGTCACTAATACAGAATCCGCAGGAGACATAACGGAAACCAAAGTACCAGGAGAAGCAGAAGGGAATGGAAAAGATACAGAAGTGGTAAAAATCAGATTAATATTTTAACATCATAAATTTACACTAAAAATTGGAAACAAAGGGCAGGCATTTAGTCTTGTGGTTAAGACATCCTCATACCACGTGGGAATGCTTGCATTCAACTTCCGGCTGCAGCTCCCAGCTCCAGCTTCCTGTCAAGGCAGACCCTGGGAGGCAACAGGCGATGGCTCAAGTACTTGGGTGCCTGCCACTCACATATGAGACCTCGACTGAACTCCTGGATTCAGCTTGGCCCAGTTTCAGCCTTTGTGGGCATTTCGGGAGGGAACTAGCAGATCAGAGAAAATTCTCATATTCTCTCTCTCGAACTGTGACTCTTACTCTTTCCCACTGTCTCTCAAAAAAAAATAATAATAATTAATTTTTAAAAATTTCAAAAAGCCTTAAAAATTTTTAAAACCTGCAAACAGGACGAAAGGATGTCAAAGAGAAGAACAAAGGGCAGCAGCAGACCGCGTCCAGGAGCAATGAAGCAGGAGCTCAAACCTGAGCTCTCCCAGGCGAAGGAGACCAAAGCTGCTGGCTGTAACCACAAAGAACCAGAGGTCAAGTGGAGGGGTACCAGCAAAGGGCCCACATCCTGCGAAGGAGGCAACAGACACAGCAACAGCACCGACCCAGGAGAGTTCACAGAGAAGGCAAAGGAAATGAAAGATGAGGCAGACCGGTGAGACAGAGGACAAGTGGAAAGGAAGGACAAAACCTTTTAAAAGAAGAATAAAGAATTTTTGGAGGGACTGGTGCTGTGGCGCAGCGGGTTAACGCCCCGGCCTGAAGCGCCAGCATCCCATATGGGCACTGGTTTGAGACCTGGCTGCTCCACTTCCAGTCCAGCTCTCTGCTATGGCCTGGGAAAGCAGCAGAAGATGGCCACAAGTCCTTGGGCCCCTGCACCCGCGTGGGAAACCTGGAAGAAGCTTCTGGCTCCTGGCTTTGGATCTTTAGATCTGGCCACTGCAGCCAACTGGGGAGTGAACCAGCAGATGGAAGACCTCTCTCTGTGTCTACCTCTGTAACTCTTTCAAATAAATTTAAAAAAAAAAAAAAAAAAAGTGAGTTTTGGTGAATCTACCAAGGTTGCCTGGGTGTGTGGGGAGCAATCCGGACTAGATTAAGTTGCTCGACAGGATGACCCAGGTTCCAACAGGAAGTGCAGTCTTGTGGGTGGATTCACCCTCCAAGCTGTGATCCCACTCCAAGGGGACATAAAACCAGAAACACCCCTTCCCTCCCAGGCCACCCTGGACAGCTGTGCCACATGCCACACACACACTCTTGCATGTGACAGTGCCTAACAGATGAGCAAATGGGAGGAAGCAGGAGTGCAGGTCCACAGAGCCTCGGTGCCAGCACCAGGCCACAGCCTTCCTGGGAGAAGTCTTCACAGGATGCGTCACATCCCTGCACAATTTTAAACACTTGTTTCGTGACCGTTTCTATATGAAATACCTAAAAACCTGAAGCCAAATAAACAACTTTGTTAAAACTAGATGCGTTCCAAGGATCTGAGGGCATTTGGAAGAGCAGTTAAACTGCCATGTGGAAAGCCCCCACCCTAGACCAGAAAGCCTGGGTTTGAGTCGCAGCTCCGCTTGCAACTCCGCTTCCACCCCTCTTCTTGTTTAAACCCTAGGAGACAGCAGGGATGGCTCCTGGGCCCTGGCTACCCATGTGGGAGACCTGGATGGACTTCTTGGCTCCTGGATTCACCCTGGCCAATCTCCAGCTGTTTTAGAAATTAAGGGAGGAGCCTGTGCTGTGGCATAGTAGGTTAAGCCTCGCCTGTGGTACTGAAAATCCCATAAGGGCACCGGTTCTAGTCCCGGCTGTTCCACTTCTGATCCAACGCCCTGCTATGGCCTGGGAAAGCAGTAGAAGACAGCCCAAGTGTCTGGACCCTTGCACCCACTTGGGAGACCCAGAAGAAGCTCCTGGTTCCTGGCTTCGGGTCGGCCCAGCTCCAGCCATTGCAGCCATTTGGGAAGTGAACCAGCAGATTTGAAGACCTCTCTCCCTCTGCCTCTCCTTCTCTCTGTGTGTAACTCTTTCAAATAAATAAATAAATAAATAAATCTTTTAAAAAAAAAAGAGAGAGAGAGATTAGACTAGATCTGAGCTCCCTTTCAAAAAAGAAAAAGGAATTTGGGGAGTGGACCTTTCGAGTCCAACTAAAATAGAATGTTTTTTGTAAAGGTAAGTTAATAAATGTGTTCCTAGGTAGGGTTCACATTAGGTACGAAGAGGTAATCTCTTCTGCGTCCCACTAAACCTAAACAAAAGCTAATCTAACTAGATATAGATTACCTGGGATGTTCTAACTCTAGTAAAGTGTGCTCTCTCAGTCAAAAGAAGGAAAGCTATTTTATATATATGCTCTTCACAGACTAACAAGACAACAAACGAGATTTCTGGGAACGGCAAGATTCTGTGGAATTTGGATTCCAAGATCTTGAATCTGCTTTAAAAATGCCTGGTGCAGACACTGTGCTGGACAGGGGAGCTACAAGATTGTTCCAAAGAACTAAGGAGCTTCTGACAGAAGCTCCAACACTGGGATTGCTGGTGACAGGATTCTATGGAATATGGATTCCAGGATTTGGATTCTAAGCCTTGTATTTGCTTTAAAAGCCCCTGATGCGGACACACTGTGCTGGACAGGGGAGCTACGGAAGGTGTTCCAGGTTAAGGAGTTGCTGACGAAAGCCCCAACATCAGGAGTTCCTCGGCAGGCTGTCTATAAGAAGATCCTCTTGGGATCAGTTGCAGCTTAAATGAGAGAGACCTTACCAGGTGCTACTGCGCACGACTACCTCCGTGCAATTAGGACTAAACCTCTGCCTCTCGAGTCTTCACACGTGAACTCAAAGACCCACCTGATTACTCCTGTAAGCCAATCAGAGACCTTAAGTACCTCTTCAAAGCAGAAAGATAAGTAAGGCCTTTGCCTTCCTCACATCGGGACTGCTGCCCCTTAAGGCAAACGTGCTGTATCTGCCTTTCTCGAGTCTCTCTGGGAACTGTTATTAACAATAAAACTCCTAATGGGTTCTTCTATTGTAACTCTATGCTCAACCTAAATGGGTTTATAATCTACACAAGGGTAGCCTATCACCACCCACTATCTGGGAGTCTGAAAGATATGTTCTTTCCATCTTTTGGGGCACTCTACTAACAACTGGTCTTGTTCCAGTTTTGCTTATGCTGATTAACATGTTTCAGAATTCGACTTCTGGAAATAACTGACTATACAGGAGACACAGCCATTGGTGGTGACCAAGACTGCTCCAGCTCACAAAGAAAACTTGTCAGATGAGATAGAGACTTCCAGACACAGGACAGGCAGGGCTTGTGCTACACCCCTCATAAGCAGGAAACAGCTACAGAAGATGGATGAGTCTACGCCCTTAATCCCTTGGATTAAGGGAATGGAGTCTCTGAGGGGGAATGATGTAGGTAAGCATACAGGATAAAATTGATCAGGTTTGTGACCTGGAAAACCACCCCTTCACCATGCCCATGTGACCTCATGTCCCTACCAGACCACACCTGTGCACCCACCTGCCAATCAGACTAATTAACCACTCCCCTTTGGAAGTGGATTAAAGATCTGAAACATGGTGGGTTCAGCCCTTTTTTGGCCTCTTTCACCATTGCAGACCCTTGCTGCCCCACACCTTCAGGCCACCCGCTTCCATGCTTTCTGGCCTGCATGCTCCTCCACGTGGCTGGCTCCTGGTGCTCAGTATGAATCTAGATTTCCCTCTCTCACTCTCCTATGCATTTCTCTCACTGAATAAAAAGCTTAAAACCTAAAAAAAAAAAAAAAAAAGCACTTTGTTCTAAATGAAATTTTGAAGGCACTCTGTGCTCAATGTGGGCTATCTGTCCTAAGGGTCCTAAAGTGCAGAAGACACTCACCCCACAGGCACAGGACACGAGGTCAGCAATGCAACCTGGAGGACCTGGTCCCTCTAACAAGCCACAGAACAAGTGGGTTCTTCACCTGGATGTACTTGGCAAAACCCTCACACAACCCCGTATAAGACACACACACACACACCTGGATGTACTCAGCACAACCCTCACACAGCCCCGTGTAACTAACACACACACACACACACACACACACACACACAGTAGCACAGTAGCTGGGGCTGGCTGTGGCCACAATCCTGGCCCCAGCCTGTTCTCACCAGCTTCTCTTTCTTCTGCTGTCGCGGCCGCTGCTTCCTTGAGGCCCTGCAGGACAGAGTACTCCTCCTTCAGCACCATATGTGCCTGGGCCTCCTGCTGCAGCTGCCGCCTCAAGCCATCCAGTTCCAGGGCAAGGCGCTGCTCGGACTCCTCCTTGAGGCCCAGTGCCTCCTGCAGATCAGCTTTCTCCACCTTGCACCCTTCCAGTAGCCCTGAGGAGACAGGGAGAAAAGTATGCTCTGGCCCAGTGGACAGAGGAGCAAGGGCAGCAGGTGGTCAGGACAAGCACTGCACTCACAGCAAGAAAACACACAGGTCCCTAGTGGAGGGGGAGCCCCCAGACCAGGACAGATCCACACTGCACTCACGTCATACACTACATCCTGTCATGCCATGATGCCCCACGCAACTGCCACTCTCCTGAACGTGGTGGTCCCGCAGAAGAAAACCCGAGGCCTCACACCATGTGCTCTGCTCTTAGGGTTTGCTTTTAAAAACCCACCTGCTGGGGCAGGCACGTGGTATGGCAGATAAGTCACCCACATCTCGTATCAGAGTGCTTGGTGGGAGTCCCAACTCCTCTGCTTCCGATCCAGCGTCCTGCTGATGTACACCCTGGTAGGCAGATGATGGCTCAGGTACTTGGGCCTCTGCCACCCATGTGGGAAACCTAGATAGAATTACAGGCTCCTGGCTCAGGCCTGGACCAGCCTTAGCTGTTGCAGGCATTTGAGGTGTGAACCAGCAGATGGAAGACCTCTTATCTGTTTGCCTGTTTTTGCCATTCAAATGAAATGAAAATAAATGAATAATTTTTAAAGACTCTTACATGCTACCTATACACCTATTATAAAACCCTCCTCCTGGGGCCGGCGCCATGGCACAGTAGGTTAATCCTCCACCTGCAGTGCCAGCATCCCATATGGGCGCCGGTTCTAGTCCCGGTTGCTCCTCTTCCAATCCAGCTCTCTGCTATGGCCTGGGAGAGCTGTAGAAGATGGCCCAAGACCTTGGGCCCATGCACCCACGTGGGAGACCAGGAAGAAACGTCTGGCTCCTGGCTTCAGATCAGTGCAATTCTGGCCGTTGCAGTCATCTGGAGAGTGAAGGCCTTTCTCTGTCTCTCCCTCTCACTGTCTGTAACTCTACCTCTCAAATAAAATAAATAAAAATATAAAAAAAAAAAAAAAAACCTCCTCCTGAGACTCTTATGAGGCTGCCCGTCCGGGGTCTGCGCCCCATGCCAGTGCCTTGCTCACCCTCAGCCTTGTGCAGTTCCAGCGTCAGTGCAGTCTTCGCGGCACCCTCCTCCTTCAGGCAGTCCAGTAACTCCTTGTGCTTCTTAATGACCTGGGCCATCTCCTCATTTTTATGACTAAATTCTTTTTCAAAACGAGAATGAATTTGACGTGCTTCCTCCAGCTGTTAAAAAATGTTTAAAAATCAGAACTCCAGAGCAACAATCAAGCACATGTTATGCACATTAACAACCAACAGAATCCTCCTTCTACCCCAGTCCACCGGGGCCATCACCTTGGGTAGGACCTGCACAGGACAAAGGGCCCCCTGCACATCTCAGCCACCACTGGCAGCAAGGCCCCATCACCAGTGAACTCCCCAGATGGTAACGGCCTCTAGCTGGTGCAGGCCTGGCTGCTCCCTGGCAAACAGTTCCAGTCTGGAACTTCCAGGCCACTGACAAGCTGAGGTTCAAACCAATCTGCGGATTCAGGCAGCCAATACCCTGCTGCCCGCTCCAGATAGACAAATCCACCCAAGAGGACCACATTCATCTTTTTGGGACTTGGCCTCAAAGGAAACTTGGTGGTTCTTTCTTGGAAACAGTCCCGAGGCTACTTCTTCTCAAGGCCCCGCCCCCGCCCCCAACCCACCGAGTCATCTCCAGCTACCATGCTCATGAACCACTTACAAGGCCTTAGGGGGAGGCCTCGTCTGACCCCGACTGCACACACAGCCTGCTGTTCCTGCATCCACTGCCGATTGCTCTGATGGCTCCTAGCCTCATGCAAGACTGTTCTGGTCACTTCAACCTGCTCCCCAAGTCAAGAAAGGATGTTAACCCAGTGAGCACAGCCCCACCAAAGGGCACCATCCTGGAGGGCACACACTGCCCCACCTGAGACACCCAGAATCACAATCAGAAGAGGCCTCAGGTTCATTACACATGTGGGCAGGTAATCAACAGCACCCGATGACTTGTCAGACACCACCCAAATGTGTCCAGGTCTTGACAGAAGGGGAGCTGGGTGGAGGGAAGGTGGGGTGTGAAGGGACAAACGTTGAAGGAACAGGCAGCCACTTAGGGACCCAGGGAGACAAAACTCAGATTTCCAGCCTTGAAAATTCACTCAAATATTTCTGAGATAAACAGCAATGTGGTCAAATAGTCAAAAAAACTGACTATTTTTTAACTTTTGGAGAAAAAAAGGACCTCTTCACTGCTCTTACATATTCCTACTTAATGCCTTCCTGGTTATCTAAAAGGTTCTAAGGCATTAATAATTCCCTCTTCTTGCTGATAATCTCTGTGGAAAATACTCCTGGTGGAATTGCAACAGTACATGAAGTTAAGTGAAAGCAGCACATTTGTACACTGTCGAGTTAAACAAACTGACATTCTGCCTGTCACTCACAGCAAGGCTGCCTCCCCTGGAACTCCAGTTCAGGAAAGATGCCACTGGTCAGACAAGGAGGGCAGCACAGAAGAAGGCAGAGTGCGCCCCAGAAATGGCCAACAGAGGAGAGCAGAGTGGCCCAGAGTCAGGTCCACCTGAAAGCCAAAAGCTCCCTTTCATAGGCCTGCAGGTTTGGCTGGGAATCGGGAATGCCGTACCAGGCAAAGCCATATGCAGCAGGTAGGCAGTTGCTTGGGACACCCACATCCAACATCACAAGGCCATGTTTGAGTGCTGGCTTCTCTGCTTCCAACCCAGCTCCCTGCGAATGCACCTAGGAAAGCAGTGGAAGATGCCCAAGCGCTGAGGCCCTGCGCCCATGTGGGAGACCAGATGGAACTTCCTGCTCCTGGCTTTGGCCTGGTTCAGTCCCGGCTGTGGGGGCCATTTGGGAAGTGAACATGTAGATGGAAGATTTGTCTCTGTGTCTCTCCTTCTCTCTCTGTAACTCTGCCTTTCAAATAAATAAATAAATCTTTAAAGAAAAGAAAAAAAGTGTACTCTGGAGGCAGAGTACCCATTTGAGAGACCTGGATGGAGCTCCTGGCCTGACCCTGGCTGTTATGGGCATTTGGGGAATGAAACAGCAGGTGGAAGCTCTCTTTCTGCCTCTCTACCTCTACCTGTCTCTGTCTTCCAAATAAAATGAAAATAAATTTTTAAAACTTTAAAACATTAATACTTACAATGTTTCCATAGGGAAAACAACAGATGGAAGCAGGGAGGGAGGGAGGGTGTGAGGGGCGCTGCACGGACAGGCCTGGCACAGGGCCGGGATGACACTTTACATCAGGCTCCGCTGTCGCCCCAGCATCGGTGCACTCAGCCCCCAGGCCCCACGTCATGCCGCGGTCCTCACCTGCCGGGTGGAATCCAGGGTCATTTCCAGAAGGCCATCCACAGCCATGCTCAGACTCTGGTAGACTCTTCTCACCGGCTGCTCGCATTCCAGCGTACTCTCTGGGCTCAGAAAGAAGCTTTCGCACACATGGCTGCTGATCTCAGCCACAGAGGACATCTCTGCACACTCAGGCAAGGCCCGGTCCAGGTCCAGCAGAGCTGCATCTGGCCAGGTCTCCTCCAGTGCTGAGGCTACAAGGTGGAGAAATGCAAACACCTGTCCACACTGCTCAGGAGCAGGCTGAAGCCAGCAGTGGTTCCACCATGTTATCTGACAGGGGCACCCCACCCAGGAGCAGAGGTGCTCCTCCCACCTAGCCACCACCCACAGGAACCAGGCCGATACCACCAAGGCCAACTCAGCTTTGAGTGTGAACACCAGCAGGGGACATGGAAGCAACACTCCCTCAGTGAGGCTTCCCCTGGCACCCCCAGTCCCAGAGGCAACCCCATGTGGAGCACACACCTGCTGACAGGCCGTCTCCCTCTGCTGTGCCCGCATCATCCAGGCACAGCCCCACACGCTCACTGATCCGGCTCCTCAGTGCAATAGCAGCCTTCACTGTCTCTCCAAACAAACCCAGCAGTTTCCTGAGGACATCCTGGAGAGCTCTCCTAAGACAAGAACAGCAGACATACATGTCTTTCAGTCACGACTGTGGAGACTCCTGTCCTGGACACTGGCCAGGTACTGCCAACCAGCCTCATGCCCACAAGGGACGTGAGAGTACGCCTTAGTGCATGGAAAACATCTGTGCATGTGGGGCCAGAAGATCATGGCCTTTGGCCCTGGGTGAGTTCAGGACACTGAGATGACAACAGAGTAACCAAGGCGAGTCTGCTGGAGTGTGCCAGCTTGCTCTGCAGGGAGCACCTCTCCTGGCTGCCATTCTCACAGCAGAAGAAACCGTTGTCAGTAACTTAAGCAAGTTGGTCCTAGAAACCTGCGAAAGTCATCCAGTGTGGTACAGAGAATGCCAAGCCAGCACACGACACTTCATCTGGAATCTTTTCCCCTCACAGCATGGGTGGTATCAATCTCATTTTATGAGATGTTTGTTCAAATATCAAACAACACAATCAACTCAACAGTTTTATATTAAAACTCAGCCATCTGGGCCGGCGCCGCGGCTCACTAGGCTAATCCTCCGCCTTGCAGCGCCGGCACACCGGGTTCTAGTCCCAGTCGGGGCGCCGGATTCTGTCCCGGTTGCCCCTCTTCCAGGCCAGCTCTCTGCTGTGGCCAGGGAGTACAGTGGAGGATGGCCCAAGTCCTTGGGCCCTGCACCCACATGGGAGACCAGGAGAAGCACCTGGCTCCTGGCTTCAGATCAGTGCAGTGCGCCGGCCGCGGCGGCCATTGGAGGGTGAACCAACGGCAAAGGAAGACCTTTCTCTCTGTTTCTCTCACTGTCCACTCTGCCTGTCAAAAAATAAAAATAAATAAATAAAAAAAACTCAGCCATCTGAACACCCTGTCACCCCACAGCAATGCCCACGGGCAGCAAAGACTGTTGGTCTGGCCTCTGGCTATGTGAACACAGCATTTGCAGTGTTTCTGTTCTATAAGGTAGAGGTTCACAGGGTCAAAAGTCAGTCTCCAGCCTGCTCCCTGAGCCATACTCCTCCCAGAGCAGCCCTGTGGCTGGGACATACATGCCTGAGGACCGTGACCCCAAGGAGGACGCACATGTAGACAGCTGGATCTACCCTATGCCAGCACTCACATGGCTGATCCTGACATGGAGCTCATTCCATGAGGAGGGGACTGTACGAGGATGGAGGGAGGTATCATTTTAGCAAATGATGTAGAGCCTCACCCAGAAAACACCCCAGTCCTCGACCATAACCCTTCCCCTCAAATTCCACCCAGGTTTCCCTTCTGACCCCAAAATTCTAAACACAGGGTAGGCTTGGTGCAGTAGTTAAGACACTGTTTGGAAGGCCTGTGTGCCATATCAGACTGCCTGGCTTCGAGTCTCAGTTCCTCTGCTTCTGATCTCCAGCTGCCTGCTAACATGCACCCTGGGAGGCAGCGGGGACGATGCCAGTGGTTGGGTCCTGCCACCCACAGGGAAGACTTAGATGGAGTTCCTAGCTCCTGGGCTCAGCCTGGCTCTGCCTCAGCTGTTACAGTCATGTGGGGAGTGAGCCAACGGATCTCTGCCTCTCAAGTGAAATAAATAATTTGACATGCTCAGTGTTTGGGTGTCTGAGCATCTGCAGCTGCTGCCACATCAGCTGGGCAACCCTGCACCTGGGGTAGAAGTCCGAGCTCTCAGACCAGTACCACACCAGCAAGTTCAGCACACGGGGTGCCCCAGGCTGGGGCAGCAGCATCCTCTACGGCTCCACAGCAGGAGCCATGGGTCAATGTGGGCATCTCAGAAGCCACAAGCCACAGAAGGTGTGTGCACAGGCACAGTGTTATCCAGAGAGAACACTGCAGGGAAGACCTGACACCAAAGAGCATGTGGCTCAGCCTCGGCTGGAGGCAGGAGATGGGATCGTGGAGGCACAGCACGGCTTCAAAGGAGATGAGGGAGTGGTGGCTGTTTTGTTGTTATTTGCCAAAATGTGAAGATGTGGCAATGGCAGGTTCCATAGGTGTTGAAATATTGTGAAGTGAGAAGAATAACAGGGCCCAGGTCTCCGTCTACCAGGTGTCAGCGTGCAGACCCCAAGAGTGCAACGGCAGGACAAAGGGGCCAGACGGAGCACCAGCAGTGCTGGGGACACACTGACCTTTCACTGTGAGACAGGTCAATGTCAGCTCTGAGCATGGAGATGAGGTTCGTGCCTTCCTGGGTCTCTCGCGCGTGCCTCTGCTGCAGTCTTTCCAGCTCAGAACGATACCCTTCCACCTCCTGATTTAAGGACAAGACTTGGTTTTCCAGCTGTGGGAGAAAATTGTTGAGGCAATTTAGGTAAAAATAAATGCTTTTAAAGAATTCTCATAGTTATATTTAATAAACTATGGAAATAGGTGACAAAGGCTGTGATTAAAGGTGAAAATTATTAATGTAGTTTTCCTCCATTACAAATCCCCTCTTACAAAAGCCTACACAGTAGCTTGCCCCTGACCATCAGAGCCATTTGATGTCCCTTTATCTGGTCACTCCCAGGCAGGCAAAGACCCTTCTTACAATTTCTCTCCAAACACAGAAAGAGTCTGGGCAGGACCAGCTGCCCTGTATGTCACTGATACAGGCACCAGGAGCACTGAGGGAGGAGAGAAGGTGGGGATGGAGGCATATACGATGTAATTTTTAGTGGCTGTTGGGTCTCCTGGATCAGACCCAATTGAGCACTCTACAAACTTCTGTATAAAACAGGCTATTCCCGCTATGGAAAACGGTTTGGAGATACCTCAGAAATCTGAATATAGCCCTACCATACAACCCACTGATCCCACTCCTCAGAATTTACCCAAAGGTAATTAAATTGGCAAATAAAAGAGCTATCTGCACCTCCATATTTATTGCAGCTCATTTCACAATAGCTAAGACATGGAATCAACCTAAATGCCCATCAACCAAAGACTGGATAAAGAAATTATGGGATAGGTACTCTATGGAATACTACACAGCAGTAAAAAAATAATGAAATCTGGTAATTTGCAACAAAATGGAGGAATCTGGAAAACATCATACTGAGTGAAATAAGCCAGTCCCAAAGGGACAAATATCAGATGTTCTCCCTGATTGGTGACAACTAACTGAGCACCTAAAAGGAAACCTGTAGAAGTGAGACTGACACTATGAGAAGCAAGACTTGATCAGCCCTTGTCCTGACTGTCGAGGAACAGCTCACTATTTTATTCTTTTTAGTATTTTCTTTTTCTACTTAATACCATCTGTTGAACTCTTTATTTAACACAGAATTATCCTTAGGAGTTTAAATCAAACTGAAAATTGATCCCTGTTAAAAATAAGAGTGGGAATAAGAGAAGGAGGAGATGTACATTTCAGCACACGTTCCCTTGGACTTACCCCTATGGGTAAAGCTAAAAACTTGCCATGGGACTCTAAATCCCTTTAAGTTGGCAGGTGAAAATGCCATCTTACTAGTTAAAGTGATCAGTTTAAGTTCATAGCTGATCATAAATATAGGAATAAGTATCAAAGGGATCACATAAATAAGACCAAGTGTCTGCTAATAATAATTGATAGAATTAAAAAGGAGAGAACGATCCAACATGGGAAGCAGGACACATAGCAGTCTCATAGAATGGCAAATGCCCTAAACAGCACTTTGGCCTCAGAATCCACCCTTAAGGCATTTGGATCTGGCTAAAAAGCCAATGAGAGCATTTCAGCCATGGAAAGACAAGACACTGTGGCAAAAAATGGCCTACATGAAAAATCTCTGTGAGTGAGATCCCAGTGGAAAGAAGGGGCCAATCAAAGAAGGAGGTACCTTTCTCTGAAGGGAGAAGAGATCTACTTTGATTATGGCCCTGTCTAAATAATGTTAGAGTTTGTGGACTCAGGAGGCTTCCGTAGCCTTGGCAGCTCTCTGCTATGGCCGATGAAAGCAGTAGAAGATGGCCCAGGTCTGTGGGCCCCTGCACCCAAGTGGGAAACCTGGAAGAAGCTCCTGGCTCCTGGCTTTGGATCGGCACAGCTCCGGCTGTTGCGGCCATCTGGAGAGTGAACCAGTGGATGGAATACCTCTCCCTCCCTCCCTCTCTCTCGCTCTCTCTCTCCCTCCCTCCCTCCCCCCCCCCCTCTCTCTCTCTGCCTCTGTCTTTAAAATAAATAAATCTTTAAAAAAAAAAAATTCTTGGGGGCCAGCAATGTGGCATGGCGGGTAAAGCCACTGACTGCAGTGCCAGCATCCCATGTCCCATGCGGGTGCTGGTTTGAGTCCTGGCTGCTCCACTTTCAATCCACCTCTCTGCTATGGCCTGGGAAAACAGAAGAAGATGGCCCAAGGACCTGGCCATGCAACCGCATGGGAGACTCAGAAGAAGCTCCTGGCTCCTGGCTTCGGATCAACCCAGCTCTGGCCATTGCAGCCATTTGGGGATTGAACCAACAGATGGAAAACCTCTTGTCTCTCTCTCTTTGCCTCTCTGTAATTCTGTCTTTCAAATAACTAAATAAATATTTTTTAAAAGATTTTTAAAAAGCTCTTGGAGAATATGTACATGAAATAGGAAAATATTTCCTAAACAGAACACAGGCAATGCAAAATCTAAAGGGGAAAAAAAGGAAAAGCTAAATTCATCAATCAATTGTCCATCAAAAAGTACCAAAGAAGGGGGAAAATAAAAATCAGATCAGAAGAAATCTAGAATACATAAAGAACTCCCAAAGGTCAGTAAATGGCAAATTATCTTAAAATAGAAAAAAAAGAGGTAAAAGATACAAACTGGCATTTCACAGACAAGAAAATACAAAGCAGGTCATAAACTAGCTGACAGACACCTGACCTGGTGAGCAGTTGGGAACCCCGGCTTCAGATCCCATGACGCACCTCTCCCAGCCACAGAACTGGCTCACACCACCAAGTAGTACCTGGCCCTGGAAGGAACCAGTCTGGTGCGACCTGGCCAAGAAGGACCTCTGCTGAGCACTTGCAGCCTCCACGCTACTATCTCAGGAGTCCAACCCTGTGACAGGAGGGCACTAGAAGAATGCTCACAACAGCTTCATTCCTAAGAGCAGAAAACTAGAAGCCAGTCAGAAGTCACTGAAGAGTAAGTGGAGTGCTCAGCGGGCTGCAGTCAGCAGTGGGGATCAGTGCAGTGCTGGTACACACCTCACGAGGCTCTCCGACAAAGCACAGAAGAACCAACCACAGAGGACACCGAGGACAGGATGACTCAGGACACATCACTCAGTGGAAAGCCAAAATCTCTGGACAGCGGTCACCTCAGAACAGCAGGCGTAAGCCACAAGTAACACCACGGGGGCTTAGACGGAACTAAACTGGCTGATGGGACACAATTACATATTTCACAGCATTATTTTACCAAATGTGTACATTTTCACACATTGGTAAAATGCATAGGTTTATTTCATGATGACAATGAAATTTTTAACGAGTCTGGTTCGCTAAAGGAGCGTCATTTCTTCTTTTCAACTGAGGATGTTGCTTGGCTATAGAGGGTGTTCAGGTGTAACTGACTCATGGAGTGGCTCATACGTGGCCTTCCCTCAAGCACACACATGATCTGTGCAGTCAAGGAACAGCACCTGCACAAAGGTGCACCTGCACTGGGGTCCACACACATGACACAGGTATGTGGCCGAGACCATCACCCTCCTCACACTGCACCCAGCTACTATCTCCACTTTTCAAAGGTAAGTCACTAGAACTACTTTACAACGTCTTCCTTAGTTAGTTACATAATCTTTAACTGTGTTAATTCTTCTACTGCTTTTGTTGGTGCTTATAAACTCATATAGATTAAGTGTAGTATTATGTTGACCCAGTTTTGCCACAGCAAATTACTTTTAGCAATTTTTGCCACAAGTTATTTTTCGCAATGTTTACAGAACCAGAAGCTTTTCAAAATGCATAAATTGTTTCACAGCAGAAAGACTTGTTACTTTGAAGAAAAAAAAAAAAGGAAACACTTAGCAAGGTCCTGCATTGCCCAGAGAAACTCCCAAGGGTCCAGAAGAGCTCACAGACCCTGCTCTGAGTCTCCCCTCAGCTTCCTCACTGCCCAGCACAGGCCTGAGTCTGCAGTCCTTTGACCTGTCACTTCTGACTGACCGTTAATAGAGACTTCTTTCAACCCTAGCAAGACACTGCCCGCTGTGACTCTGGCACTCAGCAGCCACAGGATTCTGGCAAATTCCTGGGACCTCTGCGTCTCGACAATGAACTGCAGGGACAGAGCAAACTCTTACTAGCAAACAATGCCCCCAATTATTCAATTAATAGTAAGTTCAATCCAGTGACCATGCATAACAAAGCCAGGAAGAGCCGGATAATACCCACGAGGTGGGACCCTCTCTGAAAACTGGAAACAGATCTATATCTTCAAAGGCAAAACTGTAACAACTCATCATCAACACAAAGCAACCAATTCAAAACTGGTCCAAGGACTTGAACAGACATTTCTTCAAAGACAGACCAATGACCAATAAACATCACTAATCAAAACTACAATGGATACTAAAAAAAATAGTAAGTGCTGGGGCAATGTGGAGAAATGCAATCTCTCTTGCACCCTGGTGAGGAATGTAAAATAGAGCAGCCACTCAGAAAACATTGATGTTCATCAGCTCAAACACAGCTTATTAAATCAGAAATTAATTCTATTCCGGAGCTGGCACTGTGGCATGGAGGGCTGGGCTTCTGCTTGCGATGCCAGTATCCTGTATTAGTGCCAGTTCATGTCCCACTGCTGCTCTTTTGGTCTGGCTCTCTACTATGGCCTGGGAAGGCAGTAGGGGATGGCCCAGGTGCTTGGGCCCCTGCATTGTGTAGGGTGCGCCTGGCTCCGGCCACTGCAGCCACATGGGGAGTGGGCTGATAGATGGAGGACCTTTCTCTCTGTCTCTGCTCTACCTCTCAAGTAAATAAATAAATCTTTAAAAAAAGAGAGAAAAAAAATTCTATTCCTAGATACATGCACACAGCACCAAAAACTGAAAGCAGAGATCAGACGCTTGTAAACCAACATTCACTGCAGCATTGTTCACAAATGCCAAAAAGGGGAACCACCGTGCACGCACCCAGAGGACAGGCAAGCAACACAAACAAGACTGAGCACACAGGGACTACTGCTGTAGTCAGACCAGCGCACTGCTGATTTATGTTACAACCTGGAGTGAAGGAAGTCAGCTACACAGGACGAGCAGTACCTGCTTCTACCTATACAAGGTCCCCAGATAGCCAAACGCAGACAGGACAGTGGGAGTGAGTTTTAGTTTAGGAAGATGAAGAGCTCTATGGGTGTTGATGGTGACAGTGCATGGTGCAAACATACTTAGTGCTACTGAACTAAATATTTACACGCTTTAACATGATAAATTTCATTTTATACATATATTATCAACAAAAAAAGAAAGGAAGCACCAAGAAGAGGCCCCTCCTACTCACCTGCTGCATTTGGCAGCTTTTCTCCTGAAGCTGCAGCCGCAAAGACGCGGCTGCCTCCTTTGGGCAGGGAAGCTGGGCCTGCTCACTCCCACAGCTGCCTGCCTCCGCTGGTTCTTGCAGGGCAGCTTTCTTCTCACTTCCAAATTCACCCTGTACAAAAGTACATTAACAACAACAATAAAAGTCACTAAGCTGGAAAATGACATGTATTCTGTTTCTTTGCGGTTCACAAGAATTTGAAACATTCAGCAAGTATTTCCTGAGCCTCAAATTTGCTCGCGAGCAGAGAGGCCTTTCCCCACTTCCTGTGCGAACAACGCTTTGCCTCCTCTCCCAGATGGAGACTGAGGAGGGGTCACATTAAACAGTCACCTTAGGAAATTCACCATCGGGGCCGGCACCACGGCGCATAGGCTAAGGCTTTGCCTGTGGCGCCAGCATCCCATATGGGCATCAGTTCATGTCCCAGCTGCTCCTCTTCCAATACAGCTCTCCGTTATGGCTTAGGAACAGTAGAAAATGGCCTAAGTGCTTGGGCCCCTGCACAGGCGTGGGAAACACAGAAGCAGCTCCTGGCTCCGGATCAGGACAGCTCTGGCCGTTAATGGCCATTTGGGGAGTGATGGGAAGACTTTCTCTCTCTGCCTCTCTGTCTTCCAAATAAATAAATAAATCTTAAAAAGGAAGAGAAAGAAAAGAAATTCACCATCAAGATGGGCCAAGATGGGCAGTTGGCCTAACAAGTACCTGCTACTTTAGTACATGGGCCTCTGCACCCCATGTGGGAAAAGTGGATTGGAGTTGCTGGCTCCTGGCTTCTACCTGACCCAGCTCTGGCATTTGAGGACTGATCCCTCCACCCCTCGGTCCCTCACCCCCACTGCCCCATCACTTTGCCTTTCAGAAAAATAAACAGGGACTGGCACTGTGGCCTCTCTCTCTCTCTGCCTCTCTGTGGCTCTCTGCCTTTCAAATAAATAGTCTTGTCTTTAAAAAAAGATTACTCAGATCACTGCCACACACATGGGAGACCCAAATGTGAGTAATGGGCTCCTGGATCCAGCCAGGCCCAGCTCCAGCCACTGAAGGCATCTGGAAAGTCAATCAGCAAATGGGCATGCACTCTCTGCCTCTGCAATATATTTTTTTTAAGATTTATTTTATTGGGGCCAGCACTGTAACACAGAAGTTTAACCCACCACCTGCAGTGTAAGCATCCCATATGAACACCAGTTCAAATCCTGGCTGCTCCACTTCTGATCCAGCTCCCTGCTGATACACATTGGATAGCAGCAGAAAATGGCCCAAGTGTTTGGGACCCTGCATGCCATTTGAGGAGTGAACCAGCAGATGGAAGAACCCTATCTCTTTCAGTTTCTCCTTCTATCTCTGCCTTTCAAATAAACAAAACAAAAAAACTTAAAAGATTTTATTTATTTGAAAGAGAGAGTTACAGAAAGAAAAGAGTTAAAGAAAGAGACCAAGAGAGGAATCTTCCATTCATTAATTCATTCTCCAAGTGGCCACAATAGCCAGAGTTAGCCCTGCCTGAGGCCAGGAACCTGGAACTCCAAGCACTTGGGCCATCTTCTGCTGCTTTCCCAAGTGCATTAGCAGATCAGAAGTGGAGCAGCAGGACCCAAACAGGTGCTCTAATAGAATGCCAATATCTCACACAGCAGCTTAACCTGCTGTGCTACAGTGCAAGCACGACAAATTTTTTAAAGACTTACTTATTTGGAAGGCAGAGTAACAAAGATATCTTTCATCCACCGGCTCACTCACCAAATGGCTGTAATAGCCCAGGCTTAATATGCTACACCAACGCTCACCCTGCAAATAAATTTATTTTAAAAAATCTGTAAAGGAATTCACCATTATCATGGGATTATGTCCATCAAAGCCCAAGATATTCAGAAACCTAGGTTTCTTCAGTTTTGAAAAATATATTTTATTCCTAAATAAATAATGCATTTGTTACAGTTTACGGCAGACCAGGAAACCAGATCACAGCAGGCAGGCCCCAGGCCCAGCACCCTTGGACCAGGCCACTGTGCTCACTGTGCCTGGCATGCCTGGGGGACAGTGGGGAGGCTCACACCACAGGTGCTCTGGGAAGGTGTGGACCAACAGACAGTCACGGAGCCTCCTGTGCAAACAACAAAAAGCAAACTCCTGTTTGAGGGTGCAGGGGTGCCCATAAGCACTCCACACACCCCCGACACAGGGACTCACAGATTCCATTGTGAGCCCCAGCACACTCAAGGCCCATGGAGGAGTAAGGCTCAGGGAGCTGTAGTAGCCACTCCCTTGAGAGAGGTCCTCTGGTCACTGGCCACATACAGGGTGGAGAGTGACGTCTACACAGAACCCTGGCTGAGAAAGGCCAACAATCCAACACCCCACTGTCCTGATAACCCTGAGTACCCAGGCAAATACTGAGCCCCTCCCTGCTCTACCCCAGGCCCTTGCCATCTGCATCTGGAACCTCAGTTTATCACATTTCTTAACCCACCCCTTGTTTCAGAAAGGGCTGTCGGCAAGTTTGTGGGAACAAAGCAGGACAAGGCAGCAGAATATGGGTGGGAGTGTCCTGTGCACTGCGGGGAGGCACCCCACCCTTCCATCTGAGTGGTGCAAGAGGCTACTCCCAGGCCTGGGTGCTACAAGCAGCCAGGCAGCCTGCGACAGCAAGGAGGAGGACGCAGCGTCTGGGGCAGACCTTGTAGGCTCGGGGCCTCCAGCGGGGCTGGGGATGTCTGGCAGGAGCGCGGGTCCTCAGACCAAAGACTATTCCAGCTGCCTCCACAGGGCCTCCTCTATAAACATTCAAGATATTTTTAAAAAGTATATTCTCAGCTTTTTCTAAAAATCCACAGAATTATAGTGAAATGGCATATTTGTTTTAATCATTCAGGAAAAGCTAATTGATACTCCTGAAGAAGAAAGAAAGCGGCACGACACAAAGATGAGCGACAAAAGAATGGAAATAAACTCAACTGATGATCACAGACATCCAAACTGTGTCTAAGACGACCACAGGTTTTCACCGTAGTTTAAAAATTAACCCGTGATAGATGTGGATGTTTTCTCTAAGAAAAAATGAAACTGCCCTATTTTTGCAATCAACAGAGGCCACACAGCTTACTTCCATATTCCAAAACCTCGCTTAGCATCCCCGGCAGTAGGGAGAGTTCTTTATGCGATAGATATTTCTATCAAAAAAAGAATTCAAGCTTACGGTTTCAGAGAACTTTTCTCACAACCAAATTCCAAAGGGAGGTGACCCGGAAGGTGATCCAGTGGCCTCCCGGCGCATATCCGTGACTCTGAGCTTCCAACAGGTGCAGGGTATTTGTGGCCTAGGGACAGCATGTCCCTGCTATTTTGGGACAACAACCCTGACAACCCAGGGAACGCCCAGCAGGGCAAAGCCTGAGGGAAGATAGGAGCGGGCAGCTAGGAAGTTTCTCTCAAAGCCTGAGGGAAGCTAGGAGGGGGCAGGACGGGGCAGGGAAAGTCAGGATCACAGCGCGAAGACTAAACAGAAGCAGGTCCAGTGAGGTCCTGCATAGATCCCTGTGTGAAGCGCAGCCAGGAAGAAGACCGGAACCGGGCCTGGACAGGGGAAGGAATGAAGGGACTATTGCTGTTTTAGGATAAAATGGGCCACAGCTATGTCCTGCTGGGGGAAAAAGACCTCACTCTCACATTTATAGATGAAAACACATCATGTTGGGATCTGCTTCAAAATAACTGAGAGAAGGCCGACACCACAGCTCACTAAGCTAATCCTCCGCCTGCGGCTCTGGCACACCAGGTTCTAGTCCCGGTCGGGGTGCCGGATTCTGTCCTGCTTGCTCCTCTCTGCTGTGGCCCAGGAGTGCAGTGGAGGATGGCCCAAGTCCTTGGGCCCTGCACCCGCATGGGAGACCAGGAGGAAGTACCTGGCTCCTGGCTTCGGATCAGCGCAGCGCACGGGCCGTAGCGTGAACCAACGGAAGGAAGACCTTTCTGTCTCTCTCTCACTGTCTAACTCTGCCTGTCAAAAAAAATAAATAACTGAGAGAATGGGGCAGGGAGGGTGGCACTGATGTACTGATATTGCTAGGTAGTAAGAATGAAGGAGTTGACTAAATTATTTGATTTCTGATTATGTTGAAATTTTCTCCAACACAAAATAAAACAGGTAATGACATCAGCCAATCATGCAAGGGTTAATAATATAGATATCTTAGTGGCAAAGTAAATGGCTGACTTGCTGGAACAAACATATACTACTGCAGGAGAATACTCCAGTGCCAGTGTTGAGGCACAGAGGGTTAAGCTGTCACCTGTGACATCAGCACCCCATCTGGTTTTGCTAGTTCAAGTCCCAACTGCAGCACTTTCAATCCAGCTTCCCAATAATGCACCTGGAAAAAATGTCTGGGCCTCTGGGAACCATGTAGGATTTGGATAGAGTTCCTGGCTCCTAAATCCTGGCTTTAATCTGGACCAACCCCAGCTGTTGGGGCCATTTGGGGAGTGAATCAGTGAATGGAAGGGGTGTGTGTGTGTGTATGTGTCTCATTTTCTCTAATTCTTTAAGCAAGTCTTAAAAAAATTTTTTTAAATCTGGCCAGCACTGTGGTGTAGCGGGTAGAGCGACTGCCTGTGAGGGCAGCATCCCATACAGATGCTGGTTTCTGTCCTGGTTGCCCCACTTCAAATCTAGCTTCCTGCAAATGGCCTGAGAAAAGCAGCTGACGATGGCCCAAGTATTTGGACCCCTGTATCCACATGGGAGACCAGGATGAAGCTCCTGGCTTTGGCCTGGCCCAGCTCTAGCAATTTTGGTCATCTGGAGAGTAAACCAGCAGATGGAAGATCTCTCTCTCTACATATATATAACTCTTTCAAATAAATAAGTGAATCTTTAAAAATAAAATCTTTAATTTAAAAAAGAAAATACTCCAAAGATACTCCAGGAGCACCTAGACAGCAGTCACCACAGGAAGGCAAAGGTAGTGAGACAGGAACAAGTCACACACCCTGCACTCTAACAGCAAGATGGGCAGGAGAACTGCTCCCAGTTCTGGACCCAGCTGCTGCTGCTTTTTCTTAAGATTTTATTTATTTGAGAGAGAGCACTACAGAGAGAGAGAGAGAGGGGAGGAAAGGCAGAGAAAAAGGTCTTCCATCTGCTGGTTCACTCCCAAATGGCTGCAATGGCCTGAGCTGGGCTGATCTGAAGCCAGGCCATGCGGGTGCAGGGGCCCAAGCACTTGGGCCACTTCCACTGCTTTCTCAGGCTATAAACAGAGATCTCAATCAAAAGAGGAGCAGCTGGGACACAAACCCGTGCCTATATGGGACGCCAACACCACAAGTAGAGGCTTAGCCTACTACACCACAGTGCCAGCCCCTGGACCCAGCTTCTTTAGCAGGAACATGTGAACCTGTCCTGTGCCGACACAAATCACAACCACCAGGCCTGTACCTCCTCCATGAACGTCTCAAGGCAACAGCACCTCTACCTCCACCACAGCCTTCACATCACCCCCAGGCTCTCCACACCCCTCCATGAGCCAGCATCAATCACGCCCCAGCTGACCACATGTTGCAAGCCCATTCACAGGGTACCACACATGAAGGAGCTTGGCCCCCATCCCTATGTCTCCACTGAGCTGGAAAACTCAACCAACACAGAAACCTCCAGCCCCTTTTGTCGCTCCCCCTCTTCACGGAGGAACGACACAGGACCCTGCGCTGTTCTTTTGTCTGCTCGGCCCTCCCCAGGTTTGCTGCTGGTTCTTCCCGGGTTGGCTGCCGTCCCTCCACCTCCGTGGAGGGGCGGTTCCCCCTGCCACTTTCCCCACTTCCGCGGGGGAGCGGCACACTGCCGGCCGGCTTTCTCGGGGGCTGCTCAGATGTTATTCGGATGTTCCCCTTAGATGTTCCTGGTGCATGTTGTCTCTCTCCTCCTTTATAGTCCTCTTCCACCAATCCCAACTCTGCTACCCACACGCCGAGTACGCTGCTCTCCTCCAATCAGGAGCAGGATCAGCTCCTGCAGGTTACTGGTCGAACTGGAGGCAGCTGTGTAAAAGTTGTCTACTCCTCTCCCAGCGCCATATTGTGGGAGAGCAGATGCATAGAATAAGTCTTAATTCCAGTAACTTAGTCTAGTCCGAGTTGCTCCCCACACCCTTTGGCTTCTAGCTACCAGATGGCCTCTAGAACAGGTTGGCACACCTGATACCACAGAGCATCCTCTACTGGAAAGCAAGGCTGGGGTCCTGCCCTCCAGAGAAACCACAGGAGGGAGGCTGCCCGGCCCTTGGCACAGATGCCTGCTTCTGGGCTTGTCTCATTGGGCGAGCAGTACTACCACACCCTTGTACCCACAGAGCTGGTACCACTGTGGGAACTGCACCGCCTGGAATGCTCACCTGCACAACCTGCTCCAGCGGAGCTTGCGTCGCCTGGGACTCAGCCTGTTTTGCCGGCTCCTGCTGCTGTATCTTGGCCATGTGTGCATCTCCCAGCTCCTGCAGGGCAGCTTGGTGCTGGCGCTCCAGGAGCAGGACCTCAGCGCCCACCCTGTCCAGGGCTGCAACCCGCTCCTCCTCCAGCAGGTGCCTCTGATCACGCAGGGCCGCAGCCAGCTCCTCCTGCCGAGAGAGCATCCACAGGTGTCCACCCCCACACATGCCTCACATCACTCACCCCCAGACGCCTCACCGTTGCCTCTTCCCAATACACCTCACCATCACTCGTGCCCATACATGCCAACTCTGTGTGCAAGATGCTAAACATTCCATATGCTTTTCACAGTATGTTTTGCTACTAAAAAGCTAAGCCATGATCTAGAAAACATAGTCTTCATAGGTAATATGCATGTTTCTCCTTTCTAAATATTCTTTTGGAATGTCATTTTATTTACATCAAATGAACTAGGAACACCTGCAAGTTTAAATCCCCATATTGGGAACAGCTGCTATGCTTCGGGGCACCTGCTTGCTAGTGATCCTAGCTGGGCATGGAAAGAGACTGGAGCCACCTACTATGCACTGCAGCGTGGGGCCTCCAGATGTCAGACACCTCTAAGTCAACTGGACAGGTAACTGTTCCTTCCTCATCTCAGACACCTGCTCAGCCACCAGCTGAGCCCCAGAACAGGGAACAGAGGCTTGTCTGCACAGGCAGCCATCTGTGACCGGGAGGGCAGCCTGAGCAGGAAGTGCTCTCTTGAGACTTCAGACCACAGAAGAGAGGGTATCTGAAACACGAGGTGAATTGCTCACAGCTATCAAAACACAGTTACTAAAAAAGCAGCAGAGGATGGTGCAGCTCTGGCCGCTGTGGCCAATTGTGGAGTGAACCATCGGATGGAAGACCTCTCTCTCTCTCTCTCTGCCTCTCCTCTCTCTGTGTAACTCTGACTTTCAAATAAATAAATAAATCTGCACCAATCCAAAACCAGGAGCCAGGAGCTTCTTCTGGGTCTCCCACACGGGTGCGGGGGCCCAAGGACTTAGGCCATCTTCCACTGCTTTCCCAGGCTATAGCAGAGAGCTGGATCGGAAGTGGAGCAGCCAGGACTCGAACCAGTGCCCATATGGGATGTCGACACTTCAGGCTAGGGTGTTAACCCGCTGCACCACAGCACTGGCCCCAGTAAATAAATCTTTTTTAAAAAAATCTTTAAGCAAATAAATAATAAAAAATAAACACATACACAGTTACCTTATCTCCTTCTATCTTAAACAGAGCTGAAGGGAACTGAAAATAAACTAGCAATCGCACCCACAATCGGCAGATGAGATCAGCTCCACTTACAAGACGTCTGTCGATGGCAATGGATACTTCCACTGGTATTTGTGCTTATTCAAGTCCAAGATTCCCTAATTTATGATTTGGAATATGTACTTCCTTTTAATTTTTATTTATTTAAAAGGCAGAGAGAGACAAACATGTCTGAAAGAGATCTTCTACTCACTGGTTCACTCCTCAAATGCCTACAATAGCCAGGAGTCAGAAACTAAATCTGGGTCTCCTACATGGGTGGCACAAAACCAACTACACCCCTCACTGCAGGAGTAGGCAGCACCTGTCCTAACGGCCCAGCATGCAAGGCTGCACCTGGGGCTAAACAGAGGAGACCAGTCCACAGGAAAAAATAAAGCAGCAGAGACTATAGTCAGGGCACAGCAGGTACAAAATACACACACGGGACAGATCAGGTCAGATAAACAAGTCTGAGTCTGAGCTACAGGGACTGCAGGCTCTCCAGATGGGCCCCAGCCCATAGCCACAGGGACTTCCCATAAAGTCCCCTTCACACAAAAATGGCATTTGCCAAAAGATCCTCTGCTCTTGAAATGTGACAAAAAAGTTTTAATTTCAGAAGATATCAACAGTAGAGAGACTGTGACTCCATGTACACATAGCAGAATCAATCCACTCCCTGCAGCCTCAGAGCCACATCTTAGCCAGCAGTCAGGTCGGCCTTCAAGCATGCTTCGGGGCCTGTGGGTCTGGCAGAGGTCTGTGCGCATTTCCGGACCAGAGGTCAAGGAGTGTGTAATCAAACAGTTCGCCAAACTCACTCCAAACAGCACTACACAACAACCAAGTCACCACGTGCATGCACACACTCACACCCACAGACGTACAACAACCAAGCCACCACACACACGTGCACACGTACAGAGACAATCGCTACGTGCAGGGCAACCGGGAGACAGCCGGGGAAGACGCCTCACCTGGTGCGCTCCCTGCAGCCTCGCGGCCAGGGCTCTCAGACTCTCCGCGTGGCCGGCACTCATCTCTGCCCTCAGGCTGTCCTTGGCCGACTGAAGCTCCGCATCGTGGTTCAGCCTGAGCTTCTCCAGCTCCTGAGTCAACAGCGTCTGGTGAGAAGAGTCCTTTTCCCGCAGCTGCTCCTCAAGGTCTGCTTGCAGAAGCTCGAGAGCCCGCCTGTGCTCAGCACGAATGGCCTGCACCTCAGACAGGTAGCAGGCCTCCAGCGAATCCAGGTTAGACAAATGTCTAGTCTCCAGAGCACTGATGTCAGCAGCGTGTTTGCCCTGCAGTTCCGCCACGCGCGCCTCCAGGCGCGCCCACTGCTCACTCTCCAGGGAAGCTGTCAACTCGCCCAGCTCGGCCCGGTGCCTGGTCTCCAGCTCCATCCTCAGGGACAGAAGCTGCTGCTGGTGCCTGTCTCGGAGGCACTGGAGCTCGTGGGCATGCTTCTCCTGGGCCTCCCGCAGGAAGGCAGCTTGCTCTGCAGTGAATTTCTCTGTCATCTCTCTACGTTCCTCTAAAAACCTGAGGCACCATTCAAAGTGAACACAGAGAGCAACACGTGGTCAAATGGCATCAGCCCTCACTCTGACACCCTGCACCCTCCTCCCAAGAGAAACACTGCCTCAGGGTTCAGATCCTCCTTCCTTCTCTGCGACACAGTCCAAGATTCTAATACCAGAAGTAAGTAGGAGTGAAGTGCCATGTGAAGGAAGAAGTTCGGAGGTCACAGACTACGGGGGGACCCCAGTAGGACAGGCTGAACTGTTGGCTCACAACCACTGCCTGCCCAGAGGAAAGCAAAGGTGATCTCAGCTCCCGACGGGGAAGCACTGCTACCATATAGGAGCCAACAGGGCCATAAGGAGCAGTAAGAGGCCTGAGAGCTGCAGGTGGGCCAGAGGTCCAAACAACAGAGACGGGCATCTCAGAATCCCAAGAGGAACCAGGAAGGCACATGTTCCCCAGTGGGAACACAGCATGCATTACTGGTGTGCTTGAAAAGTCTACACAACTGGTGAGAACTATGACTACCTCCAAGTGTTAAGAGGCCATGCACAGCTCATCACACTTAACCTGCACCATAGGTGGGAGCATAGATATGCAGTCAAACACCTGGCCCACAATGATCCAACTCAAGCAGAACTCCTGCACCTCCCAGTGAGGCTGGGGTGGGGCACACAGACAGGAAGGGCAGAACCAAGGGCGGATGTAGCCATTGGACTGAACAGGCATCGAGGCTCACCAAAGAGGCTGATGCCAACATAGGCAATCAGCCAGGCACAGGATAAATCTGTTTAGAACTCCAGGAATTAAGGTTGTATTTCTAAGAAAATGTCTATTTTAGAAACCAATTTAGGTTAAAAAAAATTAGGAAGATTAGCTTCATGTCTCTAAATCTCACAAATGCAAACCACCAGGAAGAATGAAATAAAGCTGAGGAGAAGATACAAATAATCAAACAAGAGTTTTAAAAACAAGTAATAGGGCTGGTGCCGTGGTGCAGCGGGTTAACGCTCTGGCCTGAAGCGCCAGCATCCTATTTGGGCGCCAGTTCGAGACCTGGCTGCTCCACTTCCGAGCCAGCTCCCTGCTACGGCTTGGGAAAGCAGTAGAAGGTGGCCCAAGAGCTTGGGCCCCTGCACCCACGTGGGAGACCTGGAGGAAGCTCTTGGCTCCTGGCTTCTTCAGATCAGCACAGCTCTGCCCTTTGCAGCCAACTGGGGAGTGACCCATCGATGGAAGACATCTCTCTATACCTCTCCTCTCTCTGGGTAACTCTTTCATATAAATACATAAATCTTAAAAAAGAAAAAAAACAAGTAGAGTGAGATCGATGGTTCTGCTGCTGAAATTTCAAAGCCAGCAGAGAACAATGGAGATGTAGATGAGGCATGCACACCAACATCCACCACGGATGGCGCAGGGACGATCAGCAGGTCCTGTTAGGGGCCACAGAGCTGCCTGTACTGGTTTTAGGGTGAAAACTCAGAGCATCACACCGTGCTCCACCTTTCCCTCTGGGGCCTGCCTCTCACACTGTGCCGGGCCTCCTGGGGTGAGGTCTGCGCGGGAGCCTAAAGACAGCTCCACAGCACTCTGGCTGCTGCAACCGCACCACCTACCTGTTCTGGGCCAGCATCAGCTGGAGGGCGCAGTCCTCCTTCAGACGAGGCACGGTGCTCTCTCTGTCCTGGGCTGCAGGGAGCTCGCGGCCACACTGGCTACATGGCACAGCCTCATCCCCTGGGAGGAGCCCACACTCCAGCTGCCGCAGCCGGTCCTGCTGCTCCACCACTGACCTCTCCAGGGCCAGGATTTGGGCTGCCTGTTGATCCTGAAGACGCCTCATTTCAGCTTCTCGAAGCTCAAATGTTTTTATCATCAAGCGTTTCTCAGATTCGGCCTTTTCCTTCAGTTCAAGGAGCACCATTGTTAATTTCTCTTCAGCTTCTCTTTCCAGGCCCTCACTTGTAACTTTCCACTCTGCTTCTTTTTTTCTGAAATCCTGTTTCATTAGCTGAATCTTCTCTTTAGCTTTATTTAGTTCTTCCTCATGGTCTGCAACTAAATTATGTTTTACCTATATATGGTAAGTTTATTGAAGAGAAAGAAATTATTAAAGGAAAAGATTACTGAAGTAAGAACCCAAATCCATCTCTTCCGCACACGGGGGCACTATGCGAATAACAGAAATGGAAGGATCCTGAGGAGTGCTGAATGACAATGCTTTCCACATCGTGCACCTAGAACTGGTTTGCTTTTTATCTCTGGAGCTGGCAGGTCTGGACACAAACTAACACCTGAAAACACACACAATAGTGTAGCAAAGACGGGCTGGAGGCATTCTGCGTCGAGACTGAGACCAAATCCAGCCACGCTAACTCACGAGGCACCCTGTGTCTTAGGCCAAGTGCCCCACAGCAGAAAGGACAGCACCCTCTGCAGCAGCCGAAGACACATCCATGAGAAAAGCCACAGAGGAATGAGTTCCAGTCTCTGGTCTGTGCAATTTGTATGCCAGGACGTACAAAGAACTTGAGCAAAGATCAATAAACTAAACTAGTAACTTCAAAGGTAATTTTGTAAGAAAGGGAATTGAACAAGAAAGCTAAAGACTTAAAGTATGTTTAAAAAGGAAGAAAGTAGGTCAATAAACCACTGCACATCAACAACAAGAAACAAAACAAGGTATGTGGGACTGTCCTCCCTTCTTCACAAGTCAAGTCTGCCCCTCGCTCCTAGGGATGGCTGAGCAGCTAAACCATATAATGACAATAAACGCTGAATAAAATAGAAGAAATTACTGAAATCACAGGAGAGAACCAAAAGCAGGCAGAGCCTGGAGAAGCGGCTTGACTCTCAGAAGAAAGCAGCAGCACCGGCTCACTTCCCTCTGAGCAAGGTCCAACTCTGTCATGCACAGGAATTCCACCACCGTAGTTTCAACCAAAAGTGCAAAGTGAGGGGGAAGCCCTTAGGAATAAGAATACACCCTTCCCAAGCCAGAGGTTGGCCCCCTGGTCCATACTGGGGGCAGACTCCCACAACAGGCTAGCTAGGGCTAAAGGAACTGAACCAATGCCACACTGCAACCCAACCCAGAGGAGATGGTGTATGGTGTGTGAGTTCAGCCAGGTTAACTGCCTAGGGAAACAACAAACCAACACCAATACTCTTAAAGAAAATATAACACAGGGGCCGGCGCCGTGGCTCACTTGGTTAATCCTCCACCTGTGGCGCCAGCATCCCATATGGGCTCCAGGTTCTAGTCCCGGTTGCTCCTCTTCCAGTCCAGCTCTCTGCTGTGGCCTGGGAAAGCAGTGGAGGATGGCCCAAGTGCTTGGGCCCCTGCACCCACATGGGAGACCAGGAGGAAGCACCTGGCTCCTGGCTTCGGATCGGCGCAGCGCCGGACATAGCAGCCACTTGGGGGGTGAACCAACAGAAGGAAGACCTTTCTCTCTGTCTCTCTCTCTCACTGTCTACAACTCTACCTGCCAAAAAAAAAAAAAAAAAAAGATGCCACCTGCAATGCCAGCACCCCGTATGGATGTCGGTTCAAATCCTGGCTGCTCCAGTTCCTATCTGGTAACCAGCTAACATGGCTGGGAAAGGCACCAGAAGATGGCTCAAGTCCCTGGGCCCTGCACTGCTATGAGAGACCCAAAAGAAGCTTTGGGTCAGCCTAGCTCCTGCCATTATGTCCATTTGGAGAAGATATCTCTTTTTCTCTCTCTCTGTTTTTCCCTCACCCTTCTCTCTCTGAACTCTGCCTTTTAAATAAGTAAATAAATCTCCTAAAAAAGCCAAGGGCAACAGGAATGGCAAGGGCAAGTCTATGCTCTTGACTTCCTTCAAACACCCATGACAGGTCCAAGTTGCTCTTACAACACTGATCAAACTATGGCGGTCACAGCATGGGTGGATAACAGCTGTGAAAACAAAGTGCAGAAAAGTGAGCATGCATCTCCCACAACCACAAGATCTTAGGGTTTACCTGAAAGTATACAATACTTCAAAATGCGTGTGGAAAATGGGAGTTAAAAGGTAAATTTATTTTGGTGCAAAAAAATTTAAATCCATGTAGTTTTTGCATAAACATATTTTTCATGAACATTTTGAAGATCCTTCATAACTTAACGGATACATTAAAATCAATTGTAGAAAAATTCAGGGGCTGGCACTGTGGTGTAGTGGGTAAAGCTGCTGCCTGCAGTGCCAGCATCCCATATGGGCGCCAGCACTTCTAATCCAGCTCTCTGTTAAGGCCTGGGAAAGCAGGAGAAGATGATCCAAATCCTTGTGCCACTGCACCTGCATGGGAGATCCGGAAGAAGCTCCTGGCTCCTGGCTCCTGGCATCAGATCAGCCCAGCTCGGGCCATTGCAGCCATTTGGGGACTGAACCAGCAGAGGGAAGACCTCTCTACCTCTCCCTCCCTCCCTCCCTCTCTCTCTCTCTCTCTCTTTCTCTCTCTGTGTAACTGTGACTTTCAAACAAATAAATAAATCTTTAAGAAAAATTCAAATAATCCAAAAGGGAAGAAAAAAGGAACAGAGGAATCCCTTTCCCCAAAAACAGAAAACAACAGTAAAAACAAACTTCTCAAAACATATGGCACATAAAAAAACTAACAACAGGGGGAGGTGTTTGGTGCAGCAGTTAAGATATTGCTAGGAACACCTACATTCTCTGTCTCTCTCTCTCTGTATCTCTGCCTTTCAAATAAGTAAATAAATGGTAAAAAAAATTTTAAAAAAAAAGCAAAGAAAAAACTATTAACAGACTCAGTGTTCCAATTAAAAGGGAGAGATTTGTCAGGATGGGTTTAATAATACCTTAACTACATGCTGTCCACTTAAAAATGAAAACTGCATTTAAAAGGTGCATCACTCAACAAAATGCCCATTAAGGCTAGAACCACCAGATTCACGAGAGCAGATTTCAGGACAAAGTATCACAGGAGAGAAAAAAAGGTATTTCAGAAAGGGTAAAGTTTTTGGGAACTACAATCATAAACATACAAAGTAAAACCTTCAAAATATTTAAGGCAAAATTAACAAAATTAAAGAGAGAGCCAGGCACATCCTTGTCCCAGCAAAAGAATAAAACAGTGGCCTGGGGAAAACACACTCTTGAGCGTGGCAGTCACACAGGAAACGTCTGTCTCAGTCAACAGTGCCTGAGGGCCTGCGGTGTGGCACGGTGGGTTAAGCCACTGTTTGCCACACCAGCATCCCATACCAGACTGCAGGTTTGAATCTCAGCAACTCCACTTCCAATCCAGCTCTCGGCTAATGTGCCTAAGAAAGCAGCAGATGATGGCACAAGTACTTGAGCACCTGCCATCCACATGGGAGACCTTGGATGGCGTTCCAGACTCAAGGCTTCTGCCTGGCCCAGCCCCAGTCATTGCAGCCATCTTGGGAACAGTCCAGGGATGAAAGAGTATTCTCAATCTCTCTCTCTCTCTTGCTCTGCCTTTCAAAAAATCAATATATTAAAAATAATAATAACAGTGCCTGAAAAGGCCATGCCCTGATCATTGCATATTGCCAGTGAGTTCACTGCTACCAACCTTCACGGCTGGCCACACATTCCAGAAGCTCTAATCTTGCCTGTATATCTTGCTCAAAATCCTCACCAAAGCCTCCGTTTAAAAAAATAACAGGGTGATTACAGTTGCAGTAGTAACTGCTCCCTGTGAAACTGTTTTGACAGAATGAAAACCCAAAAAGACATTCACAGGGAAGAACAAGGAATGAGAACAGTCACACACGACAATCAGGGAATACAATTCAGTCAAAATACGCATTATGGAAAGAAGCTCACTTTATTTCTATTATCCCAACCTTGATAAAATCTTAAATTGCACTTGCTGCAAAATGAAGCCCAGTAACAGCTGTGTGGACACGTGTGTCTGATCCTTCTATCAATGCCTGCAGGCTAAAGAGTATCTTTATCACACCTGCAAACGGCTGGCAAAGGAGACTGCATTTTCCATGCTGCACAGCTGTCACCAACAAGAGCCTGGAGAACTCAGAGGGCAGCGTAAGACATGGGATGAACAACGTCACAGGGAGCTAAGTGCTACAACTCAGTGTCTTATGCCCTTCCTGGGCCCTCGGAGGACACGGGGCAGCTGCTGAGAAAGAACTCTGCACTGGCACCAGCTCTCTGCTGTGGCCCGGGAGTGCAGTGGAGGATGGCCCAAGTCCTTGGGCCCTGCACCCCATGGGAGACCAGGAGAAGCACCTGGCTCCTGCCATTGGATCAGCGCGGTGCACCGGCCACGGCGGCCATTGGAGGGTGAACCAACGGCAAAAGGAAGACCTTTCTCTCTGTCTCTCTCTCTCACTGTCCACTCTGCCTGTCAAAAAATATAAATAAATAAATAAATGAAAGAAAGAAAGAAAGAAAGAAAGAAAGAAACAAACAAACAAACAAACTCACTCACTCACTCACTCTGCACTGGCTAGGATGGACTCCTGTGCTGATCGACAAAGCTCTCTCCAGTCATCACTTTCAGGAATCTGTGTGGACTGAAACCTTACAAATGTGACATGTGTGGTCTTGAGCTGTCCCTGGGCCTCGAGAGTGGGGTTTCTGGGACAGGAGGCGACTTGCTGAGGGGAGACATGAGTGGTCTGGAGCTGTCCCTGGGCCTCGAGAGTGGGGTCTCTGGGACAGGAGACCACTACTTACTTTCTCCAAGTCCTCCTTCAGGCGGACTTCGTGCTGCAGCTTCTCGTGTAAGTTCCGGTTTTCTATTTTCAAAAGTTCAATTTCTTCCTTGAGCTCAGTTTGAAGAAGACTAAGTTTAACCTTGTTCTCGGTTTCCAAACCCAGGACTCTGGTGGCCACATCCATGTCAACCTGCAGAGCCACATCATGCATAGTCTGGAGACAGACCCTAGCGTGTCCTGCAGGGGGCAAGGAAACAGGGAGGACGGTCACATGCAAGGCCCACATGTGACCTCTAAACGGATTCAGATAACAAGACACCTTGAACTTAAAGTTCCCTGTGAACTCCATGAGGGAGGCGGGCACGGCTCCCTCTGGAGTCCTGAGTCCTGAGCCAGTCCTGAGTCACAGGATACCCTTAGGTCTGCACAGCAACCACCTGGCCACCAAGGCTCTCCTGTCAGGTCACATGCCAGGGTGAGCCTTGGGTATTTTCTTGGATGGAAGCAGACGCCTGTTCTTCAAGGCCCTCAGATCAGATCCCTGTGGAGGTTCTGGTCCCAGTTCCCCATGCTGGTTCTAGGAACCAGTGCATCCAAGCCCCTGCGCCCCCAGGCCCATGTCTTCCCCTGCAGAAGAGGACAATGAGCTGAGTCACAAGGAGGGGTGTCTGAGCACCAGCAGTGCCCAAAGACAAAGATATGTCCTGCGTTACCATGGGACGTCCCTGGTGAGGAAGGACAAAGGCAATGATGGGCAGGTGCTGTGTGGAGGACCCTCGCTCCTGGGAGGGGCCATGCTTCTCTCAGTCCACCCCATCCAGCTCCAAGTAAGCTCTCGGCAAAAGACAGGCTTCTCACACCACAGCACCCCAGTGGGGGTCTGGTCCCCCCGACTCTCTCAAGGTAGGAACCTCAACCTCATCTCCTCCCCTGCACCACAGGATACCCAGCTTTCCCACTGCAGGGCCGTACTTGAGGAGAAGAGCATGCCTCCAGGCAGCACACGGCCACCCACGGCGGCCCATCCACTTCTAGGTCCACACTGTACACCTGGGAGGTCTGTCCTGTCTATCTCACTGCCCATGACTACCCCAGGGCCCCAGAGATGGTCCCAGCATCAGTCTGACTAGCTGTGACCATCAGGCGGGGCCTGATCTGGCCACCTGGGCCTGCCAGGAGCACAGCAGGATCCTAGAAGAGTCTCCCACCGGCCCACATGACACATGTCCTCCCTCGAGGGTCCCCACTTGCCAGGCAATGCCTGTCAACTCAGAGCTGCCACCCAGGTCAGACCTGCCCCAACACATGGGCTCCTGACCGACCACAGACAGGATGCACATGTACTCAGCTGCCAGCACTGGCCCAGCAGATGAAGTCACAGCACTGAGGGGAGCTGGCCAGAGCTACGACACTCACCTTGGCTGTCCTCCTTGGCAGGCGCTGCTCTGAGCAGCTCAAGCTCGTGACACTGCTCCTCCTGCTCCAGTTCCTCAGTGTCCTCCTCCCGCTGCAGGTGCAGGGGAGAACTCAACGTCGCTGATTCGCGCCTGCAGCTTTCTTCCAACCTCACGTGTAACCGTGTCAGGTTGTCCTGTAGAATAAGGACACAGAACATGTCAAAGAGCCCATCACTGCCCAGAAGGCACGTTCTGCTGAACTCCGAGAACACCACATTCACTGTGTCTACCATCTCCTGGTCCTCCACCCTCACGTCCACACTGGACCACAGAGTGCACGTGGTGCTGAGGTCAGGGTGCTGCTCTGTGACAGCCTCCCTGATCCCACGCAGCAAAGGCCACATGCTCCTCCTTGTGTCCCGTGGCAGAAGCTTCCTCCTGTGTCTGTAATACCCAAGGCACTCCCTGGCTGGTGTCCACACCCATGGCCTGTGCTGTCCACACCTTGGCCTTGGCTTCAGCACCTCCTCTTCCACTCTCAGGGTCACTGTCCCTCCCTCCCAGGGCCTGGTGCAGCCCACCTCACATCTCAGGTCTGGGGCTTTCTCCTAAACTCCAAGCACCTATGACCTGCTACTCACTAACAGGTGTGTCCTTGTCATACACACACACAGCACTCAGGTGGTTGGCTCCCTCAGGCCAAGACAGCACACAGGGGAGGTGACCAGCTCCGTCATAGCACCCATCCCTCTAGTGGGAGCCTGCTGGGCAGATAGCTCTGCCATGTCCTCCAAACCTCCTGTGCATGGGATCCTGCAATTTTGTCTACTTCTCAGAGTCTGCCCCCACCCAGTGCCTTCCTGACAGCCTCCCACAGGCCAAGTGCCTCAGCCCACAGGACCCAGGACCACTGTGGGAGCCCCAGCACTGACACCGATGGCCTTTAGGTTCTCCCCTGCTGTTTCAAGCCACTGCGGCCCTTCCTCCCTCCCCTGCAGCATCTTTCTCCCTCTGAGTTTCCACTTCAGAGCCTGACACCGGCTTGCCTGCAGTGACCAGGACATGACCCATCTCCCCACAAAGCAGGGTCTCAGCCTCAGGAGTAGGACCCTGGGTGTACATTGCAGAATGAATGAATGATGAGTGATGGACTCTTCCTGCTGCTCTTTAAACAGACCCATGAAGCCCCAGCACGAGTCCCAACAGCCTTCACACAGGCTCCCATTTGGCCCAACACTGTCCTTCACATCGAGATTAAAGGTTTGACATGGTCACAAGAATGCTTGACACGTAAAATAGCACGCAATGTAATAATAAGCAAACAGAGCCAAAGGCAAGCGGAGCAGTGGTGAGGCAGCACCAGATCGCAGGCCCCACCCATAAGAAAATGAGGTCACGGGGCTGGCATTGTGGTGTAGTGGGCTAAGCCACCACCTACCACACAGGCATACCATATGGGCACCGGCTCATATCCCAGCTGCTCAACTTCTGATCCAGCTCCCTGCTAATGGCCTGGGAAAGCAGTGGAAGATGGCCCCAAGTGTTTGGGCCCCTGCAGCCACGTGGGAGCTCCTGGCTTCAGCCTGGCCCAGTCCTGGCTATTGCAGCCCTCTGGGGAGTAAGCCCAACAAATGGAAGAGCTCCCTCCCTCCCTCTATAACTCTTTCAAATAAATAAATCTTACAAAAAAAATTGAGGTCAGGTCCAACAAGCAAAATCTGAAAATGACCCAGACCTGAGAGCCACACAGACCAGAGAGAAAAGGCAAACACCACATTGTAGAAGGGGCAAACGCACGGCACGCGGTTACCACAAAGAAACAATGGTGCAGAGGCAGGTGAAGACACTCATTCTTTGCAATCATCAGACACATAACTCCAAAGAGAGGCTGGCACCCACCAGACAAGTGCCCAAGCCCACATGGCATCCAGCCAGGAAGGACACCTGGGTCTGTTGAAATTTTTAATACACACAGGCAAATTTCTGATTAAACCACACACAATGCATCACTGCGATCTACTCACCTTCCTGAAATACAGTTAAAATTACAGAAAAAAAGAGATTTAACTGGTAAACCAAAGAGGATAAGAAACAGAAAAAAGAGGCTGCCAACAAACCAATGGCAGCCAGTTTCAGGAAGACAGGAAGTAGAGGCCACCGAAACCTCCAGGCTCACAGAGGGAAGGAGCAGGCTCCAGATGCTGAGGGAGACCAGGAGTGAAGCAAGTTGGGCTCCAGGGAGAAAACTGGGAGGTGGACACCACACTCAGTGCCAGCACAGACCAGGAGACACTGGGTACAGCAGCAGCAGTGGGGAGCCACGCACCCTCCTGACCATCTATCCTCGGGTGCCAGCAGTCTGCAGCAGCTCCCAGCAGAAGACTAGAAGAGCCGTCTCTGGAGAAAACCACTAGCCCTGGGAAGGAGGCCAGCACCTGCAGGCAGCAGGTGGGGACAGCTGTGATACCCCCAGAGAAAAATGGAGCTTCACACGCAATGTGAAAGCACACAGCCATACTCACCAACCCACCTACAACACCAGACACACAGACCCAGACAGCCAACAGCGGAACGATCATATTGTGTCCCCATCAGCATGGGACATGAGGAAGGAAGACAGCAAAGCAAGCCTCCAGGAACCGAAAATGGCTGGGGCGAGGAACACAGCTGAAGAATTCACAGGGAAGAGAGAGAACCTCCCAGCCAGAACACAGAGCCAGAGGAGACGTCTGGTAAGAGGCAGACACTGGAGACTACGGCTGTTTTCACACTGGAGCTCAAGCATGGCTGCCACAGTGGCCCGGGACAAGGCAGGAAAAGCTGCTCCAAGTACATGAAGGCCAGCAGAGGAGGAGCCTGAGACCCAAGACTCACTCTAACCTCAGGACGGACATGAAGGCCAGCGAGGAAGGAGCCTGAGACCCAAGACTCACTCTAACCTCAGGACGGACATGAAGGCCAGCGAGGAAGGAGCCTGAGACCCAAGACTCACTCTAACCTCAGGACGAAAAGTGGGCACACATGGCCACGGCTCAGCTCCACAGCATGAGAAGGGCACAGGTGGCACTGGAGGGAGGGTCGAGGAGGGCAGGGCAGCTCTGCAACAGCACGGGGTAAGAGCATTGGAAAGAACCACTCTCGGCAAGCACGGGTGAAGCCAGGTCTCTGGTGAGGGCCCAGCCTGGGCTGCTCAGTCACCCGCTCCAAGTCAGCTCAGGGAAAAGCTGCGAGCAAGCCAGGGAGGAGACCAGACACTTGCTCCTCAAGCAGCGGGCGCAGGGCTGGCAGGAGAGGACAGCACCCTGGGAGTGAAACTGCAGGGTGATCCCAGGACACCCAGAGCACAAGACAGAACAGTGCAGAAGGCAGTACCATTAAAACAGACCACACATTGACAAGGAGGCTGAGCACTAAGAAAACCCAAAGATGACACGTGAGGAACCCCCAAATGTGCATGGTGGAAGGGCAGCCATAAGTACAAGGGAGAAAGTAGAACTCAGTGTTCCAGAGACATGGCAAAGTGGTGCGGCCCACAGCGGCTGCAGATCACCTGCCACAGGCTGACTGTGCCTCTCAAATGTACGAACTGAAGCCCTAACCCCAAGGACCTCAGAATGTGACTGCATTTTGGTACAGTGTCTTTAACAATGTAAACAAGGTAAACTGAGGTTACTAGGGTGGGTCCTGCCCCAAGCTGTGTGTTATGAGAAAAGGAAATAAGAGCACAGGCACACACGGAGGGCCCTGCCTCCAGATTCTGAGCAATCTCGTGTCCGCTCCTGAAGCCAGTGTGTTACCCCGTCTAAGTCCTTTGTCAAGGCAGCCCTGGAGCAGCCACAGGAGGCAAAGGGCCTGTGTGAGAAGGTGAGCCACCTGCACTGTGTCAGGGGCTCAACAGCCATGTGTGCTGATGCGAACAGCCACTGCACTGGCCACACACATCCGGAACATCCCATCATCCAATTCAGTTTTATAGGGAACTTTCCACAGAGGTGAAATAGACAGAAACTGATAGCATAGAAGCAATTCAAGAAGAAACACAGCTGGAGCCGGCACTATGGCATAGTAGGCTAAGCCTTCACCTGTGGCACCAGCCTCTCAAATGGGTGCCAGTTTGTATCCCAGCTGCTCCTCTTCCAATCCAGTTCTCTGCACTTTCTCTGGGAAAGCAGGAGGAGATGGCCCAAGTGCTTGGGCCCCCGCACCCACGTAGGAGACCCGAAGGAAGTTCCTGGCTCTTGGCTTCAGACTAGCCCAGCTCTGGCCATTGCGGCCATTTCGAGAGTGAGCCAACAGAACAAAGACTTTTCTGTCTGCAACTCTACCTCTCAAATAAATAAAATCCTTTCCAAAAATTAAAATAAAAAAAATAAAGAAGAAACACAAGGCCAGCACTGTGGCATGGCAGGTTAAGTCACAGACTGCTGGGGCCAGTGTTGTAGCATAACAGGTAAAGCCACCACCTGCAGTGACAGCATCCCATATGGACGCAGGTTCGAGTCCCGGCAGCTGCACCTCCGATCCAGCTCTCTGCTATGGCCTGGGAAAGCAGTAGAAGATGGCCCAAGTCCTTGAGCCCCTGCACCAACGTGGGAGACCTGAAAGAAGCTCCTGGCTCCTGATTGGCGCAGCTCTGGCCATTGAAGACAATTAGGGTGTGAACCAGCGGATAGAAGATCTCTTTCTCTCTTTCTGCCTCTCCTTCTCTCTCTGTATAACTCTGACTTTCAAATAAATAAGTAAATCTTTAAAAAAAAAAAAAATTACAGGGGATGGCACTGTGGCGTAACGGGTAAATCCGCCACCTACAGTGCCAGCATCCCATATGGCACCAGTTCGAGTCCCAGCTCTCTGCTTCCGATCCAGCTTCCTGCCATGGCCTGGGAAAGCAGTAGAAGATGGCCCAAGTCCTTGGGCCCCTGAACCTGCCTGGGAGACCTGGAAGAAGCTCCTGGCTCCTAGCTTCAGATCCGCACAGCTACGGCCATTGCATCCAACTGGGGAGTGAACCAGCAGATGGCAGACCTGTCTGTCTGTCTGTCTGTCTGTCTCTCTCTCTCTCTCTCTGAACCTCTGACTTTCAAATAAACAATAAAATAAATCTTTAAAAAAATTTTAAATTAAAAAAAAAGTAAAAAAAAAAAAAAATCACAACTTACAACACCAGCATCCCATATCACAGTGCCCTGCTTCTCAAGTAAAGATATTTTAGAAAAGAAAAAACACAAATACGATGAAAAAATACTCAGTGTGTGAAGCAGAAAAAAATAATCCACAATTTCACTCTCTTCAAACTGTCAGAGTGGAGTTCAACAACATAGAGGCTGGGAGGACACAGGGCAAGAGGAGGGTGCCTGGGACAGAAGCATGGACTCCAGCAAAGCTTCTCTTCCGTGTCGGGTCCTTGTAGAAAACACATCAGCAGAGACAAGTGCAGGACACATGACATCATGGGGTACCCTGACCAACAGGAGCAGGCCCTCCTCTACCTGCTATGTCAGGAGGTATCAGAGAAAGGGTAGAAACTCAGATTTTTATTTTTTTTTTATTTTTATTTTTTTGACAGGCAGAGTGGACAGTGAGAAAGACAGAAAGAAAGGTCTTCCTTTGCCGTTGGTTCACCCTCCAATGGCTGCTGCGCTGCTGCGCTGCGACCGGCGCACGGCGCTGATCCGAAGCCAGCAGCCAGGTGCTTCTCCTGGTTTCCCATGCGGGTGCAGGGCCCAAGGATCTGGGCCATCCTCCACTGCCTTCCTGGGCCACAGCAGAGAGCTGGCCTGGAAGAGGAGCAACCAGGACAGAATCTGGCGCCTGGACCAGGACTAGAACCCGGGGTGCCGGTGCCGCAGGTGGAGGATTAGCCTAGTGAGCCGCGGCGCCGGCCGAAACTCAGATTTTATGATATGAGATACAAAATTCTAATTAAAGGAGGAAACTCAGGTTTTTCTCAGTGACTAAAGAAAAACACTGGCCCATTACCATATCATGTCCAGGTTGAAGGTAAAGTTGATCCAGGTGATCTTTTCTTTCGTCTTCAGACATCTCTTCGAAAAACACACAGGATGAACTAAGAGAGAAAACATGTCTTAAAAAAAAAAATTACATACACAGGTCAGCAGATTAAGCTGCCCCTCACCAGCCGAGCATCCCATGAGAACCAGCTTAAATTCCAGCTGTTCAATTTCCAGCTCACCTTCCTGCTAACGTGCCTGGGAAGGCAGCAGAAGATGGCCAAAGTACTGGGGACCCTGTTACTCACATAGGAGACATGGATGGAGTTCCTGGCTCCTGGCTTCTGCCTGGCCTACACCTAAGTTTTGTGGCCATCTGGGGAATGAGCCAGCAGAAAGAAGATCTCCCTCCTCCTCCCTCCGTGTTGTTCTGCATTTTAAATATATCAATCTTAAAAAAAAAAAAAAGAGCATTATACATGTCCCTTTCCTACCTGCACTCCACACTCCCTGGGGACTAGCAACACAGAGCAGAGGCCCCTTCCTACTGCCTCCATGTCAAGGCCGGGACACAGCTGGGGTGGGCGTTCAGGCTACACCACAGCACAGGGACTTGGCCTGGACGACAGGCCATCCACCAGGCACCCGCACAGCTGGCCACACACCACTGACTCCACAAAAACACGTGAGTATAGTGTTAGTCATCATGCTTTTTTGAGTCCTGACCACAGAATGTGTTTTAAAATTGGTCTCCACAGTGGCATGTAATCACAATCAAAACTAGGTCTGAAGCCAGCAAAGGTTCTTATATCTTAGAAATATATGAAAGATGAAAAATGCTCCATATACCTGATTTCCACAGATTCCAGAGGAAAATCTTCCTTCACTTCCTGCAGCCGTTGCTGTAACAAGGTAAGATCTTCTTGATAAGTTTTTTCAGCATCCCTTAATTTCTTCTCAAAATAAATCCTCAGTTGCTCCATTTCAGACTCATACTCGGTTTTCTGCCGCTGCTGCTCCTGTGCAAAGCCTTGCTTCAGGTGTTCCAGTTCCTCCACATGGGCTGCGTGCACCAAGAGCTGCTCAGGGAACTCTGCTGGAAGCAAACACAGTCATCTTAAAATGAGACACTTGGGCATAGCGGGTAAAGCTGCTGCCTGCAGTGCTAGCATCCCATATGGGCGCCGGTTCAAGTCCCGGCTGCCCCACTTCCCATCCAGCTCTCTGCTACGGCCTGGGAAGGCAGTAGAGGATGGCCCAAGTTCTTGGGCCCCTGCACCCATGTGGGAGACCTGGAAGCAGTTCCTGGCTTGTGGCTTCAGATGGGCTCAGCTCCAGCCAATGCAGCCATTTTGGGGAATGAACCAGTGGATGGAAGACCTTTCTGTCTCTTAACTCTGCCTCTCAAATACATAAAATCTTTTAAAAAAAAAACAAAAACAAACAAACAAAAAAAAACAGGGTGCTGTTTCCACCCTGTTTTTCCACCCCTGGTAGAGCCATGGGGAGTTAAGAGAGACTTGAGGTGGCAGGGAGAGGAACAGCCCCAAAGAATTGAGCAGCCCCAGCCAACAGCTGGTAAGGAATAGGACTTTAGTCCTACATTTCCAAGGAACTCAATTCTGTTATAAGCTGAATGAGTCTGGAAGTGGCCTGAGGTCAGCACACAGGCACCAACACCTGGATTTTGTCAGAGGACAATCCCAGGCACCACGTCAGGCTACAAGACAATAAACATATGCTGTTTCAGGCTGTCACACAGCAGAAGAGAGCACCTCTCACCAGCACAACTGTGGTCCACAGAAAGCGGCAACTGGCCTACAGCAGTTCATGACAATGTGGACTTCAACTCATCACTGTGCCAGCAATTTCAAATCAAAGTACCCTGTGCAGGTATGGAGACGCAGGATGAACACCTGCATGGAACGTGCTGGAGGCACAGCACGTGTGCAAGCAGCTTTGCCCGCGGCCCCATCAGTTTCTCTCTTCTATAACCTCTGGTGAGAGACACCTTCAAGGGAAAGACAAACCAACAAGCTTTGCCACACCCAACAACAGGCAGCACTCAGGGCTGGAGGTGGCGCCCAGGCCACACTTGCCCCGAGACAGAGGGTAGTTCCCACTGGTGCTGCCCCTGGCCCTTTGCTTTACATCACAGCTGCAGAGTAGAGTTGCTAGTTTTATAGGCGTTGTGTGTTGACGAACACCAGGAAGCACTTGTCGGTTTGAAGGCTTCCCCGGAGCAGCCATGTCCTGACACTGAGCAGAGAACTCCCTGATGTGAAAGGAGGTGGCAGAGGAGCCCGGCCATAGTGGGGGTGGGGGTCCCAAGGCAGAGCTGCCCTCAGCAAAAGTGGCTGCAGTTCCTGGGACCTGCAGACCTGGGTGCCAAGCTCCACAGGACCAGAGGAGCCTGACAACCCCCACCACAAGGGGAGCTCACAGGACCCTTGTGGCAGGGCACAGCACAGCACCCAATCATACTCTTCAGGTTCAAGTTAAGCACCTCTGGCAAATTCTCATCTCACCCTTGAAAGTAACCCGTATCAATGTGGATCTCAACTGTTAAGAACATAATTAGGTAGTCATCAGTCAGCCGACTCACGAAGGGTGAGACAGGTCCTCTCACAACACACATCTCCATCTCAAAGCTACATGTATCCATCTTTACGATATGAAACATGTGAGTTACGTGGTTGTTACATGGTTAAATTCTAGTTTGGGGTTTCAACAATTAAAAATACACAGCTTTGGCTTCTAAGGATCCGGATTTTCCATGTGAAACTCACCAGTCAGCTCCTGTCTGTCGGCTCTCATGCAATCAAGCTCGGAGCACAGACGCCTGATTTCCTCTTGTGACTGAGCCTTCAGGTCTTCATATGATGCCTGAAGAGCCTCTAACTGTGAAAAAGAGAAGTGTCAGTGTGAGATCAAACAAGGTCAAGCACAGGGCAGCCCATGGGGCCTCTGTGCCGTCATTCTCAATACCTGCAACCACCTCAGGGCCCAGCATCTCCAGGCAGGAGATCAGCACGTGTGGAGTAAACGCTTACGCCTCAACCTACACCCAGCAGCGGCAGCAGCCAGAAGGGCTCGCCATGAGACAGGCCAGGGGCAGAGGCAGCATCGACCAACTACTCATTTAGGCACTGGTTGCTTTGTTCCCAGCACAACTTTGGCAGAGCACTAAGGCTGCCACATGTAGGCCCACAACCACAGCCACACAACTGAGGGACTGGATCTGCCTGCAGCCAGCGTGGTGCAGGGTCACACAGATGGACCCAAGTTCACTGAGGGACTGGATCTGCCTGCAGCCAGCGTGGTGGTGCAGGGTCACACAGACGGACCGAAGTTCATTCTAGAGACAGTCCTCACTACGTATGAGGTTGAGGCAGCAGCTTCAGCCCAGAGGACCCACACTCACAACCAGGAGGGGGTCTTGTGCTTCTACATTGAGGAAGCAAGTCGCCTTTTACACCTCAACACATGTATTCTACATCACACCATGAACCCACAGACCAGCACAGCACAATCTGATGACCTGGGCCCCTGCCATGGGACTAATTCTCAGATGCTCACCACCATAACCAGAACGCTCAGTGCACAAGCTGGCACCTGGACCAAGGCCAGCGTGGATCCCGGGCCAGCTGGTCATGTGACCCTGTGTATCTGAACATGCTGCCCTGCGTCTCCAGATCATACTGCAGAGCAGCCCCCACCAGGAACCACGGGGACCACTGCCCTACAGTCTGGCAACATAGGAATTTGTCAAAATACCAAAAATGAAGAAAATACATGATTTTGAGTAATTTGCATGTTCTCTTCTACTCAGGTCCAGGGCCTGGATCCCTGCATAGATCAGATCTCCCACTGAGCAAGGATACATGCTTCCAACAGTCAACAGGGAAGCTCCCACAGGGATCAAGAGCGGGAGGGGCCGGCGCCGCAGTTCACTAGGCTAATCCTCCGCCTTGCGGTGCCGGCACACCAGGTTCTAGTCCCGGTCGGGGTGCCGGATTCTGTCCCAGTTGCCCCTCTTCCAGGCCAGCTCTCTGCTGTGGCCTGGGAGTGCAGTGGAGGATGGCCCAAGTACTTGGGCCCTGCACCCCATGGGAGACCAGGATAAGTACCTGGCTCCTGCCATCAGATCAGCGCGGTGCGCCGGCCGCAGTGCACTGGCCGCGGAGGCCATTGGAGGGTGAACCAACAGCAAAAGGAAGACCTTTCTCTCTGTCTCTCTCTCACTGTCCATCCTGCCTGTCAAAGAGAATGAGTAAAATAACAAAATAAGAGCAGGAGGACTGTGCTCAAGAACAGTATGCACTGCCTCCCACCTCTTTGTGGGCCACAGTCCCATGGCAACCCAAAGAGCCACTGGAGGATGCAACCCATCTGAGCTGTGGCTGCAGCAAGGGCAGCACGAGCCTGAGGCTGCTCTATTCTCGTGGAACCTGCCTTCAGCCTTTCCTCACGGGCCCTGGGCCACAAGGTGCTCCCAGTCCTCTTTACTGTCACTGAGGAAGAAATGGGGGAGAGAGAAGGGTGCATATGGCAGAGCCCCAAAGCTGGAGATGGGAAGGGGCGTGGACAGGACAGGTCTCCTGAAGACCCCTGGAATCTGACCGCCCTGTCTGGTTTCTAGATCTTCACATACAAAGCTACTAATTCCAGCGTCCGGTTTCTTGACCAAATCTCAGGACACAGCTTCAGTCCTGGGCCTGGTAATAAAAGCACTTCAGGTTTGCAGACAACGCCTGGTGACATCTCCTACGTGCTGACGTGTGGTGTCACCAGAAAAGCATCTTGAGCATGCATGCAGCAAACACGGTTTACTTATGGCCAGAGCACGTGGCCTCTCACACCTAGTGTGTAGAATTCTTCCAAATGTCTCAGGGATACTGGTCACGAATATGCACTATCAGAGTATGAGAATGAACATAATTATTAAGTCAACCTCACTGATGCTATGTCCTTCCACTTTATCAAACACTAAGAATACTAAAAGTAGTCTTAGTCTTTACTTTTAGCAAATAATAGAATGAAAAATGGTCCAATCCCAGAATCTTTTAAAACGTCCTTAATATTCCAAATAATGAAGAATAAAAAAGCTTTGGCCTACCTCTAGCTGTTTTTCTTTTTCCTTTTCCTTGAATTTCAGCTCCAAGTCTTCTAGATACTGGCAGTGTTCAGACTGCAGGTCTGCACGCAGCTTCTCGACTGCTTCCTGATGCTGCGCCTCCAGGTTCCTCAGGGTAACTGGAAGGCAGCACAAGTCTCACTTGGTGGATGACAAGACAACTCCTCCTCCTCAGCAGTAACCCTGGCCAGCACATCACACTGAGTAAAGATGACCACTGGTACTCAGAGCACAGCCCGACTGGAGGCTCCAGCCTGGATGCCCACGACCTCAGCACCTCTAGAGCACGTCCTGCTGGGGGAGTGGCCAGCAGGCTCCCTCCAGAGCTTGTTTTCAGCAAATGCCTTGCTCTCCCTGGGGAGGAGGAAGAGCCACACACGTTCAGGCATGGTATAGAGAATCAAAAGTGGACAATCACCACTGTCTCGGTCATAATGCAGTAGTAACTGGACACGCAAAAGACATCAGTGGACAAAGGTCAGGAAGGGTCAGCCTTGTCACCCAGAAGGTCAGGGGCGCTCAGTGATCTAAGACGTAAAGGCAGACTTTCTTTCAGCCCAACAGCTAAGACAGTACTTGGGATGCCCACATCTTGTATCAGAGTGCCGGGGTTGGAGTCCAGGCTCTGGTTCTGACTCCAGCTTCCTGCTAACACGCACCCAGGGAGGCTGAAGATTGTTCAAGTAGTGGGAGATTCACTGAGTTCCTGGCTCCCAGGCATTTGGAGAATGAACCAGCAGATGGCAGGTTTCTCTTGCTCTATCTCTCTGCTTCTCAAATAAAATAAGTTAAAAATTTTAGAAACCAAGGGGAGGGGAGCCGGCACTGTGGCATAGTGGGTAAATCCGCCACCTGCAGTACCAACATCCCATATGGGTGCCGGTTCAAGACCCGGCTGCTCCACTTGTGACCCTGCTCTCTGCTATGACCTGGGAAGCAGTAGAAGATGGCCCAGGTGCTTGCGCCCTGCACCTACGTGGGAGACCCAAAGGAAGCTCCTAGCTCCTAGCTTTGGATTGGCACAGCTCCAGCCATGCGGCCATCTGGGGAGTGAACCCCAGCAGATGGAAGACCTCTCTCTCTCTTCCTCTGCTTCTCTGTAACTCTGCCTGTCAAATAAGTAAATAAATCTTAAAAAAAAAAAAAAAAAAAAAAAAAAAAAAAACAGCAAGGGGAGGACCACACATTCAAACACGTGGGATGACAGGGTGTTTGCTGCTGCAGAGGAACACTTAGTCCCCCATCCAACTCATCATTCTCATTGGAAGCTCACATTCAGCCTGATCTTTGGCTTCAAAAATCTTCTCCAACTCAGCTTTCTGCTCTGCCAATTCTTTCTGAAACTGGTTTTGTAACTCCTCCATTTCTGACTGATGCTTTGCAGACAATTCTTTACGTAGATTTTCTAGGCATAAAGCTCTTTCAGATTCCCAGTCTTGCTTCAGGGTCTAGGTTAAAAGAAAAAGGAACTGTGGTCAATAGTTGAACATCCATGGTGAAGGAACTGAAATCACCCCATCAATCGCAAGAATGGGCCCTCATCCCCCCGACTGGACATGGGCTCTAATGGCCGCTCAGCCACTCCCTCAGCTTCTAGAAGGACACAAACAGAGCACACATAAGGCCAGCAGTCACAGAACAGAGAAGGACTATGGCAGAATCAGAGGTAGTGAACAATGCTAACCCCAGTGACTTTCAAGGGGTCAAAGGTCTCAAAGATGTTGCCCACCTCTGCCCAAGGGCTGGGCTCTCTCCCAAGTGCCCCAAGAAATAATCCCCTGTTGTCCAGGGATGGGGAAGAGGCTAGAGTTTGATCCCAAACCACAGACGGACATCTGCCCTTCACCATAGCCTGAGAGAGCAGGCAGAAGGTCAACTCAGGAGGAGCCTAGAAAACACTGCTGCAACACCTGAGAACCTACCCAACACTGGTTCCCTCCCCCCACAACCCATGCACTGACTTCGCTGCCCCCACCTCAGGCAAGCCTGTGAGGACACAGCTGGGGGCTAACACACAACACAGAACACACAGGAAAGGACTTCTAACACACATACAAATGCAATTCACTTTATGCCAGGTTTGACTGGCTCTTGTTTGAACCAAAGTGAGGGGCTTTTTGTGGGTGTGTTGAGAAAGGAAAAGCAGTATGTATAGAAAATTCCATTTTCTAATCAAACAACATACGTACCTCCATCATCTGGACATTTTTCTCCACTTCGGATTGTAACTGCTCCTTCAGCTCAGCTGCAAGAAAAACAAAAGGTAGCTTAGACCCCTAAGTTCACTTCTCAGGGATTTGGAACACACTGGCCGCACCACAAGCACTCGCCAGTGTCCACAAGACAGCAGAACGTGCCTGGGTAACAGCACAACTGCACTCAGGCAGAACACAGGACGTAAGACAGCAGGTGAGGGTCAGCTCCTGAGGCTCCCATCATGGAATTCCCTAAAACCGATACAAATCCCAGGACCTTTAGCTCAGGTTCCCAACGTACCAGAGGCCAGCAAGGGACTGGGATTGAGAGAGAAGCAGTCTAAGGATCCAACAGGCTGCACCATAAGGAGGACGCACAGAACACGGCACGCGCAGCACCTCGGGCATCAGGGACCCTCCGAAGGATCATCAGGCGCCAGACCAAGGAAAGGCAGGACCAGGAAATGAGTCGCGGGGCAGAGGGAGACTAAGCTGTGTGGACTTGAGATGCAGGCACACACCTGGAGAGGTGTACACCAGGGAGAAGTGGCAGGAGGCCTCAGTAAACACAGAGGTGGACCTGGGGGAGGACCCTCTCGCCCAGGATCCAGCCTTGAGGGCAACGTGCAAGTGCACAGAAGGCTCTGCACAAGCAGCTCAGGGCAGCTGCAGGGGAGGCCTGCACTGAAGCGTCCTGGGAGCACAAAGAGCTCCACAGAAAGGCACAAAGAGCAAACCATGTTTTACACTACAAAAAGGCGAGAGGATAGAAGATCTGTATTTGAGTTTGCTTGAAGCTAAACAAAGAATCACAAGAAAAAGTGAAAAAGAAGCTAGGCAAACTGGTCCCTAGGGTGGGAGAATGGCAGGGAGGACCCAGGTCAGGGAATTTCAGCAAGTCTGAGACCTTGTAACGTGGAAAACGGGACAAACAAGCAAACAGGCAATGCCCCAGGAGGCCCTCTGAGTGGGACAGCATGCCTTCCTGGGGTGATGAATGCTCATAATTCACACATGGTAATGGCCGCCCAACTCTGACTTAACCAAAAAACCTGATGGCACATGGGGTGAACTGTGTGGAACATGAATTCCACCTCAGAAACACTGTTACTTCAAAATAGATGTTCATAATAACAACAAAAATAGATATTCAGTTGGGGGCCAGCACTGTGGCCCAATGGGTTAAAGCCCTCACTTGAAGTGCTAGCATCCCATATGGGCGCCAGTTCTAATCCTGGCTGTTCCTCTTCTGATCCAGCTCTCTGCTGTGGCCTGGGATAGCAGTGAAGATGGCCCAAGTCCTTGGGCCCCTGCACCCAGGTGGGAGACCTGGAGGAAGCTCCTAGCTCCTGCCTCCTGGCTTCAGATCGGCACAGCGTGGCCATTGCAGTCATCTGGGGAGTGAACTAGTGGATGGAAGACCTCTCTGTCTCTGCCGCTCTCTTTGTAACTCTGTCTTTTTCTCTCTCTCTTCTTTTTTTTTTTTTAAGATTTATTTATTTACTTGAAAGAGTTACACAGAGAGAGGAGAGGCAGAGAGAAAGATAAAGAGATCTTCCATTCGCTGGTTCACTCCCCAGATGACTGCAACAACCGGAGCTGTGCCGATCCTAAGCCAAGACCCAGGAGCTTCCTCTGGGTCTCCCATGTAGGCACAGGGGCCCAAGGACTCAGGCCATCCTCTACTGCTTTCCCAAGCCATTGCAGAGAGCTGGGTTTGAAGAGGAGCTAGCGGGACTAGAATTGGTACCCATATGGGATGCCGGCGCTTCAGGCCAGGGCTTTAACCCACTGCATCATAGCGCTGGCCCCTATAACAATTTCTTTCAAATAAATAAAATAAAAAATCTTTAAAACACACACACACAAAAGGAAATTATAAAAAAAAAATGTTTAGGAAAGTACTAACTACTGTAACAAAGAATTGCACAAACAAACCCACTAAGATTAAAACATAAAAATATTGGCCGGCGCCGCGGCTCACTTGGCTAATCCTCTGCCTGCAGTGCCGGCACTCCAAGTTCTAGTCCCAGTTGGGGCGCCGGATTCTGTCTTGGTTGCTCCTCTTCCAGCCCAGCTCTCTGCTGTAGCCCGGGAAGGCAGTGGACGATGGCCCAAGTGCTTGGGCCCTGCACCCACATGCGAGACCAGGAGGCAGCATCTGGCTCCTGGCTTCGGATTGGATCAGCGCAGCGCGCTGGCTGCAGCAGCCATTTGTGGGGTGAACCAACAGAAAAGGAAGACCTTTCTTTCTGTCTCTCTCTCTCTCACTGCCTAATTCTGCCTGTCCAAAAAAAAAAAAAAGAAAAAAGAAAAAAGAAAAGAAAAACATAAAACTATCTATTGGGACTGGCTTTGTGGCACAGCATCCTGTATGGGTGCTGGTTCGTACCCTCGCTGCTCCACTTCCAATGCAGGTTCCTGTTAATGGCCTGGGAAAACCAGCAGAAGACAGCCCAAGTACTTTGGCCACTGCCACCCACATGAGAACTGGATGAAGTTCTGGCTGTTATTGACATTTAGGAGGGGGGTGAATCAGTGGATGGAAGATCTCTTTCAAATAAATAAATCAATCTTTTAAAAACAACTGTAAAAAAACTAATAGACATAAAGCCAGATAATCACAAAGTAAAGCAGTGCTCAGGTCAGTCACCCTCCAGGTCTGTGTCCACAGTCAAGAGTGTGGGTTGGGTCTAAGCACAGCCCACAGATACACGGAATTGTACCAAAGATACTGAGGAGGAAACTTCCCGCCAAATGTACACAAGTCCACTGGAGAAGTCGACAAGAAGCAAGGGAGTTAAGAACAAGAAGGCGTTTGACTCAACACCAGAGCCTTGCAAAACAGGGTGAATAATAAACGCTTGCTCTAGGCCTGGGGTGCTGCCCACACAAGCCCAGCTAGAGCAAGGCCCTGTGCAGCACACCAAGGCCAGACAGCAAGGCTGCCGCCAGGGCACTACACATCCTCGTGCAAGGACAGGGGCCTGGGTGTGGAGACCTGGCAGGAAGCACTTCACACTGGTGGAGCCACCAACACAATCATGGGCAACCCAAGCAACAGAAGCAGGACTCTGTATCTGACAGACAGGAAAAGTTATCTAGAAAATAAGCAGCTGACTTCTAAGGAGATCACTGAAGGGCAGCAGCCCCTGCAGCGGCGCGAGGGGCCCAGCCCTGTGTGCAGCACCTGCTTCGCACGCACTCCTGAGCGCCATCTCTTCCTTCTCCCGTGCGTGCTGCTCTCTCAGGAGCTCCAGCTCATGCTGCTGTCTGCTCTGCAGCAGGGCGAGCTCCTGGGCTCGCCGGCTGTTGAGCATCTCCCGCAGCTCCGTCAGGGCCGTCTCCTTCTCCCTCTGCAGGTTGGCCTGCGTCAGCTCCAGCTGCGCGGTGTGCATGTTGCTTAGGCTAAGGCGCAGGGCTTCCAGTTCCAAGCTGGGCACCGTCTGTGGAGAGCAGCATTCTTGATGAGAAGACACGTGTGGACCAACATAAGGGAGACGCCAAAAAGCTCAAAATGAACATGAAGGAGAGGAAGAAGCAGGCTGTACTCTCGGAGGGGAGAGCACGGACATCGTGAGGAGGCAGCACTGGGTCGCTGCTCACTCCCACCACTGGTCTGAGTCCCCTACACCCTCTCTTCTCTTGAACACTCTAGCCCCCAGGTGTGCCCCCCCCCATTTCCCTCACTGCAGTGTGGGTCTGCCAAAGCTGGTAGGGATGTCTCTCACACAGTCTGGCACCTGGCTAGAACTTTGCCCACAGGATGGACATCCACCCACGTTCCCGCCATCAGTCCCAGGACAGCTCACACACAGAACACAGCCGACCACTCGCACAAGCCTCTCCCAGCAATGGCTCCACCCGGCTCTGAGACCAGCTGAGCCTGTGTGAACTTCAGGACCGGCCCCACGGCCCCAGGAGGCTGATAGCCCTGTGCCCCACAGGAGAGTCACCTGAGTCCGCTGCTGCCGGCCTCCCTCATCGTTCTGTCTGCTACTGTGCTCAGCAGTCTCAAGTTCATGCTCTTGATCGTGTGCCTGGGGAAGGAAAGCAGAGGGTGTAGCCAGGGAATTCACAGGGAAAGAGACACGCTAAGAAAGCACTGTGGTGGGGCAGGCGTTGGGGCGCAGTGGCTTAGCTGCAGCTTGCACCAGCATCCCATATCAAAGCAGCGGTTCAAGTCCTCACTACTCTGCTTCTGATCCAGCTTCCTGCTGATACTTGGGCCCCCGCCACCCATGTGGAAGACCCAGATGGAGTTCCTAGCTCCTGGCTTCAGAGAGACCCAGTCCTGGCTGCTGCCATTTGAGGAGTAAACCAGCAGATATAAGCTCGCTCGCTCGCTCTCTCTCTCTCTCTCTCTTCCTCTGCCTTTCAAACAAATGAAAATAAATAAACGTTAAAAACAGAGAGAGAAAAAAAGAACTGGAGGATGCCACAAAAATTAAAAACACATGTCCTCACAAAAACATATCCATAAATGCTCACAGAAGCACTGCTCTTGATACCCACAGGGTACAAATAGCCTCAATGACGGGTGAATGGATAAACAAAGTATGTAACCCAGCAGTCTCAGCATCTGCAGGGTTGGTTTCAGGACCCCCTTCCCAAACACCAAAATCCACAGATGCTCAAGTTGTGCATATAAACTGGCACAGTATTTGCTGTGATTCCCAGGTCCTCTGAGTGACCTCCAGGTAGTTACAATACTGAACTGTTACACTGTATTACTGAGAGAACCATGACAAGAAACTACCTATTCTGTACAGATTTTTTATTTTTCCCCAAAACCTTCAATCTGTGGTTGGTTGAATCTTAGGACAGAGGTCAACTGTATCCACACAATGGGATACTATTCAGCCATTAAAAAACATGGAGGACAGACACACCACGACAGGGATGCCCCGGAGACACACCGACCCCAGAGGTTCGCCACAGAAGGCCACACAGCAAGTAACACTGATGAGAAACATCGAGGAAGACTGTTCTGTGGGGCTGAGGAGAGGAGGGAAAGGGGAGTGGCTGCCAACGGGAACAGGGCTCCTTTTTGGAATAATGAAAATGTCTGAAACTGGGTAAGAGTAACACTGTGAATGTCTTACAAATACTCAAGTACAAACTTTGAATTTGTGATTTTGTGTTATATGAACTATGTATCATTTTTAAACATAATAATGGGAAAATATTCAACTTGTGTAGGCAAGTGGCTTAAGTAAGTAGTGTAAAGTTAGGAACCCAGAGAGGGAAGCTGCAGACTCCGCCTCCATCCCTACTTGCAGCCATGCTGACACTAGATAGGCACATGACCTCCCTCCCACTCATTGTCAAATACCTGGAAGAGGGGTTGGCATTCTGTCACGGCAAGTAAAGCCACATATCGCCTGTGACACCAGCATCCTATGTGGGTGCTGGTTCAAGTCCAAGATGTTCTACTTCTGATCCAGCTCCCTACTAATGTGCCTGGGAAAGCAGTAGAAGATGGCTTGGACCCCTGAACTCACTTGAGAGACCTGGAAGAGACTTCTGGCTCCTGGCCTTGGCCTGATCCAGCCATGGCCATTGTGGCCATTTGGGGAGTGAACCAGTGGATGGAAAAATCTCTCTGTCTCTCTACCCCCTCTCTCTCTTCTTATCTCTGCCTTTCAAAAAATCAAAAAACACCTGGAAGAGGTAGGTCCCATAAAAGCTAAACCAACCTGAAGATGCAAACGTCAAACATCACTTTATAGTGAGTGAATGAGTCAAAGCTGGCAAGTTATACTTGGCCTGTCACAGAGGTCACAGGGACGCACACCCAGCACTGTCAGTAATACCCAGCCTGCAACAGCTGCACTGAAGAACAGCTGCAGCCTGCACCTGAGGATGAACAACCCAGCAGCCCTGCTCAGCCCACATTTCCACCCAGTTTCTGCAGGAGCCACATCCCTGCATCTGCCATGTAGCAGCCAGAACCAGAACCCTCTGAAGCCCAGAGGACCCATCTGTCCACACAGCATTTTAGACTCAAAATGATGGAAACTGAACTCAAGCTTCCTGCTGCAACTGGGTGCTCTGAGGGTGAAGAGGGACTTGGCATGGTCATAGTAGACAGAAAGGGGGGCAGGTTCCCTGGGACCCTCACTGTTCAAAGGTCAGGCACTGTGCTGAGAATGGCAGGGCCCCTGCTACCGTCATCTGCCTCTGTTGTTGCCCCTGTGGCATGTCAGGTGCAGTCTTGCAACCCTGCCCCAAGACTCAACAGACCACTACCCATGGCCACCCTCACATGATCCTTTCATGCTCACTTGAACTCCTCGGTACTCTGGCAGCACCTGGGATAAATGAAAAGAAATAAAAATACAGTTGGGAGAACAAAACCTGGGAATACTTGTCTCGAGAAAGTTTTCACAGGAAATATTAAAGGTGTAATCCCAAGGAAAGAATGAAAAGGAAGAATAAAGGAAACACTAAACCTAACCCACCAAAATTGAAAAATAAAAACTAAATTCAGGAGGCCAGCAACATGGTGCAGGGGGTTAAGCTGCCACCTACGATGCCCACACCCCATAGGAACGCTGGTCCTGGCCTCAGCCTGGACCAGCCCCATTTGTGGACATTTGAGGAATAACCTAGTGGAAGATCTGTCTCTCACTCCCTCTCTCTTTAACTCTGCCTTTCAAACAAAACAAATGTTTTCCTAAAAATAATAAAACAGGGGCCAGCTCTGTGGCACAGCGGGTTAAAGCCCTGGCATGAAGCGCAGGCATCCCATATTGGCACTGGTTCGAGACCTGGCTGCTCCACTTCCGATCCAGCTCTCTGCTATGGCCTGGGAAAGCAGTGGAAAATGGCCCAAGTCCTTGGGCCCATGCACCCGTGTGGGAGACCTAGAAGAAGCTCCTGACTCTTGGCTTCAGATCGGCCCAGCTCCAGCCATTGCGGCCAACTGGGGAGTGAACCATCGATGGAAGACTCGCTCTCTCTCTCTCTGCCTCTCCTCTCTCTGTGTAACTCTGACTTTCAAATAAATTAAAAAAATAAATAAAAAGAAAATCTGCATGTATCTTCAACTTAGCTTTGCTATGTAACACAAAAGGCTACATACTGTAGAATGCAACCTGGAGAAGAGAAAAACCATACAACAGAAAACAGACAACTGGTAGCAGGGGCTGGGTAGGGGAGTGGTTGATTATAGGCACTCAGGAACTTTTAGGAACTGGACTGTTCTGGATGGATCTGGGTGGTGGGCATATGACTCTATGCAATTGTGCATTACAAAGAATGAACTTAAAGGTATACAAGTATTTTTCTTAAATATTGTTCTTTTAAGATTCATTTATTTACCTGAGAGGCAGTTACAGAGAGAGGAAAGACAGAGGGAGAGGCCTTCCATCCACTGGTTTATTCACTCCCCAAATGGCTCCAATGGCAGGAGTTGAGCCGATCCAAAGCTAGGAGCCAGGAGCTTCTTCTGGGTCTCCTACATGGGTGCAGGGGCCCAAGCACTTGGGCCATCTTTTACTGCTTTCCCAGGTCATCAGCGGGGAGTTGGATTGGAAGAAGAGCAGCTGGGACTTGAACCAGCACCCATATGGGATGTCAGTGCTGCAGGCGATGCCCAACATGCTATACCATGGCACCAGACTCCACAAGTATTTTTTTTTTAATTAATTTATTTTTTTTTTTACTTGAGAGTTAGAGTTACACAGAGAGAGGAGAGGCAGAGAGAGGGAGAGAGAGGTCTTCCATCCAATAGTTCACTCCCCAACTGGCCACATCGGCCGGAACTGCACTGATCTGAAGCCAGGAGCCAGGAGCTTCTTCCAGGTCTCCCACACAGGTGCAGGGGCCCAAGCACTTGGGCAATCTTCCACTGCTTTCCCAGACCATAGCAGAGAGCTGGATGGGAAGTGAAGCAGCTGGGACTAGAACCGGTGCCGATATGAGATGCCGGCCCTTCGGGCCAGGGCGTTAACCCGCTGCGCCACAGCGCCGGCCCCTACAAGTATTTTTTGATTTGACCAGCATGTGAGGGGAATCCCAGGAAGTGATCAGCATGTGGCCAATGAATGTGACCACTCATGGAGAAACATAAATCAGCCAAGACACTGAGGGGTGAAGATGAAAGGTGCTGGCCACAATGGAAGACACATTTAGACTGGAAGCTAAAGACAAAGATATAAACAAACACTATACTACATAAGTTGGTTTCTCATGCAGATATGGGTTAGTTAATTCTGAAACTGCTCTACACTTATACTAGAGTTGAAGAAATAAGTAAATAAACAGAGACAGAAGCCAGATGTCTCACGCTCTAAGAAAGAGATTACAGATGCATCAAGGACAGGACAGAATCAAGCATGTGATGCTGAATTTGTTTGGGATTTCAGGACTCACTCATATTTATTTTAATATACACTCGTAGATGCACACACAGACATATGTGCATGCACACAACAGTCCAAACATACACGTTTCCTAATGCAGTCCACTAAGACGGCCTAGAGGCAGCGACACCTAAGGAGCAGTGAGCACACAAAGCCCCAGACCTTGGCTTCTGAGACAAATCCAATAAAAGGCTCCAGGGCTCCTCGGATTAAGAGGAGCCCGGAGCACCATGCAGTACCTGAAAGTCAGGATGTGTTCATAAGGCTCAGGGTGTGTCACAGGACCCAAGAACCATCCCAAAACCACTCACACTGGCCAGGGCTGGAACAATGGGGCAATAAAATAAATAATGTCATCTGGGATGATAACTAAGGTCAAAAATACACTGAGGTCATATGTATGCAAAAATATGGTTAAATCAACTAAGTACTGGAGGGAAGAGACAAGCCTTCCTCACAGAACAGCTTTACACAGACCTTCACAGGCAGCCACTGCTCACTTCCGGCCTGAGTGAAGGCTGCACTGAGCGGCAGGCAGGAGAGAAGGATGGAACCGCAGGTGAGGCAGCACACACCACCTGGAGGGGCACACCCTAGCTGAGGAAGAACCGTCAAGGTCATCAAAATCAAGGAGAGACGGAGCGCCAAGCAGCAGAGATGTGGGAGAGAGAGGGGAAATGGCCACTAGAGAACGGATGGCATCCTGGAAATACAGGGGAAATCCAAAGGAAATCTTTCCAGCAAACACGAATGCAGCAGCTCCAACCATGCACCACGGCCGTGTGCAGACGCTGACACCAGCGGCGCTGCGCAAGGGAAGGCAGGAACTGTGAACTCCGCTCTACAAATCCATTAAATATCCCAAAATAAAAGGCTTACTTAAAGCAACAGATAGGTAGCCACACAGATGGACAGACTGTACGGCTAAAAAATATTCTCAACAGAAGATATTTAAAACCACCATGACAAAAACTTCAGTTGAGGGAGGTATAAACAGAGTTTAATTAACCTCCTTATCTAAGAGGAGAAAGAAGGTGTTGACTAAATTTAGACTTAGATAAATTAAATGTATATGTTGTAATTAATCAGCCTACTATTTAAAAACTGTGTACATTGTTACTTCAAAGTAATTAGAGGCAGAATTTTTTAAAAATTCACTGATAAAATAATCTAGAACTGGGTTCCAAGATGGTGGAGTAGGGAGGGAGCTTACTGCTAAAGCCCAGAAGATAGTTTTAAAAAAGTGGAGGGGCCGGCACCGCAGCTCACTAGGCTAATCCTCCACCTGCAGCGCCGGCACCCCAGGTTCTAGTCCCGGTTGGGGCGCCACATTCTGTCCTGGTTGCCCCTCTTCATCTTCCAGGCCAGCTCTCTGCTGTGTCCCAGGAAGGCAGTGGAGGATGGCACAAGTGCTTGGGCCCTGCACCCACATGGGAGACCAGGAAAAAGAACTGGCTTCTGGCTTCGAATCGGCGCAGCGCACTGGCCATAGCAGCCATTTGGAGAGTGAACCAACGGCAAAGGAAGACCTTTATCTCTGTCTCTCTCTCTCACTAACTCTGCCTGTCAAAAGAAAAAAAAAAGTGGAGGGGCCAGTGCTGTGGCAAAGTAGGTTGGTCCTCCACCTGTGGCATCAGCATCCCATATGGGTGCCGGTTCAAGTCCCGGCTGCTCCAACTTCTGATGCAGCTCTCTGCAATGTCCTGGGAAAGCAGTGGAGGATGGCCCAAGTCCTTGGGGTATTTGCACTCACGTGGGAGACCCAGAGAAAACTCCTGGCTCCTGGCTTCATATACACACAGCTCCAGCCGTTGTGGCCATTTGGGGAGTGAACCATCGGATGGAAGACCTCTCTCTCTCTGCCTCTCCTTCTCTTTCTGTTACACTGTCTGGAACTCTACCTCTCAAATAAATAAAAATAAAATCTTTAAAAAAAAAAAAAGTGGAAAGACTGTAGTCTCAAGGAAGAGTTAGGAAGAAAATGGCAGAGAAAACTCTACCAAAATTAGAGGGACATGGTGGACCTATGTGGAGCGCATAGGAGCCCACAGCTCAGGGCTCCAGCAGCCAAGAATCCACGCAACAGTGTTAGAAAGTGAAGTGAGGGGCTGGCACCGGTTCTAGTCCTGGCTGCTCCTCTTCCAGTCCAGCTCTCTGCTATGGCCCAGGGTGGGCAGTGGAGGATGACCCAAGTGCTTGGGCCCTGCACCACATGGAGACGGAGGAGCACTGCTCTGCTCAGAATGCACAGTTCGCATGCCGCATTTGGGGGTGAACAACGAAGAAGACTTCTCTCTGCCTCTCTCTCTGTCTATAACTCTACCTGTCAAATAAATAAAAAAAGAAAGTGAGGTAAAACCAGACTCCAGCAGTCCAATCCACTGGCGAAAAACCTACAGAAAAAGCCTAGAGGGAACCTGGCTTGGAACCCTGTGGGGGTAAAATGTACCAGCCAAACTAGAGGAGGGGGAAAAAAAAAAAAAGGATGGGACGGACCTGTTTCTCTCTCCCGGATCACCATCAAGTTACAAGTCAGTTACAAGTACTGTAACAACTAGGCTGGCGCCATGGCTCACTGGGTTAATCCTCTGCCTGTGGCGCCGGCATCCCATATGGGCGCCAGGTTCTAGTCTCGGTTGCTCCTCTTCCAGTCCAGCTCTCTGCTGTGGCCCGGGAGGCAGTGGAGGATGGCCCAAGTGCTTGGGCACCTGCACACACGTGGGAGACCAGAAGAGGCACCTGGCTCCTGGCTTCGGATCGGCATAGCTCCAGCCGTATCGGCCATTTGGGGGGTAAACCAATGAATGGAAGACCATTCTCTCTGTCTCTCTCTAATTCTATCTGTCAAATAAAAATTAAAAAAAATAAAAAACCCAAGTACTGTAACAAGCCAATAGAGCAGGCACCATTTTGGACATACGTAACAGCTGCACTAGTTTGTGTCTGTGCCCCCAGCAACCAGCGGAGTGGAGACTCCTGACTCTAGTGGGGAGAACTAAAGAGGGCTAGGAGCTTGAGACTGTGAGGCTTCTGTTCTGGGACTGGGAAGAAACCCGAGAGTGTGTGGGAGGACTCACAGCATGGCTAGGACTTTGAGCAGTCGCTGTGGGAGACTCCATTGCTCAGGGTTCCCCGGTTACCTGGTGAGACACTGCTGCGGAATCTGAGCTTATACTGCATAGATCCTTTGTGTGGTCCTTGGGACAGAGCAGACGAATATTATACCCACTGGGGCTAGCACTCAGGCACTGGTCTCCACTGAGGAGAGGAGCTCAGCTGAGCAGAAAAAATCCCCCTTCTTATTAAAAAAGAGAAAGAAGATTTACTACACTGAACCTGGGTGTGTTACTTTAGGCATATCATTTTTTTCTTTTTAAAGATTTATCTATTTATCTGAAAGAGTTACACAGAGAAGAGAGGCAGAGAGAGAGAGAGAGAGAGAGAGAAAGAGAAAGAGAGGTTTCCATCCGCTAGTTCGCCCCCCAATTGGCCTCAATGGCCAGAGCTCTGCCAATCCGAAGCCAGGAGCCAGGAGTTTCCTCCAGATCTCCCACAGGGGTGCAGGGGCCCAAGGGCTTGGGCCATCCTCTACTGCCTTCCCAGGCCACAGCAGAGAGCCAGATTAGAACTGGAGCAGCCAGGACTCGAACTAGCGCCCATATGGGACCCCAGCACTACAGGCAGCAGCCTCACCCATTACAGCACAGAGCTGGCCCCTAAGTATGACCTTAACCCTAGAGAACTGAACAGAGCTCTCTGGCCACATACACTACAAGCCTCTGGAGATTCACTGAAAGCAGACAGTCCATTTATCTACAAAGTCATAGTACAAAGATAAAAGTCACTACAGCAAAAAAAAAAAAAAAAAAAAAAAAAAAAAAGAATATCACCACAAATGCTGAACAACAAATGCACCAATTCAAGAAACAAGAATAAGGAAGATAACATGATTCCCCGAAAAGAACAAGACATTTCAATACTGGATTGTGAAGACAATGAGACGTAAGAAATGGAATTCAAAAATCTGATCCATAAGATCACACAGAAGTAATCAGAAGCAAATGCACCAACTACTGACATCCATACAGGATATGAAGGAAAATGTCTCCCATGAAATTGAGATATTAAAGAGAAATCAAAATGAAATGAAGACTTCAATAGAACAAACAAAAAATGCAGTGGATCCTGCCCCCCTTTCTCCCTGCTGCAAACTCCTCACTGGTCTTACTTCTGATCATGAGTGTTCCCTGCCTTGGGCAGTAACTTAGTCTTTACCCTATTTTGTGATAACTAGAGCAATCACTCGAGCTGCAAGGTCTAATTTTACTGTCTTATTTAAATTTTATGAATTTGAATTTTTTACACTAACGTTCCCCAATTAAGTCCACTTTCAAACAAAAAAAATGCAGGGGAAAGTCTTT